ATAGATATTCGTACCACGACACTAAAAAAAAAGTTAAATAAATCAATTTTAATGAATATTCTTAAATTAAAACAGTGCCATAATATATTTTCTAGAAGCTACTTCACAGATATTTTCTGTGAGTGGATGTAAACATTTTCCCAGGTAAAGTTATGGCTTAAAAACAAATTATTAACTCGGCAGCAAGTAAAATTTATACCGCTCCATGGCCTAGACATAAAAGTTTACTCCTCCACCCAAGGAAGGGTCCGCTCTTGGCCTGGGTTTTAATCAAAGTAAATGAATTTAAACGAAGCGACGAACAAAGTCCAGCGGCTATTTGCATAGAGCCGTCGCACTGAAATGGTTTTTAAGTGAAAAAAAAGGATGCGAATGGCAGAGGAAAACCCTTGGAAAAGCGAGGAAAGCAGTGAGCGAAACGTTTTGCCAGCTCAGAGCGGGTCCTGTAGCTGGTTTTCTTTTTATTTTATTTGCGCGGGGATTTGTCTAGCTGGAGAGGATAAGCGCTCTGTGTATCCTTTATCCTTTGTGTTTGCATGAATTTAATGCAATCCAAATATTTGTGGGCGAGAGTGAGAGTTTCGTTTTAGCTTTCACTCTGCCTCCCTTTCGGATTTTCTTTTTTTTTCCTCTGTGAGTTTTCTTTTTCCATTTTTCCAGGCTTCATCTTCGGCTGCTTTCCGCTTTGTAAATGGCTTTTTATGGGCTCACTGCCGGATGGCTTTTGTGGGGAGTTTTAAAGCTTCGTTTCATGGCCCTTCAATGGTAATGGCATGCAAATATCTATTTATACGCGAACGACAGGGTTTAAAATATATATATACCATATAAATATTTGATTCAACATCTGCATAATCGTAAGTGTATATTCGGCGAGAAGTAAACATTCTAGGGCATATGGCAATTAATCACAGTGTGGGTGGAAATCAATCAGCGAAAGCATTAACTCTGTTTTCCTTCATAATTTGCTAAAATCTATTTTCTGCCGAAATAAAAACATTAGTCTTGGTCTATTTTTGGGGCGTGGTTTTTTCTGAAATATATTGATTGGACACACGCCATAACCCAGAACATTTATCATATTAGCATTCAGAGAATTAGCATTCGCAGAAAATCCCAGCAATGTGGAGCAGGAAAAAATCTAGCTATTTGTTTACCATAACTCGACATAGATCAGGGAGAATAGACATATGCTGGTGCCCCATAAATAGATGGCAGTGTTCCCACGAAAAATATTGTTAAAGTTTTCCCTTCCAAATAAAAGGATGCCAGCTTTTTTTTGATGAGGCGAAAGGCTGTTCACCCGAAAAGATACTCCTCTCCATAAATATTTATTTTCATTGTTGTGTTCTTCGTTATTTGTCGCACATTGGAAACTGTTTATATATATAGTATTTATTTGGCGAAATGGGGGGCGGCGGTGGAGGCGTGGCTGCTATCTCATGCACATTTTGTCACTGTCAGTCGGCGTCTCTTTCACTCTCTCTCTCTGCGCTTGTTGTTGCCATGTCATTTAGCATTTAAATTGTTGTTGTCACCGTAATAAAATTCGCAAATCTAGGTCCATATCTACGCATTTGTTAACCTTGAGCTGCATTCTGCATTAAAATTGCAATTTTTATTTTCAAACAATCGCAACTACGAGCTATTGTTGTTGTCGCCGCAGTTTGAATTCATTTTTGGCCATAAATTTCCCCGAGAATCACTAAAAATGTTTATATTCCCGAGTGACAGCAAAATAAAAAAAGTGGATTTAAGCTGGCAAATTGATGGAGGTTTCCCCTTGAAGAATTTGACAAAGGGCAGATTGTCATTTAAATTTAGAAAATGCAGAAAAACTATAAATATAAATGCAGTTTAGTGTGTCGAGACTGTTTTTCAGTTGGCAACAGAATCGCTTTACTATATTTAAATAAGTTTTCGTATAATTTTTCTTTATATATTTTGAGAACATTTTTGAAGTGGAATTTCCGCTGTGGCTGATTTACTTAATAAAGATTTACTTGATATTATTCTTATATATATACATTTTAATTTAAGCAAAGTCCAACGTTTACCCATATTTTCAACCAGGTTTCCTATAATTAAAAATATATTTTTCTCTATAAATGTAAACCCATTTCAACCACAGTTTCCCCTCTTAAATTATTTAATTTAAAGCCTGCTGCCACTCCAGCTGAGTGGCTCTTGAGTCTCCTTTGAGGCCTTGTTTAACTTGAGCCTTTGTTTGGACCTTAAACAATAACATAATAACCACCTCTCTCTCTCTCTCTCTCTCTCTCTCTGTGTCGTTGCAGTTTGTCGGCTGGGAGGAGGTGCCACGACCCAACACTCGAGCCGAGATCGTTCAGGCCATGCGGCGCATAAGGGTAAGTCAACATGTGGGAAATCTATTAAGCATACGCCGCGTGGGACGCCAGTTAAATTTTGAATCCTGACTGAAAAGTTAACAGATTTCCGTGGGATATGCACATCTCCGGCTGCCAATTAAAGGAACTTTTTATCCGGGCCGAAGGCGGTTTTAAATTTCTCCCCCGAAATTTCCTCTTCGCTTCCGAAAAAGCAGGCAACACTTTCTGTTTGCCAAAGTCACATACTTTGATAACAGTTACATATATGGCCAAAAGCGAAACAGAGTAAAAGCTGGCTAACAAAAAATATACATTCTAGTAGCATAAAAAGTAACGAGGCTTGTTTATTCTTTCCCTTTTCCTCGGTGCCGAGAAGTCGTGCGTGTCCTGGCTTAAACCGTGTTAGCCCGGCCAACTCCTCGCAGGGTGTGAGTGTGAGTTTGGGAGTGTATGTGGGTTATATTCCGTATTAGCCTTGTCTGTCAGCCAGGAGCGGGAGACGTGGAGAATTCGGCGCTTGTTATTGTCATGTCTTTGCCATTAGGCGAGCCGTCACAGGCAGTCAAACGTTAATTGAAAATTCTGGAATTACGTGGTTCCAATTTCCCTCTTACCCCACACAGAAAACACACTCGGAAAATAACTATTGAGAAAAACGGTTATTATTTAGTATTATTAGTTTTATTTAGTCAAAGAAACAAAATATTGTTATGGGATTTTTAGACTTTTCTAACTAAATTGACCACCATTTCCCCCTCCCAACAGTACGAGTGCAAAGTGCAGAATCTGAAGAAGCGAAAGGTCACCATTCACATATCGGTAAATGGCGTGCGCGTTGTGCTCAAAAAACGCCGCCGAAAAGTAAGTCAATGTCATTTAATATTTACCTTATTTATTTATTTAATTTTTCTTATGATTTTAGAAAAAGAACTGGACAAATGACCCCGAGGAAATCGAGTTGCTCAATCATCCCATCTATAGAATATTCTACGTGTCCCACGACAGCAGCGATCTCAAGATATTCAGCTATATAGCGCGCGATGCCAGCACGGATACGTTCAAGTGTTCCGTCTTCAAAAGTCACAAAAAGGTGAGAATCCTGAGATATTTCTGTTGTTGTTTATTTGACTTTTTCGAGGGAATATAGAATAAGTTTTAGGTTTTGCCATTAACTTGGCCAGTGAAATGTTTATGACCGCATTTCGCATAATGCAGGCAATGTACATGTGACTTACTTGACATTACCCATGCCAGGGGGAAGCCCCCCTGGGACCGTCGCCACCCATGGATTATCTATAAATACGAGCTCCGGTCTTGTGCAAAATGTCTACACGTATGCATAATTTTGGCTTGTATCCAGCATTGGAAAACCGAAACGAAAACAACTAGCAAATAAACAGAAACAAATTATTTGGTGCTCTATAAAGAGCCAAGTGCAGTTTATTGGATGTGCTGTATAATTGTGATCTACTTTATGTGGATTTAGAAAATTGTGAAATTTAGTAATTGGATTTATAAGGATCTAATATCATTTAAACTCTAGTCTGAATACTAGGTAATTTACAAACACTTTCAGCACTTGCTCTTTCCATTTCATTTTCCATTTCGAACCAGCAATTCCATGGTTATTTTTCATTGTCAATGTCTGTGGAGTCTAGACCAATTTTTCATTTGGCCATTACCATTACAGCGCACGGGGATCTAAACAAAAATCGGGCGAAAAGTAAGGCGCAACTGTCCATCAGTCGTTTCTATTTATTTCCGTGTTATATGGCCGGCGGCAACCCGCAGTTCTGGCCAGATTCTCCCATATTCTCGAGGCGACATCACGCCTCCCCCATTAAGTTGCCTCCGAGATTTGCCAAATAAATAAATCGTATTCCTACTTTTGTGGGGGCCGCACGGGTGCCTGTGCCTGTGGGAAATGCATTTTCTTTGATTTCAAACCGAATGCGGTTTCTCGATTAATTCCAAGTCAGACAAAATTTCTTTCTTGGTATTCCGTATGCCTGTGTGTCTGGCCTTCAACTTCATTTCACTGCGCAGACAATGTCAAGTTGGCATTTCTATTTTTTGTTGGTTTTCTAATTAACAGGCGGGCAAAGAATTTCTGGGAAAGAATTCCAATACATCTGAAGGCAGTCCGTGTCGGGCTGTCGAAATGCCTGACAAGTGACACAAGAAATTAAGGCCAGGACAAGGAGCCGGGGAGATGCAGATATATGGGCATAAATATAGGAATTATCTCTGAACACTCTCGCTCTCCCTGTGCACGTGTGGAAATCGTTTGCGTCAAAAGGAAAAGCTTAACCCATTGCACCTGAGGCGGCGTTAGAAGTGCCTTTATATTACCCACCAAATGCAACGCAATTCGCGGAGCTGAATGAACATATAAACACACGGGCAGACAATGTGCTGAAATGTGTATGATTTATGGGTTTTAACAAGAGTCAAAGCTAAGAGCCGCCTCTATTGTTTACTTCCGCGAAACACAAAGCAATGACGTCACGCGGGGAGCTGCAATCACGCATACGCCAAGTTGGACCGGCCCCAGGAGGGGTTCTTCGATCGCTGCGATATATCCATCCATCTATCGGGGGAACAACGACCAAAACAAACGCAGCATGTAGCCAATGATCGTGCCAACAGCTGAGCGGAAAAGCTCCGGGGAAAAGCTTCTACATTTTCGCCGGCTACAAGGCGGTCCATCGATCGGCAATCTCCTCTCCCAGTTCGGCCTTTGTCCAGTGCGTTCTAGACGGCGTCCCCCTGCAGACGTGCGGAAAACCAAGAAACGTTCTCTATTCAAATAATTCCAAATTATGCAACGAGTGCGTGAGTGACAGTGAAGTGCAATAATAATAATAATAATAGATAATACCAAAAATAAAAGACTTGCTAAAATAAAATGTAAAACCAAACGAAATTTCTGCCCCTTGCTAAGCGAAGCAAAGAAAAATCATGCGATGTGACACCGGGGAAATAAATTCAGGCAATGGCATGTCACAGCTTTAAGGAAAATATTTTAACGTGGCCATAGATCATCATCCCCAGCGAGGCGAGAAATTAAATGTTTTCAAAAATATTTAAATTAAAGAACAGCAGAATCGCAAGTCTGAAAAGTGTTTTGTCATTGGTTTTTCGTGCCATTTGCTGACGCCATTAAATCGGATAAAAACAGCAGCAACAATACGTTTAAACAATGCTAAGCATTGAATAATGAGCCCAAAGAGCAGAAAATTGACTAGAAAATTAATTACCAGAGAAAAGCCGCAACACGCAGCCACTTGCAAAAAATAAAGAAAAAAGTTTGCAAAGTGCGGACAGTTATACGATTTGAGAAACCCCAAAGGAAACCCCTAGAAAGTGCCAGTTCGGGGAAGCAAATGCTGTGCACTTGCTTAAAGGCCAAGTCTATTCATTGATGGCTAACCAAACTTAGCTCAATGACGTACTTTCTTTCAAAAATCCAGTGTTTATTAGTGAACACGCATTTAATGAGCTACTCTCGCCACAGGTAGCCGCAGGAAATGAGGGGGCAGGTATAAATAAATAGAATTATGGTCAATAAGGCGAACGCACACGTGATATTTTTGTTGAAATATTTATGATTCTCCTTCGCTGCTTAGCTTATTTATTTATACCTATATTGTATATGGTTTCCACAAGCAACAAGAGAAGAAGAAGTCGAATTTTGACAGCCGAAAAATCCACAAATATTTTTATGAACATTGAGTTGGGTTCCTAAAGATCCGCAAATTATGGCAAATAGTTCACAGAAAATGGAGAATATGTATTTTAATTTACCTGTTGTCTCTGGCAAAGGCATTGCCTCGGGGGAAAACCACACAATGCCTTATTCTCTTAGCCGTTTTCCATTTCCCAAAAATGGCTGTGCCTTCGCTTCGTTTCACTTTGCTTTGTTTTGTATCGCTTCTCCTCTCTGTTTTTCTTATTTTTTATTCGCATTTCAAGCCAAAATAGATCCATTATTTTAATAGCCTACTTTAAAGTATTTCTAAAATCGAACAGCCACGAAGAGCAGATTGTGGGTAAATAAGGAGAGGTAGGGCCATCAGGCAGGTGTTTCGCTTTGTTTCGATTTATAAATACTTAAATTTATACTCAAGTTTATATTCTTTGGATATTTTCGGTTCGTTGGCTGAAATGTAAATTGAATTTCCAAGTGCCACCGCTGCCGCCAGCATGACTAATGCGAACTTCATTAGCAGATGTGGGGGCCGAGGACTACCTCCTCCCCTCCAGACCACGTGACAATGTGCACAATTTACGAGATGCAGTTTTCCCTGCGGTCAGCTGTGCAGCTGCGGAAGTGGCTCCTGCGGTGGACTGCAACGGCTGCTGTGGCACAGTAAACCACCGGGCCATAGTAAACACCACGGCCAGATGGACGGTGGCCATTAAATCGGTGCTAAAACGCCAGACCTGCTGCCAGAACGAGGGAAATAAAGCTTCTGTGTAAAGCAAAAATTTTCCCTTATGACAGACAGCGGGAAAAACAAACAGAATGCCAGATTTGATTGTTGTGCAGAGCGAAATGGGAATTAAAATTCAAATAAATACATAAAACAAAGCTAACAAAGTCGTTTTTAACGCCATAAATTTTCAAGTAGTTTTCCACGGAAAGCCACGCAATTTTCTGCGTTTCTCCATCTCCATCTCTTATTTTTTTATTTATTTAAGTTTTCATTTCGGCTTTGCTGTAACGAATGTAAATTGCCACACACTTTATCCGTTTATTTTTTATAGTTTTCAATTTGATTTATGCGAAATTGCCCAAGACACTTGAGGGAGGTGTGTGCGAGTGTGTATTTAGAGAGCGTGTGTGTTAGACAATCAGACGGCAGCTATTCGAAGACGGATCACGTGGCGTATGCGCAATGCTGGAGCATTAAATTGGCAGCTAAAACGACAGATTCACCTTGAGAGAACTGTTAAATGGCCGCCCAAATATTGAACGTGTTGTAAGCATTTATGCTGGGCCATCTCCTTTCTGTCTGGCATTTGCGCAACAAGTGCTGTCACTGCTTGTCAAAATAATTCAAATTGATGTGTTGTTAATGTCATTCAGGAGGCAAGTGCTCGACCAGCCAGCCGCCGCCTCCGAAGTAGCCCTTCAAAGTGCTTGAGTGTTTGCTGTTGGCCAAGTTTTGCCAGGTAGTCCTCTTCCCGAGTCTGAAAGGGGAAACCACAAAGTTGGTCGCCAGCTTGGCCTTAATTAGTAATGGAAAAGCCACAGGGAATGTGAAATAGGAGAACATTTGTGTTTGAAAAGTAACAGGCAGGAAATTTCTTTAAAGTTCTTTCTAGTTTAAATGTTAAAAACAGTTAACAAATTATATAAAATGTAGAGAACAATAAACTTATATTCTAAATTTGAATAGTATTTTAGAACAATGGTTTAAATAATATTTAAAATATGTTTAAATATGATCAGCAAATTATTTGCTAGAGAGTTTAGTAGTTAGTTCTTTTTTAAAATCATTTCTTTGTGTTAAAAAAATATTTTAAAACAGAATCTGCTTTTTTCTGGCTCATCCCATTTCCAATTTTGATTATTCGAAATATCAACAAATCGAAAACCTTCGAAATTATTTTTTCTTGACTGCAACCAGAGCTCTGACTCAGTGAAAATCACAACAATTGCAAATCATTCGCCTGATGCCGATGCCTGACATAAGTTTCGGCCGCTGGCTAACCAAAACAAAACCCAAATCAGATTGACAGTTTTCTTTTATATTCTTTTTGAGAAATCACTCGCTTGCACGCGGCAGAAATATTCGGGAAAAATAAACCAAAAATATATATATATATTCCTCGATATGTAGGCAACATGAAAATGAAAAGTTGCAAATAATTCAATAAACCAATAAATGAACACGCAGAAGAGACCGAAACAGAAAAAGCAACAGCCTCAGGTGGGATACACAAACAATAAGGTGTGAAAAATGGCGCATCGGCTGAGTGTGAACAACCTGGATCAAGGAGCCCCCCAATCGGACCCTAAGCAATTATGAAATTAATAGCCAACTAATTGGCCAAGAACATTGAGAGCAGCAGCATTGAACTCGCGGCAAAACAAAACAAGTGCGAACCCAGTGACAAATTGGCGAAATCGACGACCTTGCGTCTGGCGGATCAGCGAACTCTTCGGCACACCACAAGCGGTGGCCATGAAGCACGAGAAGACCCTCGCTGCCATGGCTGTTCCCCACAAGCAGCGTCTCAATCTGGCGGAGCATTCCGCCCACGTGCCCCGCAGTCCCATCACCAAGGCCTTTGACTTCCTGCCCTGGACCAGGAGTCGCAGCAAGGTGAACATGGCCAAGGCCCAGAGTCAGCCGGCGGAGCAGCAGCAGCAGGCCTCTGCCTCGGCGGCAGGTGTTACCTCTGAGAAGCCTTCAGAGGTTCACTATCACCGTAACATCTTCCGCAGCGGCGGCGGTCTCATCCGGGACATCCTCGTGGGAGACAAGCAGCTCCAGCTGAAGGACAAGCCCCCACAGTCCCCGGTTCCCTCGCACAAAAAGAAGCAGAAGCACCTGTCCCGCAACAAGAGTCTGGATATCCGGGAGCTTATCGGTTGCGTGGAGCGGGAAATGGCTCCGGTGACCGCTGGCGGACTAAGTCAGCCTCCCCGCTTCATAGACGACACCTACATTGACCACAAGCCCAAGCACATACTCTTCAACGATGACGAGAACACTGTATACATTATAAAGAAGGAGCAGCCGGTGGCTAAGGCGAGCCACAAGGGCACATCCTGCTCGACATCCTCCTCCTCTGCAACTGCTCCTGCCAATGGTGATGTTGTGAAGGCCCGGCTAAAGTTCAAGCGCCTGCCCGACGATCACTATGCCGCATCGCCGGAGGCCCTGCGCCGAGCCCATCAGCTCCACCAGCGCTCCGAGCAGCGTCACCAGTTGCAGCGAAGGAAGAGTCTCAGCGATCAGCACAGCAGTTCCAGCCTGAGCAGTGGCGGTGGAGGAGGAAGCAATGGAAACAACAGCCAAATGCTGGAGCGTCCCAAGACCGACAAGCCGCGCAAGAAGCTATCCTTCCGGGAGCCCATCATAGCCGGCGACCAGATGCTGCCGCTCATCCTCACCGAGCAGCGCCAGGCGAGACAGAGGCGGCGTAGCTCCCCCCTGGAGAGGAGGCCAGCAGCAGGCTCCCGACCAGAATGTGATAATTTATGCAATAATCGCACAAAGGATGCAATTTCATGCGGCTGTGCGGCGAGCGATCCCGAGGTGGGTTCATTGCAGCGCCGCAACGGGGCGTATCCGTAATAAGCGGGCTCCTTTGGGGCAGCGGCTTAATTGTAGGGAGGGAAACTGTGCCTTCAGCGGGGAGCCTTTCTCTTCCTTAACGCAATTTAATTAATACTCTTTTCTCTCCGCCATTCTCACCTCGTTGCAGTCCCAGGCCATGCGCATCGTCCGCACCGTGGGCCAAGCCTTTGAAGTGTGCCACAAATTTAATCTTCATAAGAATTCCCTGGAACCCAATGACGAACGCTCCGACATATCCTCCTCGGAGCTGCTGGATGTGGAGCAAGTCAGCGAGCAGCAGCTCAGCGAGGATGGCGACAGGAATGGCGGCGACAACGAGACGCCCAAGAAAGGTGAGTGTCGGGGCGAATTACGGGTTGAATTGACGGGGGGAAAGGCAGTCGGCACATCGGTCGTTGGCTGGCCAATAAATAAATGAAAAGCTCTGGCTGTCGACGCCGCCGTCAGCTGCTTCCTGGGTGAATCTCTGGACCCTCTGGACGCGCTCGCCCGGCCACCCGTCGCATTAGTTTCCTATTCATTTTCGCATTTCAATGCAAATTTCTGCTCTTTAATTTCGAATTCAGTTCGATGCGGCGAGCGCGGCATTTGCATTTGCATTTAAATTGCATTTTGTCCTCCAGGGAGGCGGTCGAGAAGGGAAAAACGAGCATAGCCGTTAAGTCTTTAAAATTAACAACAATTGGCTAAAGTTTGGGCACCAAATTATAGCCGAAAATAGGAGGAAATCTCTCTCGCAATACATTAAACATTTCCCAAGTTGATTAAACTAAAGTTTATTATTACAAAAATGAGAATTGATTTTCAGCCGAGGCACACAGGCATTCCTGTTTATTTTGTTAAATATCTTACCAGTGTTTTCATCTCTTTATTTCCGTAAATATACAAAATGCAACTGCAGACAGGAGATATGTGTTTGTATATGAACATATATATATATAGGAGGTGTATGGTGTATACAGACTGAGCAGGCAATTTACAGTACCCCCCACATTCCCACCCAAAAGTAGAAAGTACAATATGAAAGATGACTGCGCATATGGGGAGAACATATTAAAAGTGAAGAAGCATACACAAGAAATAAATAAAATAAAATAAAATAAAGCACAGTAAAATAAGTAAAGGAAAATGAAAAGTACCGAGAGAATACAGAAGCTTTCGACATACACTTTGCCGCTGTTAAGCAATTTCCACATATTGCTTCAATTTTCAATAATCTTCGTGCGGTTTTCCATCTTTCCATCTCAACCGTTCCCCCCTCCTCGGGCACACTTACACAGACAAGGCGTAGTTTGACGTCATCAACGCTCGGCTGATGCCAAAAATAAGCAGAAAAAAATGAGAATAATACTGAAAAACCTCACGAGAAAAGCCAATTCTTTTTGCAATCTTTTGTCTAAAACCATCCCGCGACATCATTCGCCAGAAATTCGTAGAATAAATATAAATAAAGCGAGCGAAGGTGGGGCGAAACAAGGTAGCTACTTATCGCGCGATGGATTATTGGCCGATACTCGAACTTCCATCATAACCATGGCATCAGCCAAGTCAGCCAGCCGAAAAACTGAATTTGTTGCCAGGCGACACTCGAGGACAAGGAACACCATCAAGAAAGAAGCCACTCATCTCTCACGTGGTGTGCCTGCACCAAAAATAATTTATTTATTCCAATATCTCATCCTGCGCCGCCATGCTCGTGTAATTCTCACTGCGACTATATAGTAATTTTCTCGTCTGCGCCTTGGGCTGACTTTTTAATAGACAACTAAAATAATGAATTATGAGCACGTGTTGTCTCTCCGTCTGGGTGTCATTCCGCTGGGATTAGATCAGCGAGGGGCAAAGTTGAATGTCCCAAAGAGATAGGTTCAGGGCCTATGTGAAGCACCGTAAAATATGCTACAAGTTGGGGAGGAAATTAAAGATAGATTGACAACAGGTCGTATGTGTAATGTATATTGTATTTGGACAAGCAGCTTCCTTAATATATCCAATATATACTACATATTTGTATTACTAATTGTTGTTCCATGTCAGAGACTCGCTTTGCAGCTGTTTTGCCAACAATTTGCAAGCGTTTTCCTAATTGATTATGATGTGTATGTGATGAGCGCTCGGTTTCCTTCGAAATGGGTCATTTCGGTTGTAAAAATTCGACAAAAAAAAAAGATTGTTTCTTAATTTAGATCGAGAAGCATGTGTTTTTCTTTTGGCGCTATCCTTATTCAATATTTTGAAAGGGAAATATACTGGCAAAGTCGTACAGTTATTCGCCCAAAAGGAGAAATTTTCTGAAACGCTTAATTAATTTACATTTTTACAGCACTTGTGGCAATTAACACGTGCCCCAGGTGCGAAACGAAACGAAAGCTGTATAGTATACCGATATATGTGTACGTTGATTCGTGGAAGAAATTTCTTAAATATTTGCCAACAAATCAAATTGAAATGCCAGCCAGTAAACAGCGGCGGTGAACTTCGCCCGGCCATCATTATAGCCACTACGATCATTAGCCCGATCATCATCGCGAGGGTCTAGATAATGGTTTCATTATTTATCACAGGGTCGGGCAGCATAATAATCAAAACAAATATTGAACTTCAGACGCTGTAATTAATGGGAAATTAAGCGCGAAAGTGGCCGCCAGAGCAGATCGTTAAAGGTGGATACGGTGGGGAATGGACCACCAACCAGGTGGGTGCGATGGGATGCGGCCTCGCGCGTGGGTGGCCAACGACCTTGACAAAGTGGAGGGCGCCGCGGTCCAGTTGTTTACTTAGCCATCCAATCAATTTTCAAAGCCTTTTTAATTATCGAAAATAGTATCGATAGTAGATTATAATTTTATATCTAATTATATATAGATAGTACATATAATAAGTGGGGAATTTTGTTAGAATATCAGTATTACTATTGTGCAATAATAACGACTGTATTGATAAATATCGAAAAAAGCTTTCTTTTCGATTATCAAATAAAACGATAAATAATTCGATATACTATTTTACCCATATACCCATTTATATTATTGGTATTTAAAGATTCTGGTTTTAAAACTATAAATAAATCCATAAGTGATTCCTTTATATATATTTATTTATTGAAACACTTTCTCCGATATTTACCCTCGATATACAAACTTTTGCATTCCTAATTCGATTCAAATATTTTCAGAGCACTTGGCCTTATCGCCCGACTTGAACCACACGCAGCCGCAGCGACCGAACCACTTGGAACTGATGCCATCGCATTCGAGTCTACGTAAATCGAACAGCCTGCTGGTGAGTAACTTATGTCCGTCATAATCATTCCGCACAATGGCCTGCTAATAATAAGCCAAATTATAACCATATCCTGGCAGGGCCATTAAAACGCCAGGCGCTGGCCAATTTTAATGAGCAGAAATCTCCGGCCATACTCACATAATCAAAAATAATGAAATCAAATACAATGTGGCCCATGGGCTGGCGTTTCTGTTTAGGTCATAATATATAAAATAATATTTCGCATTTGTTTACTCGGCAAAGCGGTCAGCAGAAGGTAAACACGCTGAAAAAACAATAAGATTCCGATTCAATAACTTTTCGTTTGCCCCTGAAGAGTGTCAAGGCTGGGCGAATAATTAAACAATGCCATGTCAGCTTCAAAGGGGGAAATGAATCTGTTTTTCACATTTTCCTATCAATAGTCGAGGAATGCAATTAGGAGCCACATTCTAGACATGTTTTGAAATTCAAACGATATCTTTTACGGCCAAATATTAATTTTTTATTGGTCCCGAGAATGTGACATTGAAATGGGGCTATTAATTGGCAGGTAGATTTTTAGAGTCGTAAATAAATTCTCCGAAGCTGTCTAGCCATAAGTTTTCAAAGAAAATATATAAAATATTTAATTGTATTTTTTTCAATACATTTTTCTACGCAAGTTTTAGAATATTGAAAAAGTATTTTGGAAATGTTCTATGTTGTTTTTTTAATATACTTGAAATTAACGATGGCCTATTTTATGTTTTGAATATTAACACTTAACAGGGCCATTTCCATTACCATATTTTCCCCGAAAACAAGACATTTTAAATGATTTTAATTGAAATGTATTCCCTCTTCTTCTAACAGTGCGATGTGGACGACAAGTCGCCCGGCTCCCCATCTTCGCCGCGCACTGAGATCACGCAGCTGAAGGATCAACTGGAGGCACAGGCCCTCCAAACGCGCCAGGCTCTGGGCCAACTGATGCTGGTGCGGGAGCAGCTCATCTCGGAGACCAATGCGCGCATCGAGGCGCAGGTGGGTGTCCACAAAAAGAGTTCCTTTACAAGGATATTAGATACTTACAACGGGTTGTTATTTTCGGAATATTTTGCAGGCGCGCACCCAACAGTTGCTGCAGCAGAACCGCGAGCTTCTGGAGCACCTAGCCTCCTTGGGGGCCTACAACGAGCAGCAGAGTGCCGGCCTCACATCGGCCAATATCGGAATGGCACCGCAGGTGAGTGCCCACGGGTTTATGCTCTCCGCTCCATTGGCTTTTGAGTTATGCGATCGTAAATTTTGCGCTGATTTCGAGCCTATCCCAGCTGTGCGTCCTTTTTGCATGATTCTTTTTTTTTTGCGTTCTGTTTTTGCTGTTTTTCTTGGCTGCCGTTTTTGTTGTTTTTGCACGAATGTTTTATAGCTGTGAGTTTTCCTAGTTGTCGATGTTCGTTGAGGCAATTTGAGTATACTTAATGACGACCTCTCACCCACCACTCTCAAATCCCCCATAGCAATCGCAGTTGCAGTTGCTTCTCCAGGCCACCAGCAACAACAACAATCTGGCCACGATCAACCAGCAAATTAGCAACCTGGGCAGCATCAACCAGCAGCTGACCTCGCTGAGCCACCAGCTGAGTGGCCTTAACCAGCAGAGCCAGCACCTTCAGAACCTGCAACAGCAGCAGCAGGCGCAGGCTCAGGCTACTGCAAATCCCAATCCAGCAACACCTCCTCCGGTGGCCAGTGGGAGCAGTCCATATCCGTCGATGAGCCAGCTGCAGAGCATTAGCAATCAGCTGCAGCAGCAGCAGCAGCAACAGCAACAGGATGCCCTGTCCAAGGACCTGTTTCAGGTCAATCAAGAGCTGCTCAACCGCCTGCAGGCTCTGAATCTGAATGCCAATCCGGCACAGACCCAGCAGACGCCCACAGCCTCGCCGCACAACTCCTTCTTCTATGTTAATCCCCTCTCCTGCACTCCGGCCACGCCCAATAACAATGCCGGCGGAGCCGGAGGCTTCAGCTTCCTCACCTCGCCGGCGGCCACTGGAACCCTGACGCCCTCACCGCTGGGCAGCATGAATCGGAACTCTTTCGCTGGGAGTTCGTCGCTGAACGAAGACATTCGCCTGAGCATCGAACAGAACCTCAACAACTTGGAGGAGCAGCTGAAGGCGGCGGTGTCGAATGGCAACCTGGCTGGATTAGCTTGCGGAGGATCAACCAGCACCCGGGATACCAGTCGCAGTTCCTCCACTCTGGACTCGCCCTCGTCTCCACGCTTGCGGAGCAGCAACAACAACATCAGTCCCGGGAGCAGCAGTGGCCAGCAGAATCACAACAACAACAATAGCAACAGCAACAGCACGAGCAGCAGCCGGGAGACAAGATTCAACACGGTCCTGCTGAGGGTCACCGACGAGGCGGGTCACCAGAGGAAGCTGTCGGCCACGCCCAGTTTCATCACGCGGAGCACCAGCGAGAAGGTGCCCAATCGCAGCCAGATGATGAGCCAGGTGCAGAGGACGGCCTGGGCCAGGCACACCACCAAATGAGATGGGCTCGGAGCACTGAAAACCAAGTAGTTTGTGTGAGAGAGCGCCGAGTGCCTGTGTAAAGATCGAGTGAATGAGAGAGAGAGAGTGGGTTGGAACAGTATTAATTTAGGAGCAAAAACCCTACTTTAGTTATGCATTTTAGGTGTCCCAGCAGAGAGGTAATGTGCCAATTATTTAGCCCAGCTCAAAGTTTGGCCAAGTGTAACATATACTAAATATAGGAGCTCAAAGTGTGCCAAAATCTATACCCCACACACAACCCTCCCGTGTGCTTATCTGGCTCAACTTTTTAGGTTAACTTAATGTCTAGTCAGTGAAAGTATTTGTGAAACATAATCCTAGCAAACCGTAAGCGGCATATCAGCAACAAATGCAGAGACTTGCTCAAGTTCGTCGGAAAGTATTTTCTCCCCTTAAATGAAATATAAACACAAACATATAAACACGTAGTGATTAAGCTACCGAGTCTAGTCTAAACTGGTTAAGTTGGATACTGTTATTTTTGTAAATTGTTGTAATTTATTTCAATTTAGGCTTCCACAATTCGTTTGTTCCAAAAGGATGCCAAAATAATATGTTAAATCAAGGTGTTACTTGTAAATTAAAGTCTCCAGAACGAACACCAATACAGGCAACAGAAATATGTAATAATAAAAGTCGCATAATTATGTATAAACATTCTTTTGATCCGCACATATAGTAGGAGTATATAATAAGGGTAATAATTGAAAGTTAACGCTGGTTCGGGCAATTTCCCTAATGACTTTTCCGACACGGCCCAGCTCTGGCGGCCGGCAAAAACAAGCAGCATACTTTTAAGCGCATTAAGCATCCGCCCCTTCGGACTTCAGTGCATAAATTTTCCCTCTGATAAATGAAAAACGATGCCGAGGCAAAAGAAAAACAGCAGCAAAAACAAGTGTCGCCATTTTTCACTCTACTTGGTCTCTTCCATTTTTTTTTTTTGTTCCCTTCGGATTCTGCTGGTGGGCAGCAATTTGCGCACATAACTCATTTGCATAAATTTACACACTGACTTTACTTTACTTTACACCCCCCAAACCCCTGAAAACCGACTCATTTCCACAGCTCTCGTCGACGGCAAAAGTGGCCCGATGGTTCCAGCAGCTGCCCTGGCACACCGCCTCCCTGTCCCGGCCGGAGAGCGGCTTCGTTTCCGGTGACTCGCGCTCGGAGAAGTATCAGGAGGATCACTTCTACGGCGGCATCCAGACGTCGGCCAAGGAGACGGATGATTTATGCGACGAGTTCCTGCTGGTGGAGGGCAGCAGCACCATTTGGACAAAGCTGAGCGCCAAAAAGCGTCGTAAATTGCTCGGCATGCGTCTGGGCAAAGTGACAACGTTCTGAGGGCGGCCCGAGGACCTTCGTCCTGAGACGGCCGTAATGTGTGCGTTTATTAGCTGTTAAGTGTGTTTTTAGCATAGCCCTAAGTGTAGGATAGAATAAGCCTAGCCAGTACGAAAACCAATAGACTAAAGGACCAAATTAACCCAAACGAAAAGCGAAACGAACGACATGCTCATTGAGATGCCAGAGATGCAACAGGCGGCAGACCTAGGACATAAGTCAATTAGCGAGCATTAAACTTAAGCTTAATGTTTATTTAAGTATTAACTAAATGAAAGTATTTGGCCAGGCATCGCACTCCCACACTCATACGCAGGAGCACCTTGTGGCTCCAATTCATTAAGCGCACAGACCACGCACATTAATCATACGCCACGTAGCCAGCCAGAACACACACACCGCCAGAAGCCAAAAGAGCATTTACTGCTTGACTTGACCAACTTTTCGTGTACAAGAAAAACTGGTTACTAAGCTAAGCAAACAGCCAGGACTCGGGCAGAGACAGAAGGGAGCTTCTCCTGCAGCCAAGGACCACCGACCACAAAAGATCAAATGTTTGTTATTCATAAATTTTATGCATAAATCGATTCTACTTTTACGCTCGGCTGTAGCAGCAGTCCCTTCCACTTACGAGAGGTACCCTTTTTTTATTTTTCTATCTTCTTTTTTTTTGGGAGGTAACCCGACTCTATAAATTTAAGTCAGCTGCTGGGGCAAGTGCAAACCGAGCTTGCGGCATACGTGGCGTATAAGCGATTTACTTGAAATTTATGGGGATTCGTTAGCTATAAAAAGAGGGGTAGCCAGGTGGGTAGATAGTGTAGTTATGTACAATATACACTCGGCGAACGGCGTGCAGATTGTACTCCGACTTAGATAGGTTCAGTTAGGGGATAGAAGCTCGTAAAACCAGATATCCCAAGGTTAGTCCAATATGCGGGGGCATCTGCGTAACACTGTGACGACAATCATGGGGGCAGACATCGGGGCGGAATTTTGCAATTCAAATTTGAGTTGAGTTAAAGCCGGCCAAATGGATTTCAATCATCATCAAACTCCGACGAGTTTTTATTGCATTATTTGGTAGCATCTCTCGGCCCCTTATTGCCCGACATCGCAATGAAAACGACGATTTTCCAAACGATTTTATGACATTCCTGCAATTTAGGTACGAAATTTATAGAAACAAAAGCGAACAAAAGGGAATAAAAAACACAAATTAATATACGTAGAGTGGTTTTAGTTAATTTATGCAAACGATTTTTGAGACTGAAACTGAAATTTGTACTAAGCATAAACCAGGCGCACACTCATCCATTCCACAAAAACATTTTGCGACAAATAGGAAAAGCTCGTTTATAAGCTACTTTAGCATTACGTACTCGTACACACCACCCAACTTAGATTAATATTAGTTGCTCTGGTTCAGGGCAATAGAATAAAGCGAAAGTAATAAAAATTAAATGCAACACGCTGGGCTTCGAGCTAGCATCCTGCCACGGCCACTGTCACTGCTGCCTGCCACTGCCGCTGCTGTTGCTGACACTTTACGGTTCAATTAATTTAACGCGCTTTGCATGTAATAGAAAAGCATTGCATATCAGCAGGGGCAGGACATGTGAGGACATCGCAGGGCCCAGCAGGTGGGCTTGGCAACAGCGAAATGGAATGGCATAGAGCATGGTTGCCGCTAACAAGCGCATTCGGGGAAAGTAGGAGCGTCCTGGCAGAGATATCATCTACTCCAGGGGTTGGGAACTGGCTCGACTTGGTAATTACCCTTCACTGGGATGGTGGGTATTAATTGAATGGTAAGTTTGGAACAGTATATCGTATAGCTGTCATTTGTACAATCTCGAAAATAAAATGAACAATATTCAAAGGTGGCAGTTTTTCATTGTATTCATATCTACTTAGAAGTATGGTTATTTTCATTTGACTTAAGGATCCTTTAATTAATAGTTAATGTACATAAACATGAAAGAAAGCTAATTTTGGCCAGCGAGAGTCTGTATACCCTTGCAGGTAACAATTAAAATAAAACTAAGCCAAAAATGCATTAATTTGGATTCGGAAAGCAGTTTTGTGTTAGTTTTTATTAATTTAAAAAAACTGCATACCAAATTTAAAATGTTAAGAAATCAAAATTTTTGGCCATTTTTGCTAATTTTAATGATGTAACCCCTTATCAAATTTCGCAAAAATGGCCAAAAAATCGATTTCTTCCGGACATGTCTAGAAAGATTCGCATGTTAATGCTGATCAAGAATATATATGGTTTATGGGGTCGGAAATGATTCCATGACTTAGAAAAATATTATTTTGTATTATTAAATCGGATTTTGTATATTAAAAAACTTCTTGATTATTTTAAAATTAACAAGAAAGGAAGCTAACTTCGGCATGCCGAAGTTTGTATACCCTTGCAGATTAGTTTTCATGTTTATATTATAGATTATAATACTGACAACACTCACAAAACAGAGTTTCATTTCATTTTACCTATACTTATTATGTTTACAGTTTGACAGTTTCAGTTTTACATTCCCAGCTTTACATATTTTATACATTTACCGATCGCTTCTATGGCAGCTATATGATATAGTTGTCCGATTTTTATAAAATTTATATTAAATTCTAGAATAATAAAAAAAGCTTATATCTGAGAGTAGATAAACACACGTTGAAAAACAACGAAGCTATAATTTTGATACCCTTGCAGGGTATTTTATTTCCAGTCCGAAGCTCATTACGCATTGAAGCAGTCATTTCCGACCCCATAAACCATATATATTCTTGATCAGCATTAGCAGGCACATCTTTCTGGCTAAGTCCGGAAGAAAAAAATTTTTAATCAATTTTTTCAAAATTTTATAAGGGGTTACATCATTAAAATTCTCAAAATTTGATAAAATTTTCAATTTCTAACTAAGTATGCAGATTTGTTAACCTTATAAAAACTAACATAACACCGCTTTCCGAATGCAAATTAAGGCAATTTTGACAGAGTTATGCCTTTTTTTGTTTTTAATTTGCTATTTTTCTCATTTCAATTACATTGATCGTCATTGCCATCGCCATCGCTTCTAGTCATCAGTATCAGTAGACCTGACACCCACCCCGGTCAAGAACCAAGAGAAAGGACCAACGACACACGCAAAAGGATGGTGGATAAGGGATGGGAATTGAGGAACAGAGATCAGGAATCAGGGATAAGGAGAGAGCACCGACAGTCAGGTCTGCCGGCTACTTTTACAACAACAGCAACGAACACAACAAGCAACATTTTAATTTTAAAATACTTTATTTTATTCTATGTTAATGAACCTAAATGAAAACAATGAAATACATTATTTTATATTATTTTGTTTTATTTTATTTTTCCTATATAAGAAGAAATCTAAGGAAGTTCCAAACTTTTACATTTTGACAAGCACTGGACCAAGTGAGATTCTATTTTTACAGTTTTAGAGCCACTGGAGTTTCTGACCAGTGCTTGTCAAACTGTAAAAATTGAATCTCACTTGGACCAGTGCTTGTCAAACTGTAATCTGAACTTTCGCCTAAAAGATGCCACGTTTTTAATATAAATCCCCAAAAGTATGCTTTTCATACAATTTGGCCGCTTTCCAAACTGGGGTAACAGGCGAACAGAAACCAGCAGCAAGCAACTGAAAACTGGTATAAACTGTTATAACAACTTTTGGGCAAAAATAATAATTGGTATAAACTGTTATATTTCATTTTATGCATTTATACCTATTTGTTGCCGACAACAACAGCTTGATGGCAACAACAACCCTTTTACAACAACATCCCTGCAGCAGCCCATACAAATTTCTGAAATTTTCCATGCAAATTGCCCGTTTCCCAAATTGAGGTAACAGGCGAACAGAAACCAGCAGCAAGCAACTGAAAACTGGTATAAACTGTTATAAAAAGTCCAAGTTTAGAACCATTGATCTTGGAGTAAGCGAAGACTCAAACCAGATGTGACCATATTGTACATTTTTTGGCTAAAATGTTGCTTAAATGCACCTGGGCACACTGAAACTGACTTTGCATCAGAGATGCTCATTAGCATCAGTGATGCTCATCTAGCTATATTGCAATATTGGGAGGCTATAAAATCGGGCTTAATGGCAGTGATGCTCAGGCTATATTGCAATATTGGGAGGCTATAAAATCAGACTTTGCATCAGTGATGCTCATCTATATATTTTGTCCCAATAAAGAAATATAGCTAGATAAGCATCACTACCATTAAGCCTGATATATTGCCTCCCAATATTGCAAAATTGCTACATGAGCATCACTGATGCAAAGTCTGATTTTATAGCCTCCCAATATTGCAATATAGCCAGATGAGCATCACTGCCATTAAGCCCGATTTTATAGCCTCCCAATATTGCAATATAGCTAGATGAGCATCACTGATGCTAATGAGCATCTCTGATGCAAAGTCAGTTTCAGTGTGCCCAGGTGCATTTAAGCAACATTTTAGCCAAAAAATGTACAATATGGTCATATCTGGTTTGAGTCTTCGCTTACTCCAAGATCAATGGTTCTAAACTTGGACTTTTTATAACAGTTTATACCAGTTTTCAGTTGCTTGCTGCTGGTTTTTGTTCGCCTGTTACCTCAATTTGGGAAACGGGCAATTTGCATGGAAAATTTCAGAAATTTGTATGGGCTGCTGCAGGGATGTTGTTGTAAAAGGGTTGTTGTTGCCATCAAGCTGTTGTTGTCGGCAACAAATAGGTATAAATGCATAAAATGGAATATAACAGTTTATACCACTTATTATTTTTGGCCAAATGTTTTTATAACAGTTTATACCAGTTTTCAGTTGCTTGCTGCTGGTTTCTCTCCGCCTGTTACCCCAGTTTGGAAAGCGGCCAATTTGAATGAAAAGTTTTGCTCACTTGCATCAGTGATGCTCATCTGCATCAGTGATGCTCATCTGCATCAGTGATGCTCTATTGGGACAAAATGCATCTCTCCTAACTGCCAGTGATGCTCAACTAGCTATTTTGCATTACTGGGACAAAATGGCAACTCTCTAGCTGCCAGTGATGCTCATCCAGCTATTTTGCTTTATTGGGACAAAATGGCATCTTACTAACTGCCAGTGAGCTCATCTAGCTATTTTGAATTTTTTGCATTTATTTCTCACTAACTGTCAGTGATGCTCATCTAGCTATGTTGCTTTATTTTGGCAAAATGGCATCTCACTAACTGCCAGTGATGCTGATCTAGCAATTTTGCAATATTTGATGTTTTTTCCATTGTCCACCGCAAGAATGGCCTTCCATTGAGCCTGTTTAAATTATCCCACCCAAAAAAAACCGCATCCTCCTCATAACTCAAAAATAACACATTTTTTAAGGAAAGCTGTTCTGAGTTGCCATTTCTAAGCCTAACACAACTGCATGCTACGTTTAGGGTTCTTTTCAATTTCATTTTAATTTCAATTTTAATGACGGTACCCCTTACATATTTTTGCAAAAATGGTGCGATTTATTTTGAAAAAAAAAAAAAAAATTTTTCAAATGTTCATTACTCAGCCAAAAATGCATGGAATTCAATTCGGAAAGCTGTTCTAAGTTGGTTATTCTAAGCTTAACAAAACTGCCTACTTAGTTTTGCTTTAGTTCAAGTTCCAGTTAGTCCAACTTTTACGAACAATTAAGAAGTTTATTTAACTTAATTTGCGACATTAAGAATATTTCCAAATCTATGCAGATTTTATAACAATTACAAACCCAGAGTGGCTTTGCCTTGGATACACAGTTCCCTTAGGCAACCAAGATACCCCACTGCTGCTGGGTATCCAAATTAGAAAACAAAGTGAAGGCGCCTGTTTGTGCGCTCATAATTAAGGACATGAGCCCGAGCAGCGCACTAATGGAAGGCGCAAAAAAATAAAATAAAAAATACAAAGTGAAAAGTGAAGGTGGCAGTAAAAATGAAAAATGGAGTTTTGCACATGGCGGCAGGACATGGACATGGGGGACATGCGATATTTTCGTTTTCGGTACCGAGCTGTTGACACTTTTTGGGGCCGCGGCAGAGACATAATTACACAAAGGTAGGCTGCGCGCGGCTTCAGGTGACCCTGAAAGCAGGAAGTTCGCTTTGTGTCATGTGAGCCGCCCGTCCGGTGACAGCCAGGAGGAGAAGCAGTTGAAAGTGCCGCGTGTCCTGTGCCGTCCTGTCCTGTCCAACGTCATCGTCATGCTGGCAACCAAACACACACAGAATGGACACTTACACACACACACTCATTGACACTTATCGCGTGGGTGGCGCGTTTAATTCACATTTTATTTTCAGTGCCCGTGGCTGCGCGCGTAATTGTTGCTTCCATGTCCTGGCCCAGGACACGGATGTAGTCACTTCGCGTTGGCGCTGCACGGCGGACGTGTGCGCGGTGAATCGCACATTCTGTGGCCAGTTATTCCGTGGGTTTAGTGTTGCCCAGTTTTTGCGCCATGCACAACGAGGAGGATCCCTCCGCTCCGGTGGCCGGCAGCCACTCGGATTCGGTACGGAGTCCACCGCCGCCGGCCATAGCTCCCCGACGCCCCAAGCCAGGCATTTTGCGCCTGGACATTGGCAAGCCACGACGCTCATCAGGTGGTTCCGTCGATTTCCGTTGCGTGGGCACCAGCAGCACCACCACGGCCAGTGGCAATGGCAGCGGCAACGACAGCAACGTGGCCACTGGCGCCAACAGTGAGGTAAGTGAGCATGATTTACGGCCCGTCGGGGAGTGCTTACGATTTGGCCAGGCCAACAGGCCAATGACTTGGCCAGTGGAGTGTGAATGGGGCCGGGACCCAGCTGCAGCAATAGCTATGCCACTGTCAATGGCCATAAACACCAATCGCACTTAACTGGCGGTCGCTCCTGGCGTCGGTCAAGCAATGCAGCTACCATCTGCCTCCAAAGCGATCCCCTTTCTGGCTGTTAAAATCATTTTTTTACACACGGCAATAGCCGAAAGGAGGTAGCCGGGAGATATACATACAGAGGAGCCATTAACCAGAAGCCAATATCAAAATGATGGAATTTTAGACGGGGTAAAGACGACCTGGGTATACGTTGCCAGGAGGTTTATCTTTCAAGATAAAATTAGCGAAATAACACCAAGTATTGTTGGGTTCAGGAAATTACAGAAATTATAATATAGAAATTAGATCAATCTTCTTCTGTGAACACTCCAAAAATCCATATAAAAAATATAATCTAATTTGATAAGTTTTCGCTAAAAGGGAACCTATTAACCTTAACCTTAAACGAAAGACCCCCAAGTTAACTTTTCAACCCAATATAAACTTACAACTGTTTAATAAACCCAGAGAAATCACATTTAGTCCAAGCTTTCAACTTTATGGAAGCTAATAAACCAGGTAAATTACTTAAATAAGCAGACGCAAGCAGCTGGAGGCAGGAGGTACTGGCAAATCACAAAAAACTCGGCTGCAGGACACAAGGGTATCCCGAGGTTCATTAGGCCAGACATGCGACAACAGCTGAACTGTGGAGAGTGGCTGCCTTGGTGGTGGACACACCCCGGGTCAAGTGTGGAATGGCCAAGGAGGGGGATAAACATTTATTTTGTCATAAAGCTGATGCGTAATCTCAACAAGCTAGGCCAGGCCGAGTGGGTCACCCAGAAGCTAGACAGTTGGCACGTTCGAGTTACACAGTTTCTAGCTTTGACTATCCCTCTGCCCGGAACCCTGAACAGCCAGCACCATGTCGTTCGCGGAGAGCGCCCACCAAGTCTTCATCACGCGAAGCAGCTATGAGGGGACCTTTGGCAACACGGTCAACGTGATGAACGGTTTCGGCAGCTACCGCTATCCGGATGGAAGCGAGTACCGAGGTGGCTTCCACCAAGGTCAGTTCCATGGCTTCGGCCAGCTGCGTCTGTCGCAGCCGTACCGCTTCACCTTCAAGGGTGAGTTCAAGAACGGATGCCTGGTGTCAATCGAGGACATGTGGTTCTCCGACGGTCTGCATGTGAAAGGCAGGATTACGCCTAACGGACTCGACTGCTCCGAGTGGGATTACCTGACTCCCACGGATCGGCGCTACCAGGCAGAGCGGCGCTATGGCCAGCAGCCGGTGGGGCCCACCGCCTTCCTCACCTCCAAAATGGTGGCGCGCACCCTTCCGAAGAACTGCTATGATACCGAAGAGGGCATCTACAATTCCGAGACCTGCTGGCTGACGGAGCGCGCTCCACCGCTCCAGAGCTCCGTCTACGTGGCCTGCCAGAAGGAGAAGAAGTGGATCGAAAACAATTGCCGGAAAGCCAGAAGTGAGCACATGGTGGAGCCCAATGCCAACGAGTGCCGCAGCATCATTGAGAACAATTTGGCCACGGAACGAGTGCAACTGAAGGACACGTCCATCTACGCGCCGTTCGGCAAGGTGAATCGGGAGCGCTACTTCCACAACTTGGCCAAGAAGCGGGGTCACGCCGAGAGGGACCCGCAGTCCTCCGACCGCCAGCGCAGAATGCGCGTTGACGATCCTGCCTGGGAGACTGATGCCTGCTTCCGTGCCTATGCCCGAGTGTCGGAGCAGCAGGAGTCCCGCAGCCGCAGCCAGCCGCAAACCCGGTCACAACGAATCAAGCAGCCACGCCACTGGTCGAGCACCTCGGATGTCCGGAAACCCAAGTCGGAGGGTGACTTCAGCTGCGAGTCGAACAGCTTCAACGAGGACTCGATTCCCCTCAACGTGAAGGAGACGTACCTGGCGGCCGCGTCCATGAAGCAATGGAAGGGCACGGACAACCTCACCGTGGTGCAGTCCAACCTTGTCCGCCGCATCAGCTACATGGACATGACGCGTTCCATCTTCGAGTTGTAGATTGATCGAAATATGTTTTCCAAAATTTTAATGTCAGCTATGTGATCCCTTCTTCGAAAGGATCAGCATTAAGCGGGAATATTTATCTTTTTAAACTCTGAATAAATGTTACATAATTTTAATTTCAAACGTAGGTAACTCCAGCCCACCCGTGGGAAATATCCTCTTTAGCTAATTCTTTTAAAGACACATTTTATTGAAAAATGCAAGGCCCAGTGGCTTCCCTAATAGGAGATGCCAGTGTTCCGGCGAATCCAATCCAGTTGGACGGTGACCCTGGCAAAACCAGCCGGCAAGCCCAGTGTGCATCCATTGGAGGCCACGAATGCGGAGATGCCCACCAGAGTGGAGCCCTGCTTGGTGACCAGTGGACTGCCAGCATCGCCGAAGCAAGGGGATCTGCCTTCAGGAGTTCGGGTGCAAAGGATCTGGTTAGAGACCGTGGAGGAGCCGTAGAACGAGACGCACTCGTTGTTGGACATGATCTGCTGGTCGACGCACTGCAGCCAGTCAGAGAGTCCATTGGTATAGGTGGTCACGCCATAGCCACAGACACTGGCCCACCTGTTCTCGTAGCTCTGGGAGCTATCCCTCAGCGACGGCAGGGCAACACTCTTCACTCGATTACTGAATCCGACGCGGGGAATCCGTACCAGGGCGAGGTGCTCACTGCCAGTCACATATTGGCTGGCACCCACACTAACCACAAACTGAGCTTCGCTCAGCTTGGTGGCTCCGAAGTAGATGGTAACTCCGGAGCTGGCCGTCAGGCACTGGGCCGAGGTGAGGATCCAAGTGTCGGCGATGATGGTGCCACTGCACCAGAGATTGCTCTGGTGGAAGGCCATGCCCACCACGTAGGGAGCCTGGCCATCGTAGGCCGGGCTGCCATTAGTGATGATGTCCACGGGCTCGTCCTCCTTGGCGGCATTGGCGGAGGCGACTGCCAGGGTGAAAATAAGTGTCAATAACTTCATGATTCCAAGAAAAACTCGTTTCAGTCCAAGCTCAATGGGTTGGCATATATAGCCATTCTCTAGGGAGGGTAATTAGGCTAAGTTTAGCACATTAGCGTGATTTGCTTGGCTATCGGGGGAGTTGAGTTAAGAGAACTGATTACAGTTTGTAATGGTTATAATTATAACTCAGTTTTCGGAAAATGAAATAGAGAAGAACATAAATTCAGGGGGATAACTTAGTTTAAGGCATGAAACAATTAAGTAGTAAAAATAATTATTATAACAGCCATAACTATACTTTATTTCTTGCATCTATGTCTGTCAGGTCTTTAAGTTATCTAGTGTTATTTTAAGCCAGACACCGACACAAGTTTCAAACTGACTTTCCAGGAATCATCAATATATTTAAATAAAAACACTACTTTTACACCAAACAGAGTTGAAAGAATGACATTCTTCGAGAAGGCGGCGGCCACCCGGAAAGAATCATTCCTAACCGGTACCCAATTTTTCGGTAAGCGCAATGAGCTGGGCATGCAGGAGTTCGGAACATATATATTTCCGGATGGTACTCAGTACGACGGCGATTTCAAGAACAATCGCTTCCACGGTAAAGGCTCCATCCAGACCGCGGGTCCCGATGGCGTCACCTTCACGGTGACCCATCACCATGGACGGCTGACGAGCATCGACAAGATCGAGTTCAACGATCGCCTGGATGTGGACTTTGAAATGAAGGAGGATCACACTATTGGCTTCAAGCCGTGGATGTACTGCACTTCCCAGGATCGTCGCTTCCATGGGGAAATAACGGATACGCTGGAGCCGGTGGGTCCCAATAGTTTTAGGTGCAAGGACGGACCCAATCCTCCCAATTTGGCTAACAACATCTTTGACCTGGGCTTTGGCCTTCTGAGCCGACAGGGCTTCATGCTGGACACCAAAACCTTTAGCAACCGGAGCTTCTATCTGGGCAGTCGCAAAGTGCGTCGCTGGATCCGTGAGAACTGCCGCCACGGTACCCTGGTGGGCCATCACCTCAAGCAGAAGGTCCAGGCGCAGTTTACCCGAGAGATCATCGAGAACAATGTGAAGTACTCTGGCTGCACCCGAAAGAATGGCATCGCGCCGGTTCATATCTGCCGGCGCTCTACCAGCCTGGATAGCTTCAGGTCGCGGAAGTCCACCCGTGTCCACCTGGCCAGCACCACCGACAGCTGCTCCTCAATGGCTGACCACCTGCTGAACCGCCACCGCCCCTGTGCCACTAAGATTCGTCGATCCAAGAGCGAGAGCAACGTGTAAAGATGGTGATGATGATGCGTTTCGTTCCTGGGTTCCATTTCTTTCGATTCCACATTTGAGGCTTCAAATTAATATTTTGTGTTTGTGCTTGGCTGACCCACATTCTGGGTCGAAGGCGTTGGCCGTGTTAGGAGCCAGGATTTATGGCGAAACCGCGAAAACTGCAGTCGAACATGGAAAGCCACTTAGGCCTACATTCGACTTGAGTAATAGGGTCAGCTGCACGGAAAAGAAAAGGCTTTGGCTTTGTTGTGAATATCCTTATGGAAAAATAATAAGTGAAATATTATTAAAATATAAAACAAATAATATAGGATTTTTTATTAGAGCTCTCCTTAATATCCTTCAAGATTAACCCTTTGAAAAGAAATTTGTATACCCAAATTTTTACAAATATTTTGGCTTTGCTATTAATTTAGCTCAGTGTAGTTGTCTATCCCGGCATTGAACTTCGACTGCGCCCGTCTCAAGTTCACCTGCACCTGCCGAAAACTAGAATTCGGGTCTAGGACTCAGACTAGGCCACAGGACCACAGCACAGCGGGTAATGAACCCATAATCGCCTGGCATTATGCTACACGTGCGCGGATTTTCATGGTCCGTGAACGAAGGCGGAGAGATAAATTCGATGTTAATTAAAGCCCAGGCGAACGGCCTCTGCGAGAACTTCATTTAATTAAAAGGAAACGAAAGTGAAATCAGAGGACGCGAAAAGCGAAAGCGAAACACAAAACACAACGGAGAGCACCAAAACATATATTTCAATAGTGGGCGCTCCCCAGCTGGGAAAGCCCTAGAATTTCGCGATTTTCTTTATCAACCCTTGCATGTTTGATTTTCATTTACATGGCCGGGCCAAGAATACAACGTGACTCAATATCAAGCGCCACAAAACCCACACTAACACATCGCAGGACATGGAACACCCACACACTCAGGCAACGCCATCTAAATGGACATTCGAAGTCCTGGCTGGTTACGCCCGGATACGGCGTTGTTATCACATGCCGCTAGCGATTTTTACACTCATTCGTCTTCGTTCCAACTGGGCGAGGAAGTCAGATACGTGTGGCCAGGATAGCCGCTCTCCCTCGCCGCCTGTCCATGTAAATTCCTTTGCGCCCGACGCCGCTCTGCGAGTGTGTGGGTTTTGGGCACGTTTTGGCTTTGATAAGTTGGCCAAGGGTGGGCCACTGGGAGGTCCGTCGGTCCTTCTCTTCATTCATATTCATTCATTATTAGAAAAATTTAACTTTCCACCTGTCTGTGTGTGTGCGGGTCCTGTCCTCGCAGTGGTGTTGGTGCCCCACTGTCCGCTGTCCTTTTGGATGATGGTCTTTTGCGGCTCGCTGGCCCTGCCAGCCAGCTAAGCCGTTCAGTCCGCGCAGAAGGCTGCTCCCAAGCGCTACAGCGGCAGACTAGCAAAATCCGGTCCGGGACACAGACTAGTGACTGAAAGGATTTTCCCCAACCGAGTTTAGTGACCAAAGGGATTTTCCTAAGCGAGCCGAAAAAGTGCAAATATATATTAGTGTTTTTGGGATTTAAAACTAACCAAACAAGAGCTTATTATAAAGTAAATCTCTAATATCTGCTTAAAGTATTAAGAGCCACCCGTGTGATTTAAGTCATTAAGGAGTCCTTTAGCTTAATTTCAACCTGAATTCCTAGAACAACTCGGGCGTCACATCGCCGCACCAACTATCCGTGACCTGGGCACCGCCATGCGACTTGAATAGAGGCGGCGATTCCTGGCAAATGCAGAGTAGCGCCGATGCCAAGAGGGAATTCTACCGAGGACAAAGAGGCAGGAGGTAAGTCCCACGGAGTAAGGTTAAATTAAGGTTCTTGGAACACTATTCTGTCATTAATTTGTATTAAAGAACCGCATCACAGGAGGAGCATAGATCTTACGAGATAAACGGTAGGTTTTTATAATTAAATAAACCCTAATTTGCATTGAATTATAATCTATATATTTATTTTTTATATTAGTTTTTATATCAACTTTATAAAAAATCTATGTGAATATACGTTGATAAATAAAAAATTAAGATCAATAGAAAGTCCTTAAGTCCTATACGTTTTCTTCGATATATTTTTTATCCAGAATAAATTCTTTGGCTAATTTTATTGCACCACATAGTTTAATACAAATTCTTACAAAAAATCTATACCGACTTTTTCCGAGCGTAAAATAAAAACCGTACAATTACACGTTACTATGGGAATAATACAGAATCCTTCGCCCCACCTCTAGATTTTCCATCACAAAACCAAAGCAGCGACGCCGAGAGCAGCCACCACGAACCGCATTTTGGCCAGCATCCGCCAGGAATTGGATCCGAGGATGGCGGCCCCGGCGACGTCGACGATGAGGAGGACTACTCAATTTCCGTATCGGCAATAATGCAAAGACGTGCCAGTGTGCGCGGCTATCGAGGCAAACGTGGCAGCCGGAGCTCGCGACGAGCATCCAGTCCCATGGATCACGTGCTGGATAGCGTGGAGCGGCGGCGCTCCAGTGTCTATACGACAAGTTCAGGCAAGTGCAAAGTGCTCCAGTCCGGGGCCCCATAAGTGTCCGTAACAGATTCCGCTTAGTTAACGAGCTGCAGAGCTGGAGAGTCGTAGGCGGAGGCGGGTCCTCCGGCGCCAGCTAATCAACGTCTGGGGGCCTGTTTTCCGTAATTTCTCATGCTACGTGCGGCCATACTGGGCGTATGTGTAATCTGTTTGCCTGACTCTGCTTTGACTTCGTTTTATTTCCCTCCACTTTCCGTTCCGCTCTGCAGAGGAGGGCACCAATCAGGAGTCCACGCAGGAGCAAATCTTTGAGAACATTCGCCTGCACAAGGAGGTCATACAGTCGGTGAAGTTACAGCCATGGCCCATACGAAAGAAGCTCAAGTTGGTGCGGCAGGTGGGTGGAATTCGAGGGGCAGAAGCTTAAGGAGCAGAGCTGGCAATTTGGATGATCTCTTTAATTTCCAGATAACAAATAATAAAAAACAAAAATGCTTTTTATAATTTTTTAGGATTTATATTGCTTAACCAAATTATATATTTATAAATATTGCTTTATATTATCAATTAATCATTTATTTCCTATAGCCTAGAGTTTATCCTTGTTTCACTTTTGCTGACCTTGTTTTCCCGCCTTTTTCTTCCGCCAATCTGTCCTGGTTGTGGGCAGCCAGCCCTGCCATGTTAAGATGGGAGTGGAAATGGGGGAACGGGAGGAGCTCAAAGAAAGTGGGCCCAAAAAAAACTGGGCGCGTTCGTTTTCACGCCGCTTGTCAGGTCGTTGAAAATGTTACGACCTCCTGCCTCCCTTCTCCGAACACTCATCAAATCCTGAGGCAAACTTTTCGATTTCATTCACACCACCTCTTTATCTCCCATCTTGTGCTTCGCCCTGGCATTTTTAATGATGTTTGGACTCCGGGATCTGGCTCGCTGGATGTGGATGTGTTGACAGGCCAAAACATATGTGGCACGCCACGAGGGCGCGCTACAGGAACGCTTCGCCATGTCACGCAGCACGAGGGACTTGTGGGCGAGGTTTAAAATTTTAATGGCGGCAGTAAGTGATTTTCCTTACCCTCCTCCGGCCGGAAATGCCAGCAGCATGCAGAATGCAGAATGCGGAATGTGGCTGCACCAAGCCCAAGGCGAAGCCATGCAAAATATTTATGTTTACACAATTTATGGGCCACTTTCCGGCCGTGGGGACGGACATATTCAATAAATCCACACTCGCATAATTCAAGGAGTTATGCGGACTTGGGCGTCCGGGCTTGCTGGCTGGAAAACCAATTAAAGTACGAACTTGCAGCCTGCGATTCGCCCGAGACGTGCATAACTCATGGGAGCGTGAATTACAGTTTTCTTCTGCTTTTTCTTGCCCCATCTCCCCCAGCGCTGGCGACACTGGAAACGGGAGACGACCAGCTTCCTCACCGTCCTCATACCCTGGGAGCTGCGCATCAAGGAGATCGAGTCGCACTTCGGCTCTGGCGTGGCCTCCTACTTCACCTTCCTGCGATGGCTCATGTGGGTCAACATCATGATTGCCATTCCGCTGGTGGCCTTTGTCATCGGCCCGGAGGTGAGTGTCCTCGGGGGCTGCGCCTGGAAAGTAGCCAATTTATTTGCATTAATACTTACATTTATGTTTTTATGTTTCCTTCTGTCGTCGCCTGTGCTGCCCTCCCCGCAGTACTTTGCCACCAAAAAGGACGAAACGGATCCCAGAAAGCAAATGTCCGACCCGGAGAAGAGAGTGGCCGGCAATCTGTTTACATTCTGGGAGTTTGAAGGATACCTCAAATATTCACCCATGTTTTATGGGTAAGAAAGTTATTAAATCTTACGTTTCGGGATTCCATTTTTATACCCTTGCAGGGTATTATAATTTCAGTCAGAAGTTTGCAACGCAGTGAAGGAGACGTTTCCTGCCCTATAAACCATATATATTCTTGATCAGCATCAACAGGGGAATCTTTCTAGATATGTCAGGAAGAAATCGATTTTTTGGCCATTTTTGCAAAATTTTATAATATTTTTGATTTCGATAAAAAATTGAATTTTCAAATTTAATGAATTTAAATGAAGTATGCAGATTTATTAACTGTAGAAAATCTAGCACAGAACAGTTTTCCAATTTAAAATTAATGCTCTTTTGGCCTACTTATGATATTTTTAATTTAAAAAAAATTAAGAAGTTTTTTATTATAAAAAATCAGATTTTATAATACGAAATAATATTTTTCTAAGTCAAGGAATCATTTCCGACCCCATAAACCATATATATTCTTGATCAGCATTAGCATGCGAATCTTTCTAGACATGTCCGGAAGAAATCGATTTTTTGGCCATTTTTGCAAAATTTTTTAAGGGGTTACATCATTAAAATTTGCAAAAATGGCCAAAAATTTTGATTTCTTAACATTTTAAATTTGGTATGCAGTTTTTTTAAATTAATAAAAACTAACACAAAACTGTCTTTCCGAATCGCAATTAATGCATTTTTGACTTAGTTATGATATATTTTAATTGTTACCTGCAAGGGTATAGAAACTTTGGCTGGCCAAAGTTAGCTTTCTTTCTTGTTGATTATACTTATTATTTATAACTACAATTAAAAATGTTATTATTATTATTATTAAATCTGTTTTCTTTTAATTTGTTTTTATAATTGTTCACTTCAAACGACAAGCATGCATTAATTTAAATAATTACTGCATTTATAATTGCAGTTTTGGTTTTTTATTAATTCATAGATCGGTTACACTGGTTTTTATGTCTTAAATATGAAAAATAATCTTTGTTCTAAAATAATGAGTAAAATAGAAATAAAAACTAATAATAATAAATAAAAAATTTATTTCGCCCAACGTGGGGCTCGAACCCACGACCCTGAGATTAAGAGTCTCATGCTCTACCGACTGAGCTAGCCGGGCACTTGGAACTCGCCGAGTCAAAGTCCGGGCAAGCCAAGAAGGGATCTTAAGTAAAGTAACGAATCTATATATAGACTTTCATGAAGAATGCGAACAGAATATGTAAAAACATATTTCGATTGTTAACATTTATATTAATGAACATTCGTGCTTCGGTAAATAGAAATGTATATTAATACATGTTTAAATATAGAGAAAAGGGTAAACTTTTTTAAAATGTTAGCTTACAGTTTAATTAAATATTGTATTTGGCACCTTAAAGTAAATTTTTAAGAAACAAAAATGTTTTCAATTTCTGAGAATTTTAACGATATATAAATATATTTATAAATTTGTAAAACAGTGAGAAGTGAGAAAGAACCGTCTGTTGATGCTGATCAAGAATATACATATATGATGTATAGGGTCGGAAACGACTACTTTACTGGCTTCTGAATAAAATTATTATACCTTGTAAGGGTATAAAAATATATATATATTTATTTATTTATAATTTTAAAACATACAACAAAAGGAGAATGGTGTTCAAGGTTACATAAACCCTCCAATATAGCTACTTCATATTTATGTATATAATTTCTTATATTAAGTATAATTTTTTTATTTTCTTAATAGAACTGTTAAGTTAATTTGTTGATTGTATAAATGCAGACGTCTTAGCCTGCCTTAAGTGCTGGCAATACCCACCTAACACTATATTTCCTGATGTCCCTTTGTCTTCCCCCAGCTACTATTCAAGCACATCCGGCATTAGCACGTTCGGATATAAGCTGCCCTTAGCCTATTTCCTCACCGCCGTTCTGGTCTATATCTACAGCTTTGTGGCGACGCTGAGAAAGTGAGTATGTGGGCCGCCATCTGGCAATCGGGGGAGCAAAAGAGGTCCTGTCAAGATGGGGCCTGGTGTTGGGCAGGCACTTCATTAAATCCTTGGTCATCGAAGCCGCAAAAAGCAAACTAAATGTCAGAATGCTCGTTAATTAATTAAACAACACTGAAGCGCTGATTAAATAATACAAATCTTGGCACGAGGCGTGTTCGGGGAGTCGAAAAAGTTTCTGGCCCAAAAAAAGGCATTGGCCATTATGATTTACGCACGCACAGGACCAAACACGTGCAAAGGGGGCGGGAGCTGACACAGAAACAGGAAGCGGAAACGGTAAAACGCCATTTTGAGCGTGGGGCTGGGCGGATGGGCGGCAGCCATTGGACTTCTCGCTTTAATGGCTTTGTCGGCATTATGTTGATTTCGTAATTGAACAAAGTAGCAGTGTCAACAGTGGGCAGCCGGCACTGACCTTTCCTTTCCTTTCCGCTCTGCCGCCACCCTGCCACTTGGCGGGGCACGTGCTCCGCCTGCCTGAATCACCCCAATACCCCTGCCCGCCATTAGGGGTATTCACGTATTCAAGGATTGAAGCGTCGCCAGGATTTTAGCACAAATTACGGCTTGCCTGTGCGGAAACTAAAACTTTTCCCGATCTCTTCCCAACAGAATGGCGGAGAACTCCCGCAACTCGAAACTTTCCTCGAAGGACGACGAGTGCGTCTTCTCGTGGAAGCTCTTCACCGGCTGGGACTTTATGATTGGTAAGTGGCCGGTGCCGTCCAGTACCAGAGCCTCAACTTTTTATTTTTGCATCTCCCGCAGGACACGCGGAGACGGCCCACAACCGTATCGCATCCGTGGTAGTCGGCTTCAAGGAGGCACTTCTCGAGGAGGCCGAGAAGAAGAAGGATAATCGCAAGTAAGTCGCGGCCAAGCAAGGCTATTTACTTATCATAATCGATACGCCGTCGTCTCCTTTCCAGCTGGCGAGTTATTCTCCAGAGGATACTGGTCAACATCCTGGTGATGGGACTGCTCGGATTGTCGGGGGCCACTGTGGTGTTGCTGGTCAATCAGTAAGTGGGTTGGATGGAAAGGAAGAATCATTATTTGCAGGCAAATTAAAGTATAAATATCAGAATTGTTCTTTCCTGTATTTACAGGAAAATTCTGCTTTTGACTTGAGAGAGCTTTTGGGTCTTTTGTGGATTACTTTATTTATAATTGTTCACTGTTCTTTTCTTTAACAGCTCTGAAGATTTGGCCAAGCACGACAACTGGCTAAGTCGCAATGCTGTGAACGTGACCATGACCCTTCTATCATTCTTCCTGCCAATGATATTTGAAGCACTCGGACTCTTCGAGAACTGGCATCCCAGGCAGCAGCTGCGACTGCAATTGGCGCGGTAAGATACGGATACTGATTACTCTTAAAATATATAACTCAAAGTCTCCTTCTTGCAGGATTATGATTCTTAACATGCTGAACTTGTACTCGCTGATGTTCTCCTTCATCTACAAGATCAACAGCAAGGAGAAGCCGCTGCAGATGCTGAAGCTGGAGAATGAGACGAACACTATGGAGCTGAGAAATCTGCTGAGCTCCATCGAGGCTCTAAGAGCCATGACGCCCACGACATCGCTGTATAGCGACAGTACCTCGGAGGGAGGCGGTGGTTTGTTCGATGAGTCCACCTCGACCACCGGTTGGGGTGAGGACACCACCACCGATGGCCTCTTCTCCACAACGGCAGCTGCTGCAGCCTTAATCTCCGGCACCTTGCAGCGCCTCAAGTGCTACAACATGACTGTGAAATGCTCAAAGCCCAGACGCACCTTCATCAGTGCAAAGAACCTGGCCACAACGCTGATGCTCCTCAACCTGACAACGCCATCGATGGTGCCGTCCAGCACTACGCCGCTGCCCACCACCTTACCCACGACAACGCCTACGAGTTCGGTGACTTGGACTACAACAGAGGCAACAACTACGACCACTACGTCGCCTTGGACCACTCTGCCACCCTCGACGATTACATCCACGGAAACTACAACAACGACTGAGAAGACAACGACCAGGACAACTGAAGCATCAATCACATCCACGGTATTAACAAGTCCTCCAACCACAAATGTGGAAACTTCCAAGATAGTAACTCCTGAAGCAACAACTAATAAAGCAACTTCAAAGTCCACAACTCCCGAGGAAACAACTAACAAAGGAACTCCAAAATTTACTACAAGTAAAGCAACTCCTGAAGCCTCTTCAAGTACAGTAGGAATCCCCAAAAATGCCACCACTGAACCACCTACGAACACAACAAAATCCACAACAACCACAACCACGGAGGCACCCAAACCCGAAGAGGATAACTTTTTCTATACCACCGACGAAGATGAGGGTTCCTACGACTATGGCGAGGTCTCCGCATCTTCAGATGCTCCAGAGAACAACAACAGCTATTCCGATTACACGGACTACTCAGCGGATCCTTCAGCAGGACCAGAAATCGACGATTTTGATGACCAGGACACCACTGAACAGGCAGACGATCCGCTGGCCAAGGTTCTGGAGCAGGTGGACGAGGTACAAGAGAATAAGACACGCCGGAAAAGAGCACTAGATGATCCGCCCATTTGGCGGACAAGCAAGTACAGTAGGCGCCATCGCACCGACACCGACACTAGTGGTGTTGGCAGGACTACGGATGCTGTGAATACTCCACCCCCCACCCGATTGCCCGTTTACTGGCCACCCTACAGGCCAACCACGCCGAGCACAACTACAACAAGGAAGCCGGCTCACAGAATTATCACGAAAGAGGAATGGGAGAATCTCGTGAGACCGTTTGCACGCCGAGTCACACCCACAACGAGTTCCACTACGACCAAGGAAACCACCACCCGGCGACCCAGGAGAAGATTCCGTACCACAACGCCACAGCAGCTGTCAAGCTCCACCGGGGATTACTCATCAACCACGGAGAGTGCCAGTGAGTCGACGTATCCGGAGAGCAGCACCTACGGCTATGGAAGTAGCAGCAGCAGCAGCTCAACCCCCGCCGAGGAGGAGGACTACGGCTTCACGGATCGTAATGGCAAAACGCCGTACTTCATCGGCTACGGGGATATAGCCGAGATTGGCAGCACCATTTACTATGACAGCGAGGACGGCGAGCACCTGGAAACGTGCATTATAACCGTGTGTCCCAGCCGCGACGACATCTTTGGCACGGGCTTCAGCACCACCGAAAGCCCAGATTCCGGTGGTTCCACCCCAAGTGCCGACAGCAAGCAGCTAACCACCGTGAAGCTCACGCCGCTGGAGCGGAAGCAGAAGCGACTCCGGGAGGTGCAGCTGGCGATTAAGCAAATACAAACCAATCTGACGACCATGTGCTGGGAGACCTCCCTGGGCCAGGAGCTGTCGAAAGTCATCGTCTTCGATGGGGTGAGTGCACGGGAAAAAATACTATTAAAACCAACTTAAATAATTATAATTCTGTAGTCTCCAATATGTCAAATTTCTACAGAATTAATAAGTAAATTTATAAACTTAAATTTAAATCTAACAGAAAAGCTTTCCGAATTAAAATTGATGTTTTCTTTGTCTAGTTTTGATGAATTTCCAATTCGATTTAATGACCAATTTGCAAACTGCAAGTGTACACACATTTTGGTTTACCGGGTTTAGCTTTCTTTTTTGGTTTTATTATATTCTATTATTATTTATTATTTTACATTTAAATACATTTCAAATTCTTGTTGAACTCCCATTTCCAGTCCTCGTAATTTCTTCTCAGTGTCGAAATACTGAATGGTGTGCCAATGAAAGGAGCTGCTCCAGCTGACACTCCCGAAAGTTGCCGCAGTTTAAAAGCAAATTTATCACCATGAGCTGCTATCAATTTCCCAGAGAAGCTCACTCCCAGCTCCCAGCTCCCAACTGCCAGCTCTCGGAGGCACAGTTGCTTCTGTATCAAAATCTATTTAGCCTTAAATATGATTGAACTCAAAGGGAGAGTGGCTGCTTGCTGAGCGTTCTGGGCGTGAAATCCCGTTTAGCTAAATTATCCGGAAAATTTAACGCAAAATTTGTCTTCCGCTGCTTTGTCTTCTTTGGTTTTTTGCAATTTGGTTTGCTTTTGGGTCATGGGGATTTGAAAAATCATATTCCTGCGCTTCGAAATCTACTTGACTTAAAAGGCCAAAACGATTCGGAGGAGAAAAGGCGAAATGGAGAGCGAAACGAAAGCATTTTATCATAATAATCGCTCTCGGGAGTCTTCATCCTACTCCTCCTCCTCCGCGGAGGAGTCGTTCTCCCATTGATACGGAACGCAGCTGGGAGCCGGAACAGGAACTTGTGACTTGTGAATGGGGGGTACTCTTCGGATTTTGGATTTCGGATTTCGATTTCCAACCCCCCGCAGTTCGCAGTTGAAAATTTACATAAGCCATAAGCATGATTGTGAACTTTGGCCCTCGAATGCCAACTTTTATTTGGCCATTTGCCACGACGAGTGTCGATTGGCATCCCATTGGGCTGCTGGGAACTTTCCTCTTCCTTGCTTCCTTTTTATCGTAAACAAATTCGGGGAATCACTAAAGTTTTCAAGGTCAGCCAGGAGTAAAGATAAGGGGACCAGTCAATAACCCCAATGCGGGCAGTAGACGTAGACGCATCTCAATCCCGGGATTACTTTGCCCTTTTATGCCGTACTTAACATTTGTCCGACATTCGTGTAAGGCCCGAAAAAAAGACATGGGTCTCGCTCCCAATTTGATTATGCCCCCCGACATGGCGTACATAATCTGTATTAAACGATTTAAGCACATAAATTAGGCAAGTTACGGGCCGGGGCTTAAACGCATTTATGCCGTACGCATAACAAATGCTCTCTCGATGGGGAAATTGGGTTTGGTCGTGTGCGGTTTCGGTTACACATACCCCACATACCCCACCTCGGAGTCGGCATCCTCACCTCGTTCGGTTTTCGATTCAAAGTTGGGGCACGTGTTCGTGCATGAACTGGGGACCACAGGAAATCAGGCAGGAGTCAAGGCAGGACAAGATGACGGACGACGAGATGCAGCGACCTGGGCTACGTGGGGCCACTTTTAAGCATCCTCCGACTTCATTACAAAGCACATTAAGTCCCCAATTTCATCTTCCCCCCCAAAAAGCTAATGTCCATTGTGGCCCCGCTGTGCATCGACTTTCTGCGCGCCCTGTTCGTGCGGTATGTCAATCAAAACTGGTGCTGGGACATGGAGAAGACCTTTCCGCAGGTGAGAGACATCCCTCCCAGCCGCAGACCTTGACTAATGCGAGGCTTTGTTTCGTTTATGCCGCAGTATGGCGACTTCAAGATAGCCGAGAACATCCTGACGTTGATTAATAACCAGGGACAGGTGTGGATGGGCATCTTCTTCTCGCCGGGCTTGGTCCTCATCAACCTGGTCAAATTGATGATCATGATGTACTTCCGCTCCTGGATAGTGCTCACCTGCAATGTGCCACACGAGGTGGTGTTCAAGTGAGTGGTCTTGGTGGCTTTCTCAACATGGTGACGGGCTAATCGTCAATCTGTAATCTGTAATCCTTGCAGGGCCTCCAAGTCAAACAACTTCTACCTGTCGCTGCTGCTGACCATGCTGTTCCTGTGCGTGCTGCCCGTCGGCTATGCCATAGTGTGGCTGCGTCCCTCCTGGCACTGTGGACCCTTCTCGGAGTACAACCGGATAGCGGAGTTTATCACGAACACCACGAGAAATGCGCTGCCAAAGTGAGTTGATGCTTAGCCAAAGGAAACCCTTTTTCTACTCTAAATATTTCCCAGACAACTCCACGAGCCCCTGGACTACCTGACCTCCTCGAGCACAGTGATTCCCCTGCTTCTGCTGCTCATCCTCATCATCTACTACTTGGTATCCCTAACTGGCGCCCTGCGTGAGGCCAACCAGGATCTAAGGACACAGCTGCAAAAGGAACGCGAGGAGGAGCGCAAGAAGATCTTCAAGGTTCCAGAGGTGAAGCAGGCAGAGCCCACGGCCACCACGCTCACGAATCGCTGGCGAAAGGTACTAGAGGCATCCTCTCCGGTGACACCCACCCAGCCACCGGACTTTGATACGGAGGAGTACAAAAACCAAGCGAGGAAAGGTAGGTCAGGCCCAGGGATATAGATTTCAGTTTACTAATCATCTCTTGTTCTCGTATTTAGAGCTAATCTCCCGCATCATGAAGAAGGCCCTGCGCAAGGGCTCCGCCACCTCAGACGAGGACTCCTTTGTGCGGCGCGATGACGACGACACGGACACGGAGCATCAGGACTCGCTGCCCCACGACGAAGAGGCCAAGGATAAAAGATTCGGTCTGTCGCGACTGCAGCAGATTCGGCGCACCAGGAAGCCCTCCCTCGTGGACATCGTACAGATAGCCAAGCAGGAGCGGGCAAGAGCCGGCTCCATTGTGGCGGGAACCAGCGGAAGCGGCGGCGGTGGTGGTGGCAACTTTCCGGTAAAGGAACCCCATCCCAAGAGTCGCTTCAAAGTGGAGAAATCCGAGCGCAAGGACCGCGGCAGCATGAAAGAGAAAAAGGACATCAGACACAAGCAGCAGCCGCAGCAACCGCCGCCCTACGAATTGCCCAAGGACAATGAACATGATCCGGATACAAACTCAAGGATTGTCAGCGAGCGCCGCGCCAGCCTTCTGCTGCGACGTGGCGAAGAGCCCACCACCCCGGACAAGGACCTCCCGCCGACGCCCACCGCAGCCGAGGACTCGCCCAAGGAGCAACAGACACCGGAAGAAGCCTCACCCCAAACGCCGCCTACGCTGGCCAAAAGCAAATTCCAAATAGTCGACGAAAAGAGGCCGCCGCAGGAGGCGGAGGATAAACCCGCTCCCAAGGAGAATGGAGCCGGAGGAGGAGGAGGCCTAGAAGCCATCGGTCTGGGCAAATTCAAGTTCCGCAAGCACCGATTCAAGTCAAACAATGCGGGGGCCAAACCAGAGCCCGAAGTGTTCAAGTTCGATGAGCGCAGTGTGGAAAGGAGCTCCGAAGTGCCCGCCACTCCGGGAGCCGAGTCGGAGCCGGAACCCTCTCCCTCGCCCACGCCTTCGCCCACTCCCAGCCAGGGACAGAGCCAGAGTCAGGGCCACCACCAGCGCCAGTTGTCGGTTCTGTCCCGCCAGGGACGCAAGAAGATCGGCAATCTGCTGGCCCTGGTCCGCGAGGCGGTCAACCTCAAGAAGGACGACGTGGAGCAGGGCTCGGATGAGTCTCCGGGACCCACCACGCCCACCTACCTGGCCTACACCCCGCCGCCACCGCCCTCAGTATTGTCGAGTGTGTCCAGTTCGACCGCTCTGGAGATGCCGCCCACACCGGAGCCGGAATCCCCGACGCCCAGTGCTCCGCTGCACTTTGGCAGCAGCACCGCCTCTTCTTCCTCGCGGCCGCCATCAAAGCCACCGAAGCCCCCAAAGCCACCATCGTCGGCCACGGCTCCCACGGCCACCATGGACGACCTAGAGGAACTGGATATGCCCGGTCCCATCACCTTTCCCAGGCGCAGCGCCTCCCAGCGACGTCGCACCATGCGACAGGACTCGCAGAGCTCCATTTGGTCGGACAACATACCCACAATCACCATCAGCACCACCGGCAGCGATGAGTGCATCGTGGATGCTGCTGCCGCCACTCTGCAGAACGGACAGCCCGAGCCGGCAGCCAGCTCCTCGTCGCCGAGGCCCACGGTTAACATAATCAAAGTAACCATCGAGGATGAGCAGGAGAAGTGAGAGCTGATCTCTCAGAGAAGTGCCCTCAACGCCAGATTGTCTTCTTAATTCAAGAAACTAGCCTTCTTCCTAAATCCAATCTAATTTACTAACTTGGCTTAAATCTCGTTCTTCAGCTTTTTTGTAAATCTTCTAGTCAGTCGTCTATGAAAATAACAAAATAATATTAGATAAATCTGTTTATTTCCTTAAGAAATTATAAATAAACTCTATGATTGCACGAACTTTTAGTGGATTTTTAGTCTAACGATAAAATTAATAATTATTGTTTAATCCAAAGGTTACAAACTTGCTTTAGCATCCTACAAATTCTAATTTCCCGGCTGCAATCCCCTCGCACAGACTTATTTTTTCAATGAAACCGAAAGTGCGGCGACGACTGTCGTACAATAACCTCCTTATCAGCTGGACCCGGCGATAACCTGCTAACTCCAAAAACTACAAAGTAAGGCGGAAAGTGGAGCAGAGAGCAGCTTCCGAGACAGTTCTGGACAGAATCTTGGGAGAGCTGAAAGAGCTGTTTAAATATTTGCCAGACGAAAAATGAGCAATTAAAAGGAATGCGGCAAATGAAATATGAGTTATAATGATATTTGGCGGGGCAATTAAACCGCCGTACTCTAGAGGGGATTAGTTGGAGTTCTCTGTCTATGGTCCAACTCCAGAGCACATATTGTATCCCAACCAGACTCGGAGAGTGGCAGATACAAAGCCCTGGCGAGCTACAGATACGCAGCGGAGATTCGGCAGTGAGTTTCACTCAAAAAAGAATGAGAGGGATTTGGGAGCGGAGACGCAGCCATCGCACAGTGTCTCAAAATCATAGAATTTAGACTAAAATAAATTTTAAAATATTTGCAGACCCTTTTTTTTATTTTCCGTGATATTTTAAAATTACATTTCAATTAAGAGAATGTTCAGGAAAAAAACTCAATACGCAGAAGCTATAGAAAACAGTAAATTATTGGTTTTATTTTCAATTAATGTTAAAAAAGATTGTTCAGTGTTAGGTCTTTAACAAAACCGATTGTTCTTGCAGCAAATAAATATTTTATTGACTTATTTATAAGCAATTTTATAAAGAATTTGAGTAACATTCGGTAGACCTCTAAATCTAGGAGATCTTTAATTTAAACTTAAAAAAAATGAACTAACTAAATGAAAATACTATATAATATATAAGACTTTAAAAAAATAGTTTAAAGATCTTTGAAAATAATCAAAATCCTCCGGCAACAATTAAACTTTATTTAAAAAAATTAAAACATAACTCAAGAAATGCTCTGCAAACACAAAAGTATCTTTCGCTCGACTGTGCAACGGATCGCTTCGGATCGGCTGGCTTCGAATTCCTCGAGAGTCTCGAGTCTCGACTCGAGAGTCAGTTGAGCATTGGACGTCCTCGTTAGCGGTTGCCTGTGTCTGCGGAGCGGCGAAGTAAGTGGCCGCCACTCGAGTGTGGTGCAGTTGGTGGAGTCTCGGTTGTCTCAAGTTGTCTCGGGTCTCGGGTCACCTCTTTTTTTTCCTTTCAAAGAAAAAAACCCCCGCAGATAAAAAGTATCTGGCCCGTGTGTTTACTCGCGAGGTTCTTCGCCTTCGCCTTCGCCAGCCCGATACAATTACAGAGTGCAGTGGGTAAAACGAGGCAGTCAGCATAAAAATACTGACTGAAACTTGTGCACTGCGGTGGAACAGCCAGTCCAAAGACAGTGCAAGTCCTACGATTTAGTGGAAAATATATGTAAATTTTGGAAAAAGTGGCCGAAAAGTGCACCATGTGTTGGCGGAGGTTGTGGCAGCGGAAAATGTATCTACCATATAAATAGCCGATAAATAAACGAAAATAACGCAGTTGCTGCGCCCTGTGTGCATCCGCGAGATACTCGCACAAAACGGAGTTCGTAAAAGTATCTGGCTATCTGCCTATCCGAGTTTCTCAGTATCTGAGTATCTTTGAGTGCGATTTCGAGTGCTTTCCTCCGATTTCCCTTCTACCTGCGGCCCGTGTCAGTGAGTGTGTTTGAAGTGAGAAGCAGTGGATAAAAACAAACGCTGCAATAAAGATACAAACCAAAGAGGTGCAAACAAAAACGCAGTTCGTAGAGAAGACCCTCTATATACAGTGTGTAGTGTGTGTACATAGAGTATAGTGTCTGATATCAGGCTAAGCGACCCGCTAGTTCGTAGCCCCAAATGCTTATCGCCAAAGGAACTCGTGTTCGTGTTCATAGGCGCGTATCTCGCGGAACGGCTCAAGACCCAGCGCGAGAATCTCGAATCTGAATGGAGCGGATGTTCGTTATGTGTGTATAGTGTGTGGTGTATATATGCCTGTATGCCTGTAGTATCAGTGTGGCCTCCGCTGAACTCTCTCCGCAAAGGGTTCACCAATCATTTCAGCCTGACAACAGAGCCGGGTCCCGATCTCTAGAGTCCGATCCGAATCCAAATCCAAAATAAAGCCTCTGCTGATAAGCTAACGAAAAGAAATGAAATAAACCGAAAAACGGGAAAGGAAGTAAATGAGATCCATTGATAAAAACATGCTTATAATTAGAACTTGCGTGTGAGTGAATATAAATATTACGAAACCCCGATCCGGGACTGTGATTTCGTGTCGTGCTGATATAGCTTTTGGAATAGAACGAGAACGGCAGCCTCTCCCTTCCAGGAATTTAAATTTGAGCTCCCATCGGGAATAACAGCAGTGAATGAAATTCCATAGGAGTTTGTCTTCTGAAGCTCTATCTCCCATTCCCTCCATCCAAGCCCACGAGAACTGGAATTATCCAGAGGGAAGAGCCAGTTTTATATGGTTTTCCGAGGATGTTTCTCAGCTGACAAGATGGAAATATAATGACAGCTTGGTTTTCTCTTGCTTAAAATTATTTTACATAAATTTTAAACAATTCTTTACTTTTTAGAGTGCTATAATATATTTATAGAGCTTTTCTCTTATTTTCAAGGCTAATCTCTGAACAAAAAACTGAAATACCTCGCGGTATAAGCTATTTTCAAAAGGTATTCCTTACTTAAGAAGTGATATCATCTTCCAGCTAGTTCTGTTGCAAATATTTGCTAATTAGTGTCTCTCTGCTCAGCTAAATTCATAAAAAAGAACGAGATTTGAGATCTCAAGACTAGGCAGATCCTAAATGAATCCAACCTTGGCTACATCTCACTGCAACAAGTGAAAACGCAGCAATGTACATACATATACTAGGACTTCCCGAGCCTCATTATTATTAGTAATAATTGCAGCTAGCGAAAAATGAGAACTAGCATAGCGGAATAGATGAAATCATCGCATGGAATTACTTCAAGTTCTCGAATACACATTGTATGTACACACACATTATACACTTTCTGGCGGAGCTCATTTCCAGCGAGACTTTATTTATGTCTCTCTACTGGTTGTTTGAAATTTTCATTTGCAGTTTTTGCCTTCGTTTTGTTTACCCAAAAAAAAAAAAAAACAAAAAACCGAATGTACTCATTGCTTGAACTGGCCGGGGCCAGTAAAGTTTATTTTTTGAGGCATTTGCCCGGCGAACTAATTAAAAATTGCTCTTCCTCTCCATCGCCCACAATGTGTGGCACACATGTTCGGGCGTTGCTTTCGGACTCATGGATGTGATTCTAATCTGTTTTTGATTCACAAAACTAAAAGAACTAGAATCGTGTAATATAAAGTCACATATTAGTGTTATTATTTTAGTTTGTTCATACATTTTTATGAGGTTCTTGGCTTTTTTTGACAAATTAAATGACTTAATAAACCTCTTTGATTGATTTTTTAATATTTAAAATTATCACTCATTCAAATAAAAAACCATTCCATCATCTCTCAGAATAATTTAACTTAATTTAACATACATTTTCACGGTTTCTTCCAGCATATGAAGTCGCTCAGGCACCACCAATAGGAAAGATTCTTCGTTATGAATTGAAGCAAGTCCGGGCAAAAACCAAGACAGCAACCCACCTAGAAGATCTACCGTCACTCCGGAGCACAGTTCCGCATCCCAGTGCCATCTACCTGTAGCCAATAAGCCCGTGCTCACCGGATTCCCACCAACCAAAGCCGAAACAATGAAGCGCAGCCGGTGGAGCCCCAGTGGCTCCTCAACGGCGCGCCTGCTGCTCGCCGGCGTTCTGATCGCCAGCTGCACCTGGTCCACCCCTGTCCAAGGCGCCCAGCGGCCGCCCATTAACTCTGCCGGAGGCCATGAGCTGCGCGGCACTACCTTTATGCCGGCCCTGGAATGCTACGATCCATATGGCAGACCGCAGGTAAGGAGGAGGAGGAGGAGGTGGAGGAGGTGGAGCACTCATCACCCCGATTGTTTGTCCACAAACCAATTGAGACGAATTTAAATTAGCTTCAGCTTCGTTCAATTCGAGAGGCAGATACAAACTAATTGAGCAATAAAGCGACAGTTCGGGGAATAGGAAAAAATTAGCTGGAGTTGTGAGAACCATTAATTTACGGCATGAGTGCTTGCCCATTACATTTTGTCAGCAGAAAAATAAGCAAATAAGTGTTGAAGATAAATAAACATTACTATGTACTGTGAGTTTCGAAGATGAGTTTGAAATATGGCCCCAAATATAGATTTACCTTTAAATGCTTCTCCAAACATAAACTAATATTAATAAATTTTGTTAAAATTCTTTACAAATATTTATTATCCTTTTGTTGTAATTCTTTAATAGAAATGCTTGCCCGAGTTCATTAATGCTGCCTATCAACTGCAAATTCAGTCAACAAATACTTGCGGTGAGCAGCAGGACAATCACTTTTGCATACAAACCATGAATCAAAATCACAAAAACTGCGAGTTCTGCAAGTGAGTAAATCTTGAAGACCTAAAGAAATTCGCCTTCAAAATTTAACTACTCCTTTACAGATACCAGGATCACAATCCCTCGTTCCTGACGGACTTGCACGATCCCCAGAATCCCACCTGGTGGCAGTCGGAGACCATGTTCGAGGGCATTCAGCATCCGAACTATGTGAATCTGACCATTCACCTAAGTAAGTAAATTTAACAACTCAATGCTAAGTATTAATATATATTAAAATATTATTTTAAACTCTAGGAAAATCCTACGATATCACATATGTGAGAATACTGTTCCGCTCGCCACGTCCCGAGTCCTTTACTATCTACAAGAGGACCACGGAAAATGGACCCTGGATCCCGTACCAGTTCTACAGTGCCACCTGTCGAGACACCTACTTCCTGCCCGACTCCCGGGCCATTCGCAAGGGCGAGGGCGAGGCCCATGCTCTGTGCACCAGCGAGTACAGTGATATCTCCCCGCTGAGAGACGGCGAGATTGCCTTCTCCACGCTGGAGGGTCGCCCCAGTGGCATCAACTTCGAGCACAGCCTGGAGCTGCAGGACTGGGTCACGGCCACCGATATTCGCATTACCCTGGACCGCCTGAACACCTTCGGTGACGAACTCTTCGGCGATGCCCAGGTGCTCAAGTCGTACTTCTATGCCATCTCCGACATAGCCGTGGGAGCGCGCTGCAAGTGCAACGGTCATGCGAGCAAGTGCGTCGCCAGCACGGGAATGCATGGGGAACGGACCCTCGTCTGCGAGTGCCGTCACAACACTGACGGACCCGACTGTGACCGCTGCCTGCCGCTCTACAACGACGTCAAATGGAAGAGGGCCACCTCAACGGAAGTCAACGAGTGCAAAGGTAGGAGCAGTGCAACATCCATCATCTGCGGGAAAACAGGTTGCCACAGTGGGACGTGCTGTAAATGAGCTCGTGATATATTAACTTAATAATCTATACCAATTCGAACTCTCTGGTGGTCACTGTACTCCCCTGTGTGGAATTTCCTTATAAGGACAGACCAGTTTGCCGTTAGCTAGAGTTAGCTAAGCGGAAGATGACCATCACATCAGTCATGTTTGTGCCTTTCTCGTCCGCGGTCTTCTTTCTGGCCTTTCCTTTGGCCTACGTCCAGGCCTGGTCCAATGACTACAGCCTCGAAACGAATCTCATAGGGCCGGGAGTGCCTCTATGGTACCTAGTTAACTGTACATTAAGCCTCCCGACATCCAAAGGATATTCTTATTAAGAAACATTCCTCTCCCTTAGCTTGCAACTGCAATGGCCTGGCGGACAAGTGCTTCTTCGACGCCCATCTCTTCAACCTGACGGGACACGGCGGTCACTGCCTGGACTGCCGGGAGAACCGAGATGGACCCAACTGTGAGCGCTGCAAGGAGAACTTCTACATGCGCGACGACGGATACTGCATCAACTGCGCCTGCGATCCTGTGGGCTCTCGGTCGCTGCAATGCAACAGCCACGGCAAGTGCCAGTGCAAGCCAGGCGTCACCGGCGACAAGTGTGATCGCTGCGACAACAACTACTACCAGTTCGGACCCCATGGATGCCAACCCTGCGGCTGCGATGGTCGCGGATCCCATGAGAACACGCCCGCCTGCGATGCCGAGAGTGGCATCTGCTACTGTAAGGAGAACGTGGAGGGCAGGCGCTGCAACGAGTAATTAATCTTTTTAAAGGATACTCCCTAGAACCCTCTCTAATCCTGAATCTCCATCCAGATGCAAACCTGGCTTCTTCAATCTGGACAAAATCAATCGCTTTGGCTGCACACCCTGCTTCTGTTATGGCCACACCTCCGAGTGCCAGACGGCACCCGGCTACTCCATCGTCTCGGTCGCCTCCAACTTCAACAAGTTCAAGGAGCGCTGGACGGCCATCGATCTGAACCAGCGCGAGGTGGACATCAAGTACAATCAGTACAGTCGCAGCATTGGCACCACGGCCCAGGGCAACGAGCACGTGTACTTCCAGGCGCCGGATCGCTTCCTTGGGGATCAGCGAGCTTCCTACAACCGAGATCTGAAGTTCAAGCTACAGCTGGTGGGCCAAGTGGCCAGCACCAGTGCCAGCGATGTGATCTTAGAGGGCGCAGGCAGCCGCATCTCGCTGCCGATCTTTGCTCAAGGCAACGGTATACCGGATCAGGGTGTTAAGGAGTACACATTCCGGCTGCACGAGCACCACGACTACCAGTGGCAGCCAAGCCAGTCTGCCCGCGGCTTCCTCTCAATCCTGTCCAATCTGACGGCCATTAAGATCCGGGCCACCTACTCGGTGCAGGGAGAGGCCATTCTCGACGATGTGGAGCTGCAGACGGCGCATCGCGGCGCTGCCGGGCACCCGGCCACCTGGATCGAGCAGTGCACCTGCCCGGAGGGCTACCTAGGCCAGTTCTGTGAGTCGTGTGCTCCCGGCTACAGGCACAGTCCCGCCCGCGGCGGTCCCTTCATGCCCTGCATCCCCTGCGACTGCCACGGCCATGCGGACATCTGTGACTCGGAGACGGGCCGCTGCATCTGCCAGCACAACACCCATGGCGACAACTGCGACCAGTGCGCCAAGGGCTTCTACGGCAACGCCTTGGGAGGCACTCCCAACGACTGCAAGCGGTGTCCTTGTCCCAACGATGGCGCCTGCCTGCAGATCAACGGCGATACGGTCATCTGCACGGAGTGCCCTGTGGGCTACTTTGGCTCCCGATGCGAGCAGTGCAGCGACGGCTTCTTTGGGGATCCCACCGGACTCCTAGGCTCCGTGCAGACCTGCACCAGCTGCGACTGCAACGGAAACGTGGATCCCAATGCTGTGGGCAACTGCAACCGGACGACGGGCGAGTGTCTCAAGTGCATCCACAACACGGCCGGCGAACACTGCGACCAGTGTCTGCCCGGACACTTTGGTGATCCTTTGGCCCTGCCCCACGGACGCTGCGATCGCTGCAGCTGCTACGAGGCTGGTACGGAGCAGGACGAGCAGAGCATCACGCGCTGCGACCAGGTGACTGGTCAGTGCCAATGCAAACCCAATGTGATCGGCAGGGACTGCGGTGAGTGCCAGCCGGGATACTTCAATATCCGGTCAGGAAACGGATGCGAGAACTGCCTGTGCGATCCGGTGGGCAGCTACAACGCCACCTGTGACCGCTACACCGGCCAGTGCCACTGCCGCCCCGGCGTGGTGGGCCAGCGGTGTGACCAGTGCGCCAACTACTTCTACGGCTTCTCCGCCGAGGGCTGCAAGCCATGCGAGTGCGACGAGAGCGGCTCCAAGGGCTTCCAGTGCGACCAGAACGGTCAGTGTCCTTGCAATGACAACGTCGAGGGACGCCGCTGCGATCGGTGCAAGGAGAACAAGTACGATCGCCACCGTGGTTGCATCGACTGCCCCGATTGCTACAACCTCGTCCAGGATGCCGCCGATTTGCATCGCGCCAAGCTGGCCAATCTTAGCCAAACCCTTGACGAGATCGCTCGCACCCCAGTGACCAACGACGAGGAGTTCGAGGCCAAGCTAAAGGCCGTTCAGGAGAAGGTGGCCGTGCTGGCTCAGGACGCTAACGACAACTCCGGCGAAGGCGGCCAGACCTACGTAGAGGTAATCGCCGATCTGCACAAGAAGCTGAACAGCGTCCGGGAGCACCTGCAGAGTGCGGACAAGCTGCAGGATGAGGCCAATGACGAAATCGACAAGGCGCGCCACAACTACACCATCCTCAACCAGATCACCGAGAACGCCAAGAAGGAGCTGCAGGATGCCCTTGATCTGCTCAACGACGAGGGAGCCCAGGCCCTGGCCCGTGCCAAGGAGAAGTCCGTGGAGTTTGGCCAGCAGTCGGAGCAGATCTCGGACATATCGCGCGAGGCACGTGCCCTGGCCGACAAACTAGAGTCGGAGGCTCAGTTTGACCTGAAGAACGCCAAGGATGCCAAGGATGCGGTGGAGAAGGCCCATCAGCTGGCCAAGAGTGCCATCGATCTGCAGCAGAAGATTGCCGTAGAGCTGCGCTCCGAAGTCGGCCTGGAGCTGAGCCAGGTGAAGCAGCAGGTGGGCATTGTGGCCCAGACCTCCAAGGAGGCACTGCGCAAGGCCAACGAGGTGTACGACAACGCCCTGACCCTGCTGAACGACGTAAACCGCCAGACGCAGCCGGACATCGACATCAACCAGCTGAAGAAGGAGGCTGCGCAGGCCAACGAGCGGGCGGACGAGCTGCTCAAGCAGATCAACGAGCTCTCCAACAACAATGGTGAGATCTTTGCCGATTTCGAAACCGAGCGCGAGCTAACGGAAACGCTGCTCAAGAGGTGAGTTCTCCTTAGTTTCCCCCTTAATGTCCTTGCTTAACATACCCATTTCCTTGCCAGAGCCGACCAGCAACAGCGGGAGGACATTGAGCTGCTGGAGCGGGCCAAGGCCGCCCATGACAAGGCCACCAAGGCGGTGGAGCAGGGTGACAATACCCTCAAGGAGGCCAACAATACCTACAACAAGCTGGCAGGCTTCCAGTCGGAGGTTCAGCGGTCCTCGGAAACTGCCGCCCAGGCCCTGCAGACCGTGCCCAACATCGAGAAGGAGATCCAGAATGCGGAGAGTCTGATTGGACAGGCGGAGGATGCTCTGGCTGGAGCCAATAAGAATGCCAACGAGGCCAAGAAGAATGCCCAGGAGGCGCAAATGAAGTACGCCGAGCAGGCGTCCAAGGTGGGTTTCTCTATTTTGGGTATTTCTGGATCCTCTACAAACCTTTTTCTTGGTAGGATGCCGAGCTTATACGCCGCAGAGCCAATGAGACCAAGGTGGCGGCCAGAAACCTGCGCGATGAGGCCGATCAACTCAACCACCGGGTGAAGCTCACCGAAATGGACATCTTCAAGCTGGAGGAGAGCTCCACCAAGGACGACAATCTGGTGGACGATGCCAAGCGAAAGGTGGGTAGGGCCCGAGCCGACACAGAAGATGCACAGAAGCAGATTGAGAAGGCTAACACCGAGCTGGCGGCCATCAAGGATGAGCTGGAGAATCTGAAGGACATCAACACAGATGATTTGGATAAATTGGGTAAGTTACAAAGAATTTTCTTTGTTTTGTAAGGATTGGTTTCTAACTAATAGCTAATCCCCCAGAGAACCGCCTGGCCACAGTTGAGGATGAGATCAATCGCGTCAATCTGACGGGTCGCATCGAAAAGTACAGGGATCAGCGCACGATCCAGAAGAATCTGATCGACAAGTACGATGCCGAGCTGAAGGAGCTCTCCAACGAGGTGAACAATATTGGTATCATTTCCAAGTCCCTGCCGGACAAGTGCTTCAGTCGCAATCGCCTGGAACCGTAGGGATCCGGAAGTGGAAGCGCAAGCGAAAGCGGAACCAATAACAACTACTTCAATTAACACTAAGTACGAGAACGAGAACGAGACGAACAAATCAGATTTATGATAGCACGTAGCCGTTGAATGAAATTATGTAATTTTAGTGCCTTAGCCGAAATATTCTGTTTAGTGACAAGACAAGGTTCCCCCCCGAAAGAAGAAAACTAAAAGCCCGAGCAACATAATCGCTGTTCGCCTCCAGAAGAATGCCATATAAATGATACTATAACGATTCAACTGCCAACTGAGATTTTCCAGTTAGTTTCAAGCCACCAGCCATGGACTGTATTATATGTTAAAGAGCCACGACGACACCTTGTACTCCAATGTAATTCGATAAACCAATCGCATATCTCTGCCATAGCTCCACCTGAAATCTATTCTGTACTTTTATACTTTAACATATTTGTCATCTACGTTTAATGTGCCAATTACAATTACCATGTATCTTTGTGTGTAAGTCGCTTAAAGAGTTTCCCTTCAAAATATAACTTTTCCAACGTTGTCATTTTGTAAAAAACCACCTATTTGTTGTTCATGTTTCGCAGCAGCAAAAAGAAGTTGGCGCTCAGGCGAAAGACCTATTATTACACAAGGAGGAAAGGTTGGGTAAGCCTTACTTTAGTTATTTTTAAAAACATTACCTGAACCAGAAACTTGTGGGAGAGATTGGTAAAACCCCCAACACTCAAGACAAAGGTTTTGCGGGTAAAGAGCAGCATCATTTTGATCATAAACTTGAATTCCCTGGACTCATTATACCAGCTACAGTTGTACCAGTCTTGGAAAAGTAGTTCACTCTGAAAACCCATATATTCTTAAAGAGAAAATTAAGCAGAAGAGGTAAAAACTTACCTGGGTCTCCACCTTTTGGGCACTCACGTTGTACAAGCTGATCTCCAGAGCAATGGTGACAAAGTAAACCATAATCATGCCCATCCACACCCAGCCCACTTCCTGGAAAAAAGAATATAATATAAATATATTCTTACATTTAAAGTATTTATTTCTGAACTTACCAAAACTGTGCTGATCTTGTAGAGAAGCATGCATATTAGAATGCTACTGACTGAGCACTGAACCAGGATGATGTACTTAAAGACATTTTCCACTTGGTTATGGTGACTAAAAAAGGAAAAATTTAAAGGAGTTTCCTTTATCTTACAAAAACCTACCTTGATATCCTGGAAAATAGCCTCACGCAACAGCGTAGGTACTTAACTCTCTGCTCCTTGGGAACCAGCACATCTGAGGTGGAGTTTTGAACCAGGAAACGCAAAACCTTGATGAGACCTGACTCATACCCGGTGAGAACCACAAAGAGGCTGTTGAAACCAAAAACAGCTAATGGATATAAGTCTTTAATTAGATGTTCCATTTTAATTTATTTAAGGACCTACCAAAAAAGCACCAAACTGGACCAGATTGTAGCAGAAAAAAGCGAATAACATAAGAGGGAAACTCATACTTTCCCAGCTGAACATAGGGAACGATGGCAGGATAGGCTTTAAATTATTAATTCATTTTAAAATAATTCAAGCTTAGAGTTTTTTCTGGGACTTACTCAATGTCATCTCACACGTATCCTTGACAATATAGCAATCAAATATATATTGAAAATAGGGTCGCAGGGTGTAATATAGCACAGGCATGGTGACGATCTTGAAGAAGAACATCACCTGACGATCAATAATCACCCAGTTGTTGAGCAGTATGAGGCGTAATGACTTAAGGAGGTCCTGTTTTTTCGGCAAATCTAATAAAAAAACACTCATAAAACAGAAACATAATTTAAAAGTAGTATGAATTCTTACCCAAATCAAAGAGTCCCAGGGATTTTAGAACCTCTCCTGACTCCGTAGAGTAAACCAACTGGGAGCAAGATTCCACAAAGCTCTGAAAGTGAAACATCTTGACCACACCAACGCTCAGTTGAAAGGTAAGCAGCACGGCCTAAAAGAGAGTTCAAGGATAATGTTTCATCATATAATTAAAAAACCATAACAAACCTCCACGTATGTCTCAAAGGAGACGTGGTAATTTTCCATGATGAAAGCCACGAGACTGTAGATGATGCTCAGGTTAACTATCACCACCACAACACGGGTTCTATATGAAAAGGAGATTTATCTACAAATCCAATGAGAAATATACAAGAAATCTTACAATCTGCAATACTTGGAGCTGCGCTTCCTTGGCGCAATATTAACGCCCAGCGCATAGGCACTGTACTCCACCCACTGAAGGCCCAATTTGGGCAGCTTGTCGATCCGCTCGAGCTCCTGATCCAGTAGGTCCTGCATTCCTTAAGGATTTATCAAAGACTGCTTGTTGGGACCCTGATGACCACACACTTTTATGGCATTCGCAATAGCTTTTCGGGTCTCAATTAGTCGCCTACAAATTATACGGTTCACCTGAAATAATTTGCTATAAGTTGTGGTTATTGTGCAACTCGATAGGGGACACAAATAATTATCGAAATTGGAGGGGCGTGTCTTTAAATCATTAAAAATTTAGAACTCATCGAAGGAGCAGCTATGCCCCAAAACCTGAAGGAGCCTCCTAATCGTGAAATTAAACTTCGTAGGGAAGAGTGTTGGGATACTCACAGGATATTAAAGCCACGGCTTCAGGTATATTATTTGTGTTTTTATTGAGATTTAAAGATATATGAGGATATAAATACATACATTTGCTTAAAAATAAAAAATTTGGCTAACTCTTATCTTAAGACTAAACATATATATATTTTTAAGAACCACATATTTGTGCTCCTTTACAGGACATTTTGGTAAGTATTACTAGTTTTTATGAATTAAGACATTTAAAAAATATATGTCGCTGTATTTTTCTAGATTTTTTAATTTAAAATTTTAATTATTTATCCAAACTGCAATTCATTATGATATCATAACCCTAACCATCATATGAAAACGAAACTTGGTGTTACCTTTAGAAATTCTAACGACCAGCTGCCAACATTTCCGCAGATAAACAAATAGGCTATACAAAAATACAAACAGATATTTCTTTAACTAATACATACATTTTAAAATTGCAAAAAAATATATATATATATATAAAAAGAATCCCAAAATCTTAGTTTATAATCTTCAATTAAACATGGTATCTTTCCCTAAAATCAGACAGATTCTGATTTCCGCTGTTTCATAAAAACGAATTTACAATTATCAATATCGCTAGAACTACAATTTATTTTATTTTGTTTTAAATGTATAGTTTAAATATCTTTTAAATAATTACAAATTACATTTATCTAAAAGTTATAGTCGAAATATCTTTTGAAATAAAAAAGTGATTCTATTAAGGGTCAATTCTGGTTAGTTGGGCCAAAAAATAGGCCATTTTCAGAAATTTGTTGTGGACAAACGAAAAGACATAGAAAGTTCAAACTTGTCACATATATTTATCATAGTTTAAAGATTATTTAGCAAAATTTTCAAAAATTTTTAGAGCATGTCCTGAAGCAGGACACAGGGCGACGTAAGCCCATGCCCAAAAAAGGCACCCCTCTGGCGACCATCCTGCAGGACGTAAAAATCGACTGAAACAAAAAATTCAAATATGTTCTTGTTTTGTATGAATGTGGTTATGGAATAGGCTACTTTTTTTAAAATTGAATAAAAAATAAGAAAATGGCGGCGCCTCAAAAAATTTTTTTCGTTTTTTTGAAAAATTTCCTTACTTTTTTGTTGAGTAAAAATCCAATGTTTAAGCTATCAATATAATTGTAGCCTATTCCATGGACACGTTAATTACGCGTATTTAAAAAAAAAAATCATTAAGATTCGTTAAAAATTGACTGAGATATTATGGTCGCCAGTCCGAAAAATGTAGTTTTCCAGAAAACGCGTTTAAAGTTTTATGTTTGCTCTGTAGCTGCTTTGAGTCGGCCGGTTCGGAGGCTCATAACTTTTAAACTATTACGTATTTCGATTTGATCTTTTAGTATGATATTCTACACACTTAAAGCTATCGAAAAATGCAAAAAAAAAATCGATTTTTTTTCAACTAACCAGAATGGACCCTTAAAAACTATTTTTTTTTTTTTTTTTTTATGTGTTATTTTTCCTACATTTAAATACATTTAACAATTTTTCCAAAAACTTTACTAGTTGTTGAAATATATATTTCCGTTATTTACAATTTCAAAATGTAAAAGTTTTTGACACTTGCACACTAGCGCCGCTATAGCACTTATGGCACTTTTTTAATAAATTAATTAATATTTAATAAAATATTGTAAATAAAATAAGAAAAACTCTGCAAAAATTAAATCTTCGACGACTCCATTAGATACTTTTTTAAAAGTTTTGACCTTAAAAAGACTTGATATATGCCCATTTTAGATTAATATCCAGAATGCCAGCTCCGATTGAGTGTCGCCTTGGGGATTTTACCCACTTCACACAAACGGTCATACTGCACCAATTTAAGGTAAACAATTTCTGGTTCGATTCGGAAAAATAAAACGGCTAATGAGAAATGAACCCTTCCGTCTACGCACTGTAGTTGGCGGGCAGTGAAAAGTCATAGGCCCGCCCGGCAAGGCTAACCATGGATCAACGCAAGCTGCTGCAGCCGGTGAAGGCGACAAATCCCATTGTCTACCTGGACCTCGACATTGGGAAGGAGGACGGTGAGTGGTTGAATCTTCGCCTACTGGCTGGAGCCCGACAGCATCGCCATACCAACTGCTGATTGGGTGCCACATCCTTACTTGTTTTGTCTCTCTTCGCAGCGGGACGCATGATAATTGAACTGCGCAAGGATGTTGTGCCGAAGACAGCGGAAAATTTCCGCGCCCTCTGCACGGGCGAGTGCGGCGTAGGCCAGATGGGGCAGCCGCTTCACTACAAGGGCAACCGCTTCCACAGGATCAAGCGGTTGTTCGCCGTCCAGAGCGGGGATGTGGTCCAAAACGATGGCACCAGCGGTGAGAGCATTTACGGTCCGGTTTTCGAGGACGAGAACTTTGAGCTTACGGTTGGTAGAAGTCAAACGCTTAATTCATTAATTAGACCCGTGATGTAACAGTGAGAGAAACCTGTATCCCGCACAGCACAACGAGGAGGGCGCGGTCAGCATGGCCAACTATGGCAAACCCAACTCCAACAACTCACAGTTCTTCATTACGGCCGTGGGATGCGAAAATCTGAATGGAATCAATGTAGTTGTGGGTCGTGTGCTGCGCGGCCTGGCAATCGTAGCCGAGATGGAACAAAACTGCAACGATGAGGGCGATCCCACGGCGGAGATCGTGATACGAGACTGCGGCGAGCTGGCCCCAGGCGAGGACTGGGGCCTCGAGTGCAGTGACGAGACGGCGGACAAGCTGCCACCCTACCCGCAAGACTGGACGCGAAAGTTTGACAAGTTTACAGTGAGTCGGGGTCTCGTTTTGTAATAGGCTTCTGGTTAATTATAGTCTTTGTTATTGACCCACTTCCAGTCGGAGGCGGCTGTGGAGCTGCTTACGGGCATTCGCCAATCGGGCAATCACTTCTATCAGCTCGGACGCTATCACGAGGCCCGCGCCAAGTACCGCAAGGCGAACCGCTACTATCAATACCTGAGCAAACAGTTCGGCTGGCAGCAGCTCAACCACTTCAAGAAGCACCTAGTCGACGAGGATCTTCTCAAGATCGACGCCTTCTCGGTGGTGAACAACATCAATGCGGCGGCCGTGGACCTAAAGCTGGGCAACTATCTGAGCGCCAAATATGATTGCTCAGAGGCCATACGCCTGGATCCCAACTGCAGCAAGGCGTTCTATCGACGCGGTCAGGCCCAGCGAGGGCTGCGCAACTACGAGGAGGCCATCAACGATCTGAAGAAGGCGCACAGTCTCCTACCGGAGAACAAGCAGATCCTCAACGAACTGAACAGCACCAAGCAGCTGCTGGCCCAGTACAATCGACAGCAACGAAATGCGCTCAAGAACCTTTTCGCCTAGCTCTGGCAGCTGGCGATTGGGTTCGAATCGTCCTTAGTTTAAGGCGGAGGTCCGAATGATGGCTTGTTTTAAATGTAAATACTTAATAATTAATAAATGTTTTGTTTTTAACCAACAGTCAGTGGTTTTTGCCACCTCAAATAAAATAAATGTGCCACTCTTTTGATTACCAAAAGGGAAACATCTCTTGAAGCGAACCAGGCTGTGCCTTTTCATTGATAAATATATATATATTTGCATAATTACTCACATTTGTTCGTACATACATATGGTAGTTAATAATGATCGCTTACGCACACGGTAGTGTCTAGGATGTATGCAGCTTACTTGCTAGCGGATTACATATAAAAGAGAGCCTTAGCCTAAGCACTTAAAGCCTAAAGATTTGTCACAATATCCTGTTCGCTGCGATGATGCACGTGGCCCGAGGCGCTGGCCGCCGAATAGCTCTTCATGCTGATCTCCATGTTGGTCAAGGCGCTGGACACGTGATAGAGGTTCTCCGAGAGAATGGCATAGATCTCAAACAGCTCCGAGTCGGATTTGGAAGCAATGAAGGCTTCTGCTGAGGGAGAAGAGAGAAGAGGGAAATTTGAAGTCGGAAGGCTTTCCTATGAATGCCAAGACTTACCTGTTCGATCCTTCATAATTCCATGGGCATATGCATTGAGTATCACCGTCATCTCGTCCCACTTCTGGCGATTGTCCAGGCTGCTATAACTGAATATGGTCAGATTCTGATCGCCGGCAGCATTCAGCGTCGACACCCGTCTATACTGACGCACATGGGCAATGGCGCTGGGCCAGCGCTGCAGATCGATATGCTCATTCAAAGCAGCCTCAAACTCCTCCTGACTCATGGGCAATCCCGGCGAAGGTGTGGGCGTGTGCTCACCCTCCGTCGAGGTGGAGGATTCCAGGCAATCCAGCTCGGCCTCGCTGGTGTAACGCACCAAAGCATCGCGAACCAGGGCATAGAGATTGGATATGTCATTCATCTGTAAAAAAAAAGAGTATTTAGGCCAAGAAATGCCATTGGAAACTCTCTACACTCACGTCTTCGTTGATACGGAAGTGATTCACCACATTCGAGGATATCTTGTGATTGGACTCTATGAGGAGAAGCAGCTGGAACATCAGCTTGTACAGGGAGCGACCCAAGTCGAGGACCACCTCGGTGGAGGCCGGGTCGAAGGGCATGTAGGCTATGCTGGACGAGGAGGTGGGCAGCTCCAGGCCCGAGGCAGCCACATCCGCCTCGTTGAAGAGCGATAGCTTGCAGCTGGTCTTCACGGCATCCAAGCACTAGAAACTCCGAAAAATGAGTTTATTTATTCTAAAACTTTTGTAAAAATTCCCAACTCACATCTAAAACCTGATCCTTGCGATCAAAAAAGGTCTCCAGATGCTCCTGCACCTCCAGCACATTGAAGCGCAGCGTCTCAAAGAGCTTGGGCGTGGTGGCCTGCAGCTCGCTGCACCACACCTGCGGTGGATCCGCCCGTGAGCTGAGCAAATCCGTAAAGAGAGAGATCCGATTGCCAAGCTGGGACCCGATGCCGGTAAAGAACTTCTTGGCCTCCTTGGAAATGCTGATGGTCTTGAAGGTCAGCTCCCTGATTAGGCGGTACAGCTGCTGCAGCAGCTCCGAGGTGTGAGCCGACGGCTGGTTGACCAACATGGCCTGCAGCTGACGGCGCCAGTTCTCCTCGGCCTCGTCCCGAATGGCGGCACCAAAACGTATAATGCCCGGCAGATGCGGCGAGGCGTTGCAAGGGGTGATATCACCCAAGTCGCCGGCACTGGAGCCACTGGTGTCGCTCCTGGAGACTGAGTTGCGACGCCGTCGCTCTCTCAAACTCAGCGACGTGGGTGGCACTGCACTGTAGCCAGACTTGAGGAACGACTGACGATGGTCCTCATCCAAGGGCGACTCAGACTCTGCCTCCTCATCGGAGGAGTCGTCGGCAGTCTGTCTCTTGCGCTTACTCAAAATAGGCGTCTTATCACTGAAGCTGTCCTCCAAAGCAGACGAGTGTCCACCCTTGATGGAGCCACCGATGCCACTGCCGCAGTTCAAGCGATCCTCATCGCCCTCGAAGAGCTGATGACGACGCACGCCCCAATTGAAGTTATCCGTGGACTCGCCGGCAATACTATCCTCGTACTCCAAAAAGTCAAAGTCCTTGAAGACGGTGAAATCGGGCTGGCCATCGTCGCGCCTGGAACCACTGCTCAGGTCGCCCTGAGGACCCGAGGTCTCTTCCGTGGAAGAGGCGGCCGAGGATTGGCGCTCCATCAGGTCCGAAGACTGGCTGAAGATGACCTGAAGGTGCACAAATACACATTAGTCAGCGATTCTTTAATTAGTTTCCAAAACACTCAGATTAATATAGAGAAAGAGTAATAGAGATAAAGCTTACGCTTTGTCTGGTCGCAATCGATCCGGTTAGTAGTGACGTGCTCAACGACTAAATGTGTTGTTTTTTGTTTTGTTTTAAATATAAGGAGTATAAACACAAAAAAAAGAAGTACAGTTTGAAACAAATAACATGCGCAAAATGCAAACGGAACAATGACATTAGAAAGCAAAATGGCGGCTGGAAAGAATGGAATGAAAAGCAGGACAAGCAGAAACGGAGGAACAAATAAAAAATCTTTCATAAAAAAGAAACTATAGAATAAAACAAATCAAACAAACTAATCATTTTAAATATCAATATTTAATATTGAACTTTTTTGTTATAATCAAATTCAAAATGATGCAAAATCTCTTCCAGAAAAGCTACTACCACATGCGAAAGAACCTTAAGATCACACAAAAGCAAAACTAGAGACGCGGCACATAGAAACGTGTCCTTTACCTTTGAGCAAATTGAGTTTATGAAATCGTCCTAGATATGTTTCGATTTTGGTATCGGATTCGGATTCGGATTGGTTAATGATGATAATGCGTGTTAGTTTTTTTTGTTTTGGTATTGGATTTGGTTTTGGTATTTGGTTTTGATATTGTTTACATGAAAGAAAAAGAGTTAGAGGTAAATAATTGCAAATGCATGAGAAGAAGAGGGGAGGAGCTCTAGGGGAGCCTAAGGCATGCACCTGGCTATGTACAAGCGGCCGGCGTGAAGGATCCTCCTCCTCTGAATCACTTACCGATGGCGACTTGGGCAGGCCCACGCGCTGCCCGCAGGTGGTCAGCAGATTGACCAGGCACTCACGCACACGACACTGCGACATCCAGGGTCGCTTCCATCCACTCAGCGGCACCGTGTCCGCCGGCGACAGGCTGGCACTCCTTCTTGGCGAGTTGGGTGTTCCCACCACACTGTTACCGGCTCCGATGGCATGCTGCTGCTGGTGCTGGGCAGCTGCTGCGGCCGCTGCAATGGCCGCCACATTGGTGTGTGCCCGCTGCTGCTGCAGCTGGGCATTCACCTGCTGCTGGGCCACGCTACTGGGCGCCACCGTCACCGTAGTTGCGTTCGTCAGTGTGGAGTTGAGTGAGGAGCTGCCCGTGGTGGAGGTGGCCCCGGTGGCAGCCGGTTCCTCTGTCTTTAACAAGATGCGACGACCAATCAATGGTGTTTGCGAGACATCGAAAGTGAATTCCATGGTGCGACCGGCCAGTTCCTTTTTACAGAACATATCCGAATCCGGATATGCGCCATAGAAGGAGAACGATAAGCCGGCGCTGCCGCCATCGCTGGGCGGCACTACCTGCAGCGATGAGCTGCGCGTCACAATAAGCTTGAGGATCTTCAGAGAGTCCTTCCAGTTCACAGTCTATGGGGGGACAGAGAGAAGGGTTTAAAAAAATGATTAACTACATGGAGGATAGGAAGTTGTTTCTAAATATATAACTCAAGCCAAGACAAGCTATCGGCCTGTGTAATTGGGTGTGTAACGCCTTGGTAACTTGTTCATCATATTGTCTTTAGCTCACTTTTGTCACCACTAACTTTGCACTTACTTTTGCCACTTTAATAAATATTTTATGACAGATAATTATAATCAAAAAAGGGGGACACGGACCCCCCAGATTAGATTTCAATCCATCAACACAGATTGCCTAAAGCCAAAGAAATTATCATAATAAACCAAACACAATCCTTATCATTCGACTGACAGATTTATGATTAAGTGATCGAAAGTATCTCTCCAAAGTCTAAAAATAGAAGTTCAACTTACATCCAAGTACTTTCCAATGGCCCTCAGCAGGTCCGCATTAATGGTCTGAGCCTGTGGCGCCGACAAGTCCACATAGTGCAGCATGCAGTGGATCACATTCAGCACAGGCACCTGCACCTGCTGCGGTCCCTTCTCCAAGACCTCGATGAGGAACGCCACCATGTGGAGACCCATGTGGGCGTAGGTGTCATGCAAATACTTGACCACACACTTGGTCCATTGGAAGGACTCCTTGCAGAAGGTCTTTCGGCTGTACAAAGTCATTACAGTGCCCAGGTTCTCCAGTTTAGCACCCAGCTCCGTGGACACCTGAGCAATATTCTCTGCACTGCGTATGCAAATCTCATTAGCATCCTCATAGTGCAGCAGCATGTAGGGCAACAGGGCAATGACGTTCATGGGGAAGGCACAGCTCTGGGTGGGATCACAGACGGGCAGAGTCAGCAAAGGGGCGAACTGGGAGAGCAGGGTGATCGTTGGCTCATAGGTGGCACTGTGGGTGCAGCCCTAAATTACATAAAAGAGAAAAAATAAGAATCTATAGCTAACCTCAGTCATCGAATACCCACCTTTAGGAGCAGTGCATGCACTCCAGGGTACGCAGTCCACTTGAGCTGCTGCTGCAGCTTCTCCACCTTGTCCCTGGCATCTGGTCGATCCAGTGGCAGGCGGTGCAGCACCCTGGTCAGCAGACGCAGTGCCAGCATAAACTCATGCTCGTAATCCGATTCCAGCAAGGAAACGGACAGCCAGAAAAGCTGTGCCAGTATGGTCATCTTGTCGTCCTGCGTGGCCGTGTCGCCCAGCATCTTGAGGCTCTGGGCACTGCGGGAACGGGACAGGGCCGAACCGGCACCAACTCCACCGCCACCCACGCCAAACTTGCAAACCACACTGCGCTCAAGATCGATGCCGGAGGATCGATTGCGCAGCTCTACCTGCTTGTCGCAGGGCGAGTTGTTGGCCTTCCTACCGCAATACGATACCGAGTAGCTGGTGCTCCTTCCGTGGCTGGGAATAGAGTAGTTTGACGACTGCGGGGTCATGCCGGAAGGAGACTTCTTGCCCGGCAGTATGGAATTGGGTCCACCGTCCTTGTTGTTCAGATTCGGCGTGCTCTTGAAAATGTCCTTCATCACGTCGAGGGGACGGAAGTCCGAGTCCAAGCTGTCCACGGCGGCCTCCAAGGTGAGCAGTAGCTCCGTGACATATCCCTGCATATCCTCACCCTGCTCGGCCACTGTTTCCACCAGTCGCGAGAGTATGTCCGACAGCATCCTCGAGTTGATGGGTACGTTGAGGGCGCGGAAGATCTGCAGGCAACGGCCGGCGTAGTGACGCGACGAGCAGGACAGTCCCAACTGAAGGGCAGTCTGTGCCCAGCGCTCGGCAATGCGAGCCTGTGGATAACTATCCGCGAACACCTTGACCATGTGCTTGAGGAAGCAGCTTAGCTGCTCAGCCGACTTCACCGCCCACACCTTGGCCGTGATGTCCTCGTAGTTCCATAGCGGCTGGCACGTGTCCTGGGCCAGGAACTTCAGCAGACTCTTGATCACATGAGCAATGGGCATGCTAGGGCCGGGCTGGGGAGGAGCATGCTCATCGGGATGGATCAGAGGCACCTCCGAGTTCTCGGAATTGTTCGGATTTATTTGCAGGGCCGCCGGCGTGGCTGTCAATCCTGGCGGTGTTGTCGTACTCGGTACACTCTGTGTACCTGCCGCACCCTGCTGCTGATTCTGCGGCGTTTGTGGCAGATTCTGCTGGTTAGAGCTCGCACCAGCCCCCACCACAGATCCCGAGTGGGCCGCTATGATCGTGGAGCTGGAGAGATTGTGCTGCAGGGCATAGGCCGCCGCCTGTGGACTCACGTGAAGCAGGTAGCTATCGAACTGTTGGTGCAGCTCCGTGAAATTGTTGTCGATGACCGGAAGAGCCGGCACCGTTAGTCCCAAATCCAGCTTGCTGGTCTCACTGTTCAGCAGAATGCGGGCCACCGTCAGGTGATCGTTGTGCTCCGCCAGGACAATCAGTAGGTTGACGCACAACTGCTTACAGTGCTCCCTCACAATGATCCTGGTGTGGTCTAGTCCCAGGAACAGGATGTGCAGCATCAATGGTAGATGCAGAGTCCAATCGATGCCCGGAATGCCATCGACCACAATATCGGTGAGAAGCATCACAGCCACGTTGCATCTAGGAGAGAGTTCAGGAGGATTAAATTCAAAGAAAAATTAAAACGAGGCTTAAAATATATCTATGAATCTCAATGTATGTCTTAGCTAATGACGTTACCCATTAGCTGACGGAAGTCAATGATAACTTTCTGGAGTTGTAATACTAATGACATCCATAGTGAATCCCCTGCACTTAATTGGATACATTTGCGACTATAAAACCCGGAAAACTAAGCAAGAGAGATCCAAGTTACTTCACGAACATGAAACTATTTTTGTTAATTTTGTTTCTGGCCGCAGCCTGTGCTCATCGGAATAGAAATCGCACTCGTATCCCCAAGGACGATGATCCCAAAGACATCATTGTGAACGGATACGCAGCCTACGAGGGCAAGGCTCCCTACATCGTGGGCCTGCTGCTCCGCACCGATGGCAGCAATGGAGCCGCCGTCGGTGGTGGCAGCATTATTGCCAACACCTGGGTCCTGACCGCCGCCCACTGCCTGACCACCGATTCCGTGGACATTAACTACGGCTCAAACCGGGCCTGGGATGGTCAGTTCAAGCACAACGTAAGGAAGGAGAACTTTTTCCGGCACCCCGGATACCCGAACACCGCTGGCCACGACATTGGCTTGATCCGCACCCCTTATGTGAGCTTTAACAACCTGGTCAACAAGGTGGCTCTCCCCAAATTCAGTCAGCAGAGCCAGCGCTTCGAGAACTGGTGGTGCGTGGCCTGTGGCTGGGGAGGAATGGCCGACGGAAATCTAGCCAAATGGTTGCAGTGCATGGACGTGCAGGTGATCAGCAACGATGAATGCGCCCGCTCGTATGGTAGTGTGGCTAGCACCGACATGTGCACCCGTCAGACCGACGGCAAATCGGTGTGCGGCGGAGACTCCGGTGGCCCCCTGGTTACACACGACAACCCCATGCAGGTTGGAGTAATCACCTTTGCCTCCGTGACCTGCAAGAGTGGACCTTCTGGCTATACCCGAGTCACCGATCACTTGGACTGGATCCGGGAGAAGTCCGGTGTCGCCTACTACTAACTGGATAAAGGGACCTTTGGTATCAAAATTGATATATCGAATCTATATATTTCAAAAATATCTAATGCACATTATGTATATAAATAAATGAAATGAGCTGCTAAATATATTATTTTTTTCGTTGGAGTAATGTAAAGAGTTGATATACTATTTAAAAAAAAAAAGTATAATGAAACATTTGTTTAAAACAAAACACTATCAAGTGCACTCACTGAGAGCCCCACGTTATTTATGATTGGTTTTTAAAAATAAACTTTTAAAGATTTCCATATTTTTTTAAATTTGAATTGACCTGACAAGAAAAGCCTTCGAAAGCCCTCTCTTAAATCATTTTAAATCAAAAGGAACTACTTGGTTTGGAGTGTCGATAAACCTTATCGATTGAATGGCCACTGATATAAAAGCAAACCAAAGACTTCCTAAGAGCTAAGTTTCTTCCCAGCCATGAAACTGTTTCTACTAACTCTATCCGTGGTGTGTGCCCTGGTGGCTGCCACTCCGGCCAACCGCACCTCCCTGCTGCCCCAGGTGATAATCAACGAGACTCCGGAGGGTCGCATTGTCCTGGGCTACCCCGCTCCCGAGGGCAAGGCTCCCTACATCGTCGGTCTGCTGATCCGCACTGATGGAAGCAACGGTGCTGCCGTCGGAGCTGGCACCATCATCGCCAACAACTGGGTGCTAACCGCCGCTCACTGCCTGACCACCGACTCCGTGGACATCCACTACGGCTCCAACTGGGGCTGGAACGGAGCCTTCTCCCACAACGTGCGCCGCGACAACTTCATCAGCCACCCCGACTGGCCCAGCCAGGGTGGCCGAGACATCGGTCTGATTCGCACTCCCCACGTGGACTTCAACAACCTGGTCAACAAGATCCCCCTGCCCAGCTTCAGCGAGGAGAACGAGCGCTTCCAGGACACCTGGTGCGTCGCTTGCGGATGGGGTGGCATGGACAACGGGGACCTTGCCGACTGGCTGCAGTGCATGGACGTGCAGATCATTAGCAACAGCGAGTGCGAGAGGTCGTACGGTTCCGTGGCCAGCACTGACATGTGCACCCGCATGTCCGATGGAAAGTCTTCTTGTGGTGGAGACTCCGGTGGCCCCCTGGTTACACACGACAACGCCCGTCTTGTCGGAGTCATCACTTTTGGTTCCGTGGGCTGCCACAACGGCCCCTCGGGCTACACCCGCGTCACCGACTACCTGGGATGGATCCGCGACCACACCGGCATCTCCTACTAAGCTTCCTGGGAATGTCATAGGGCAATGAATAAATTCTTATAAAACAGCAAAATTATATTCGTTTTATGAGCATGGAAAGGCAGGCCTACATCAATATATAATTTGATTTCAATAATGTAAGATATTTCTTCAAAGTTTTTAATAAGGAAAGGTTTTTGAATGTACATATATGCAAAACCAAAAAGAAATAGGAAAATATCTTGTGTGCAACGATAAATAGTTCAATAAACCAATTTCTGACAACACACCAGTTGCAACCAAATCAAATTATATAAAAGATAGAATAGTGACAATATAAAAGAACGAGCTTTATAGCCGGCCCCAGGCTGTCCGAAAATATGGCTTAAAAGCTTACATTTTGAGCCATACAAAAATATTATAAAATATCGTACAATATTTTAAAATATATTATTCTGTATTTTTATGGTCAAAGGCATTTAAAATAATGGAAAAAGTTAAATTATGTATTTGCTTAGCTGTCTTTAATAATCATAAAACCTCTTTTTTACATTCTGATTTGCTTTTTGTGTTTCCTATATCTCTTTCTGTAACATTTTTTATGCGCTTCACAGCAAACTATCTTTTTCTCAGTGAAAAGTTCGCAAAAGTACATATTTAATTAAATAAATGAAAACAACTTCAGTGGTTGATAATCCAAACAAAACATAGATAATTTTAACTTAGTGACAAGCTGGCATACTATCATTATTTGTATTGAGAGTTAAATTAGGTTAAAGTATACAAATTAACTATGGATGAATTATGAAGTTTCTCTAACAAATGTAAAGTTTAATTTTAGTAAAGTTTGTACACCAAAATGTAATATTTACTAATCTTAATGAAATTCAACTTTAAATTTTTAAGGCGCGACAATCAAAAACTTACTCATACCAGCAAGACAGAATTAAGTTTGCACCGGCATGTGTAGCTTTTGTTTTTGTATTAAAGGCCTGCTTTCTCAGACGAATAACATCAAAATAAAGAAAAAGAAAATAAATTATGGCATGTTTTCTTATATTGTTGTTGGCAAGATGGCTAGCTAATTTTTACCATATCATTTCAAAGAACTGACAATAGTCATATCAGGATCGAATTTATTGATCAGTTGCCTTTCCCTTATCGGTACTCCCAACTTGAGAAGTGCGAGAGATTTATGAGTCCCTACAGGCCACAGTATATTTTGCATTTCCGACTAGGTGCGATAGCCCCCGAAGTGAAGTGTCAAAATCCCCCCCTGAGATGCTAATTCAACAACAAATGCTTCCAAAGGGGCTTGTGAATGGGTGCGATAGTAAACAGAGCGAAGCCTTATCAGGCCTTATCGGCTCAGAGTTCGTATAAAAGCGGGCTGGCGATGGACAGAAGGCTAAGTTTCTTCCCAGCCATGAAACTGTTCCTGCTAACTCTCTCCGTCGCCTGTGCCTTGGTGGCCGCCACTCCGGCCAACCGCACCTCCCTGCTACCCCAGGTAACCATCTCCGAGACTCCGGAGGGTCGCATTGTCCTGGGCTACCCCGCTCCCGAGGGCAAGGCTCCCTACATCGTCGGTCTGCTGATCCGCACTGATGGAAGCAACGGCGCTGCCGTCGGAGCTGGCACCATCATCGCCAACAACTGGGTGCTGACCGCCGCTCACTGCCTGACCACCGACTCCGTGGACATCCACTACGGCTCCAACTGGGGCTGGAACGGAGCCTTCTCCCACAACGTGCGCCGCGACAACTTCATCAGCCACCCCGACTGGCCCAGCCAGGCCGGCAAAGATATCGGTCTGATCCGCACTCCCCACGTGGACTTCAACAACCTGGTCAACAAGATTCCCCTGCCCAGCTTCAGCGAGGAGAACGAGCGCTTCCAGGACACCTGGTGCGTCGCTTGCGGATGGGGTGGCATGGACAACGGGGACCTGGCCGACTGGCTGCAGTGCATCGATGTCCAGATCATCAGCAACAGCGAGTGTGAGAGCGCCTACGGCTCGGTTTCCGGAAATGACATGTGCACCCGCCAGAGTGACGGCCGTTCGGTCTGTGGTGGAGACTCTGGTGGCCCCCTGGTTACACACGACAATGCCCGTCTCGTCGGCGTGATCACCTTCGCTTCCGTTGGCTGCCACAACGGTCCCTCCGGCTATACCCGCGTCACTGACTACCTGGGATGGATTCGCGACCATACCGGAATTTCCTACTAAATTCTTGGGGAATAGGTCTTGGCTATGAGGAGTTATCCCTCTGCAAAGTCTTGGCTTCTCCAGCAAATAAAATCATTCGAAAACTGCAGATTTTAAGATGATTAATAATCAAGGGAACCTATTATATAGGGGGCGTGCCTATCATCTCGAAAACATAGCAGAGCCTGGAAAATTCTTCCCGCTGGCTCCCTATATTGTTGCTAATCTTCACCCTTTTTTTAAGAACTTTAAACCAAAACTCACCTGTGGAATCCGCTGATGGGCAAACTGACATCCGGCAGGAATTCGGTTAGAGGTGCAAAATAGCCGCCATACTCGGGCATGGGTAATGGATGCGGATGGGCATTGGTCGGAGCATCCGAAGCCCCACGCAGCTCCACATTTTCCTCCTGTCGCAGCTCCGGATCATTGATCAGAATATCCTCTGGCCGCGGCAATATGGAGGGACCTGAGGCAGCGCGAATCTTGTCTGCTCCACGAGGAGGACGACTGCCACTCGAGCCAGGGGTGACTGCAGCAGCGGCAGCAGCAGCAGCTGCTTGTGTATACGCGCGAATGCCGCTGTCCGATTTGCAGGTTCTAATAGAAAAACATATTTAAAAAATTAAATTAAAGTTTTAGTAAATCTCAAATTTATAAAGACTTGCCCGATTTTAATGGGATCCTCGCCACTGTGTCGCTTGGTATGTATGGTGCCCTTTTCCACGGCTAAATCCTGAATCCTGGAGTCATTAATGCCCCCCACAGCTTGACCTGTCCGCAAAATATATTAAATTTAATATAATTCTGTGACTTTTTTCGTACTTTTCTCAACCCACCGTCGGCACTGTGACTGGAGGCCTTTCGCATGCTGGTCAATCGATAAAACGGCGGCGTCTCTGTCCGCTCAATCAGACAGTTGAGTGTCTCCACCGTCTGCAGCTCGGCCATGAGCTCATCCAGCAACCGATCCGGACAGCTGCGGGCTAAATAGAGAGCCACGCGCTTGGCCTGGATTAAGAGGGATTGCCAGAAATCGTTATTGCCACTCTGCGATTGATATCCCATCAATTTCAGGACTTACGTAGGGCAGCAGCTCGGTGGGCGCCATGCCGCTCATAATGACCAGATACCGCAGGATAACCTTCAGGTTATTGGGCCAGAACTGGCACAGCGTGCCCCACAGCTCCTCGATGTCGCGTGGATGGGCGTCCGAGAACTGCAGTGTAAGGTAAAGCAGTTAACGATTAAGGATTAAAGTGACTGAGGAGAGAAGAAGCATTACCTTGGCTGTGATGTAGAAGAGATTGTTCAGAATCATTTCCGTTGCCTCAGTGGATCCAGTGCCCTCCCGTCTTCCCCTTGTACCCGAGTCCGGGAAGTACTAAAGGAAAAAGTAAATAACGAAAGCGTAAACGAGTCTCCAATCCGGAAGCTGATTTTCAGGCATCACTTACCATTATGTAGGAGAGGGGTGTGGCAGGCGGCACACTGGTGGCCACCAGCTCCATATTCTGCAGCCAGGGCAGGAGGCACTGCAGCAGCAAGGCCCGTACATCCTCCCGAGCGCTCTGGAAGCGATGCGTGATTTCTGTTGAAAAAGATTTTCAGGAGAAATTTAATTTAAAACTGCAAATAATTGATTGATATTTTAATATTCAAAAGTTTGTGGGTGGAGGAAATATAGGTCTACATTGAATAAAATATTTAATTTATTAACAAAGAAAGCCATTTGAAGTCTCCGTTATAATTTCTTTCCAATACTTATACATTCTTGGTTCCAATGAAAAGACTTTTGTGATTAAATAAAAGGAATTTATTAACAAAGGACCCAACTTGTATGGAAATGTAAAGGACTTGGACTTTAAAGTATATTTTATGAGTTAATAAACGATGTTCAATATATATTTTTCCTTTTCAAATTTGGTTCAAAATGTATTCAAAACCAACTCAAGCCGATTTCCATCAATTGTCTATTATTTTCTTTTGTTGTCTTTACTCAGAATTTAAAATTATATCTTGTAGTAAGCCAAGTTATTTTCTTTTAAATTTGGCTAAAAGTAGGCCAGATCTTTCAAGATAAAAGAGAGTTGGAGGTAAAGGTTGTGGCAAGGTTATACGAGGGTAAGAGAATTAGGATAACCATAAAATATTCGCTCTCTGATATTCCTCAAAACGAAGTCCGCTGACAAAGTCGGCATGAGCGAGGTATGAACTGATTGTTCACGTCGAGGTTAGTTCTTTTCGATTGGTAGCCTCAAGCGGAGTTAATTTTTTTAAGTTGAGTTAATTTTTAAACCGCTGAGCTAAGTCAAGAGTGTAAACGACAGTTGGCTTAGCTCTAGTCCTCGCCACACCGCCATTTTGAGCGACCTTTTCCGCCGGCCATTTCTACAAAAGCTCAAAAATATTTAATGAAAAATTCACTAAGGTTATAATTATATTTAAAAAAAATTAAATGAGATGGTTTTCCATCCATAATTATTAGTGGGTGAAGGAAAAGGTATGCCTTCAACAAACTAGAAGTTTATTTATATATTATTTATATTTATATTCTCTCCCTTGAAAGTGGAACCCAAGAGAGAGAGAAAGGGCCTCTTGAAGTATACGATCCGCGCTTGTTATCAAGTTTGACAGTTCAGACTTGCTGCCTTTGTTTAAAATTCTATGGAAAACGGCATGAAATCAAATCGAAATAAAACATAAACCCATTTATATACTCAATACACATTATTATTACTAATATTAATAATTATATTATTGATTATATTACTAATTATAATCCACAAAACACATTGAATGATCCTCTCTATAGTCAGGTCACCTTATTCCTACATAATTGCACGTTGACCATTAATCCATTTACCCACGAGTCAGTTTATTAACCCTTCCGATAGCACGTAAATTTATTAATAAGTTATTATTCTCTGACGATTTGGGTGTCTTTTTGGTCTCTAATTATTACTCCACTTCACTATACCCTCCAAGCAACACCAACATTTTTCGATCTCCTGGGCATTTCATAGTTAATGTGCTACAATTCCAATGTTTACTCACCCGAAAAGATGGACATGGTGAGCTCGGGCCGGAGCTGCGCCAATTGCTTGGACAGGAACCGCTGGGAGCGGCAATAGGCACTGCTCAGCAAGACATCCAGAGTGCCCACCTTGTCGTCCTCTGCAAGAAATAGAAGAAATAAACGTAAATTAGATGGATCGTAAAAATTTACGCAATCAGCAATAACCCAACTCGAAGTGGCCATGTCCGTGCTCAGGCAGGTCCCAGAGGCGACTGGCCAAGCCCGTTATATTCGCACATGCTTCTGTTTGGCTCTTCCAAAGCTTTCCTGGTTCCTGGAAAAGCGCACACCGGCATTGCGGTTTGTTATTGTTTTGATGACCGCCCCGCGACAATGGGACCTAGAGCCAAAAAACGAGAACTTGGTGGCGCCAATTGCCGTTTAGTGGGAACATTGTCTGACGGCCTGCGCTCCTCCTTTTCCTACTCCTCCCACCAGGGCTAATCCCTCAGCGGTGAACCACTTGTGGCGGCTGCCATCGCCCTGCCAACCATGACCTTGGGTCACCTGTTGATTTCATGAATGAATCGACGCAGGCGCAGTACAGGCCCAGTGCCAAAGCTCTCCCTCGGCGCCTTCCAGGAGTCAACAGAAGAAGCGGCCGTTTTGGTTTAAAAGGCTGCCGCCACCATTGTCTCGGCTTAGTTGCGCGCTCATTGTCCTGCTGGTTGGTTGGACCAAGAAGAACTGGCAGACTACGCCAGCGAGTTCGTTAAAAAACCGGCGGGATAATTCTTTCCTCTCATAATCAATTGCAGCTAGCACCTCGGCGGGTAAACAAAGCACACTCTTCGATTCCGCGAATCAACTAATTAATTGAAGAAATATGGCCGCCAAAGTTTTCACTTGGCCTTCCGTAAAAAAAGAAGAAACTTAAAAATAAAACTAGACCGCAAACAAATCGGCTTGGTGAAAAATCTCTTGTGAAAACAAGAAGAGCAACCTCAGAAGTTTTCAAACAAGAAATTTTTGCGAGTGGTGGCAGCAAAAAGTTGTACAAAATTTTTACCTGGCCTTTCTACTTGTTCTTTGTTTACATCGTTACGCGAAAATAAATATATATCAAAATATATATTTGGACGATAATGAACCCAAGACACCTAGGCGAGGACTAAGAGTTGCCATAAGTTTTGAAAGCCAAACTTTTCTCAAACAAAAGTTGAAAATAAAAATCTTAATTAAGATCCAGTTGGGCGGAAAGCGAAATTCGTGTGAAAAAAAAAAATAGAACGGTAAAAAAACCAATCGAAACTTTGAATTGTTGACTTGACAGGCGGCACTCAAATGTGCCAAAAAGAAAAAAGAGGCGATAAAAGTGAGTGAAATAGTTTTTCATCGCGATAAAACTTGGAAACACAAAGTTCCAACTTTTTTAGGTAAACGTGAAAAGCAAACATTTGTCCAACTACGAAGGCAATCCCATCTGTGGCCACTGCATCCACACAGAAAAAAGAATGGAAACGTAAATTCCATTTTAATTTAGAGTGAAATATTCCAAAAAGAAAGAAAAATCAAATATGACGGCGTCAACGGACGCGGATATGGATTACTTGGGAGGCAGCAGCCCTAAAGCGAATCTAACAGCCACCACAACAACAGCCACATTTATAACCACTTCCCTGCTGGATGCCAATGCCACGGAAAGCAACTCCTCCAGTGGCTATGTCACCGAAATGGATCTGGAGGAGGCGTCCACCGAGGACGAGGAGATGCTGAGGATAGCCTTCTTCATTGGCGACTTTGTCCACCAGTACTACATCCCAATCCTTTGCTGCACGGGCAGCATTGGCAACATTCTCTCCGTCTTTGTCTTCTTCAAGACCAAGCTGAGAAAACTCTCGTCCAGCTTCTACTTGGCAGCTTTGGCCGTCAGCGACACCTGCTTCCTGGCCGGCCTCTTTGCCCAGTGGCTGAACTTCCTAAATGTGGACATTTACAACAGGAACTACTTTTGCCAGTTCTTCACCTTCTTCAGCTACCTGGCCAGCTTTTGTTCCGTGTGGTTTGTGGTGGCCTTCACCGTGGAGCGTTTCATAGCGGTCATTTATCCGTTGAAGCGCCAAACTATGTGCACGGTGCGCCGGGCCAAGATTGTACTATCCGGCCTGACCCTCGTTGGCTGTCTCCACTGTATGCCCTACATCCTGATTGCCAAACCGGTCTTTATGCCGAAGCTTAATACCACAATATGCGATCTTAACTCGGAATACAAGGTGAGTGAGGGTCTAAAAATTGTGAGGATTTCTTATAAATAATACGATTATTAATTAACTCAAGGGAAATTAAATCGTTTCAGAAGTTGTTAAAATAAATACTTGATAATTATAAGTCAACAGTGTTGGGTGCTTTATAATTCTCAAGTTTTTATTTTGTTACCTATCTTTGATATTATTTCCTGCAAGTAAGATATATTTTGGTATATAATATCGTATATAATATATACTTATATATTAATACATATATTTTCTCCTACACCTAACTCTGTGCTCTTATGATTCCCAAGTTATCATTTTGATAATATAATTTTCACGAAAAAAGGAAATTCTCAAGATATTATTTGGTAAACTGCTTTTAGAATTTGTCTTAAAAAAATGTAGAGATATTTCATATTTTAAATTTCACAATATCCATGGACTCCCGGTGATTAAATTATTTCATCAATTGGCTTTAAAAAGCTTTCGGTTTGTTCACTGCCTAGGCCAAAATTGTTGTGAAAGCAAACCATTAAATTATTCAGGTGAATGAGAATGAAAACATAAACGAATCGGAAGCTAATTGTGAATCGAAATGTTTTCAATGAAACGATTTCCCGACCAAGAAACCTATTAGCATATTGCTTCAAAGTGAATTTATAAATAATAACAGACAATGGGGGAAATAATAAGAAAGCTCTTTCAAATAAAATGAGAACAAGTAGAATAGAGCAGAATCTCAAGTATTTTACAATAAAATAAACATTTATTAATTGGTTAATTGCTTCAAGTAATCTTTTGAATGTGTCAGAGTATAAAATATTTGTATCTATTCCATTTCAAATACTTTTCTTTAATCAATATACAGTAACAGCTAGTGTTCCCTCCTTTGTCACACATCAAAATCTAACTTCATCAAACGCATTTTTCCCGGTGATGCCTTGAATTCTTCGTTCGGATTGCCAGTGGCAACCATTTTTCCCGCTATTTCTACTCTCTCTCTTTCTGCGGGTTTTCCAAAAGGTACCCATGCGTGGGAGCTCCTGGTATTTGTGAATTTTCGTGAGCCATTAGTATTGTTATTGGTATTTGAATACCGCTCGTTGTATGTTGTTTGCCTTGGCAAATGGCCAACAACATTGTTGACAAAATATTTCAAAATATATAATTTTCAAAGCATACATGTGTAGTATGCTTTTTTTGCGTAAAAGTTTTCAGAAGGAAAGAAAGGAAAATCTGTCTCCAGCATTCACTTACAGCTGTTCCCCCGTTCTAAACATTCACTTGTCAGGCCCAAGTCAAGTCACTTGAGTTGTCAGCTATGAATCCCTTGTCACTTCCGCCTGATATGGCATTGACACTCTGCAAATTAGGCGCAATAAATACCGCCAAGATATGCGGATCACGAAGCGCCCAACCGCAAAGATGAAGGAGCTGCTAATTTGCCCAGAACTAGAGCAATTAGTCAATTAATTGGGTCTCGACTATCTACCGCTGTGTGAGTTAAGCGAGCAAATTAAGCATTTATTGCGCAAGAAAAAAGGGCCAACCACAAATTGGCCAAGAAAAGAGCCAAAAAAGAGGGAGAATACAAAAAATACAACAAGGCCCCAAAGCCAAAAATGACCAAATGGTTAACCAGATAAAAAAGCGAAGCGAATATGTTGCTGGAAATAAAGGCGAAGCCTTAAATGCTCTTTTCTTCAACTTTTGTTTATGATAAATCCTAAATTTGGAAATTTCAAAAGGTTAAGAATATACACAGATTATAGCCCCTAAATACAGACAAATATGCAACCCCATTAAACTGGATCATAAATGTCGCTTAAAGTATAGTTTTATGGCTGCTTTTATGGTCAATTCCTAAGTTGGTAGCTATGTTTTGGGCTTATTTTATTAACTTTATGTTAGAGTTTCTAAACTCATAACCAGGGAAATCAACAGGAAAAATCCTTGAAAGAATCTCCTAAAGTTGACTAATTCTTTGAATTTAATCATAGAATCTTTTACCAAAATTGTATTAATAATTCTAAGACCAAAGTCTATAAACCTTCAATTGCGTTGCAAAAGTCAAGGCTAAATTCGTGTACCTTCTCCGAAGGCTGGGTACACAGAAATGACTAAAAAACAAAGGGACATTGCCAGGGACTCACTTGCCTCGTAAGCCAAGGCAAATATTTTCCCTGGACCCGCAGCACAAACAGGACACGACAGGACGACGACATATTCTGAGGGTTGGATACAGGACAAGACAAGGCATCGAACGAAATGCCACGCAGGCACGTGTGCCAACTGGGTGTGTCCTGGTCCTGTCTTTGGTTGTCTCAAGGATGACGATTCGCAGTCGTCTCCGCTCCCGAAAAATCTCATATTTCACTCGCTTTTTCACCTGTTTACCTTTTGCACAGCCGTGTAGACGCTCTTTAGGCCTGAAATTCAATGCTAATTTTGCACTGTCCATGGGAGGAGCAATGCAATGCAAACAGACCACAAAGGCGCACGACGGCGGCGGCGGCGACAGGTCTGTGTATATATTACAGGTTGGGCCAAGGCAGGTGGCAGCCAGCTAGCCGGCCTATTAGCCAAATTGGCCCCAATGAAGCGTAAAGTGTCGCGCCTACGTGTATTTCGCCGATTCGATTGCCGGCATGATGGATGAGTTGAGCGGGCGCAGCGAGCAAACGAAATTCAAATGGAAAAATTCGCTTTCAATCAGCGGGGGCACTGAGAAAAATTTCGTTGTATTTGAAAAGTCAATCGATATCGATGCTGTATAGAGATTTAATTCGAAATCTATAAATAAATAATAACATAATAATCGATATTAAACTCGCATTGCGAAACATAAATCGATATTTTTACGTACGATAAATTGGTATTCTGCTGTTTGATATGTTTGATATACATATATATATCGGAAAAGAAAAGTTGCAAAGAAAAGTTAGTTAAAACTGTAATTGTAAAGTTTTAAATATGTTCTAAATATAATCGACTCGAAATGGAAAAGTAAACTTTTAAAGTCTACCGATATTTTTCCGATTAAATCGATTTATTTTCGATAAATATAATATTTTATTAAAAATGGCGAAACTTTAAATTTAAGGATTCAAAATTGTATTACAACTTTTTGATATGTTCTTAAGTTAGTTTATCTTTATGAATGTATACCCATTTTTTAATAAGATAATTTTATAATTTTTAAATAGGGCCATTCTCCATTGGTTCTATTCTTAATTTTTTTGATTTACCCTTTTTTGCATTCATCTTGCTGCTTAAATATTTTGTTATATATGCATTTTTCCCGGTGCACGGAATTGCCAACAGTTTTGTTTGACAAAAATTTCTTTTGACTGATGGCACAACCACCACGAGGATGCCAGTCAACAGATGCCAGGACACCTAAATGGCAAACGATGGGTTGGGAAATGGGTGAATGGCTTGGAAATAAAAGAAAAAAGAGACACAGACAGGAACAGAAGGTGCAACGTGCGACGACCATCGTTTCCGCGGGGGAAGAACACATAAATTTAGAAACAGACTCCGCTGGCTCTGTGTGCTCTAAATAGACACTTTTGCACTTGGCGGTTGGCATATTGAAAGAAACAAATCATTGGGTAATAGCCCTCCTGGGAAGGAGGAGACAGACCAGCAGCCGCCGACGCAACCAGATGCTCCTGGGAAGCTCTGCAAGGAGACGACTTTCACTGGCAGTAGGAGAGTCTGCTTTCTCCGGATGGGCTTCTAATGAATAGACAATTACGGTTTACTCTGGCCCGAAAATTCTGCATTCGGTGGAAATGAAACCTCAGGAAAGTCGAGTCAAATTTTTGGGGGCATCGTTGAAACGTTTTGCAAGGGAAATTATATTTAAAGCTCCTCTGCCTCTTAGTCTCTCAGTCTCTGAATATCTAATTAAGTCGAGCAATATGGCCAGCAGTCATAATCTCGCTCGTTTGGTCATCAATATATGTAAGATGGGATCCTTTGATGTGAGCGAGTAGCAGTTGTTCTGCCAAATTGAAAAAGGCTAAGCTCATGGAAATCAGAGGCCACAGGAAGTGTCCAAGAAATAGTTAAGAGCAAATACCAGGCTACAGCACACGAGCATTGGAAATATATTTCAACCAAAAGATGCCCAGGGGCATGGGGCACAACACCCACAAAAGTTGCTCTGCTTTGCTCTCCATTTCAATATGGGATTGGTCTAACTTTAAATATGCAACATTTCCTTTGATTTCGACTTGAATATGTTCAACTTTTAAAATATTAAAACTTTTTCTGCTTTTATGCAAAGCCTCTCAGGGGAATAAAAAATTTGTATAGATTTTCGTATCCCTTAGCATAGAAGCTCTTAAATTTGTTCTATAAATGTATATCCTTTGTTAAGACTATTACAAACTGGAAACTTGAACAAGAAATTGCTGTGAAAACAATGCTTCATAATAGGAAAATGCCTTTTTTTCTCTAGTCTTAAAGGCTAACGATTGCACAAAGGCAATAAGAATTAAATTTCGACTCTTGGTCTTAGCTATACACTTTCATAACAATTCCGTGTATTGTATATAACAACAATCGTCAGCCAGTTGATTGAAAATTTACGAGCTATTACACTTTGATCCACTCGATACAGACAAGGCCGCAAAAAATTCTCCTCTTTTTTTCGGGAGGGGCACTGGCCATAAAAAAAGGAAATAGAAAAGCAAATAAATTGAATGGTTTGGTCAAGCAGGACGACGGCTTTTACGGTTATGACAGGCCATCGAGGGTCTCCCGAGGTGTTTACTGGCCAAAAAAAAAAGGCCCCACCAATGAAATATCACATCAATGGATTAGGAGGGGCTCTCCATGGTACACAAAAAATATATATAGTATAAAATATATACCATGTAATAACAATTAGATTGGGGGAAACTCTACACCTTGCTATGGGAAGGTCATCCCTTTTGGCGTTTTGAACCCGGCAAAAGGACAAAGGAAAATATAATCAGAAAACCCAATTCGCTTTTCCTCATTCAAATTATTTCGCCGTTGGCAAAATATATTTAAATTTAACCCAAATACATGCTCAATTCTTTTTTTAGGCTGTAGTCTGGCATTAAATTACTTGTCAAACAATTCAGATTTTGTCGAGGCTTGTGATTAACATAATTTCATACATTTTGAGGAACGCCAACACTTGAAATTATGTAAATTGAGACGAGAGAGCAGCCGTTGGAAATTACCGACAAAACCAGCACTGATGATGATTGCATATCTATGTATTTAGGCTTGCCCTTTAAAGTGTTACACTTTCTGTTAAATTCCAGAACCCTCAGACCAGTCCAGACATTCCCTAATGGATGGTAATGCGATTATGTTCGGCCATTTTTGGTGTTAATTATTATTGAAATAAATGGGATTGTTTTCCCCCAAAATTAGGCCAAATGGCCCGCCCACATCTGTTCTCTCGTTGAGATTAATTCAAGGGCCCATGTAGGAACATTTTCAGATTGAACATTTCGGACATGAAAATGTGCAGGCAACCATCCAAGAATTTATCAGCCCGAAGACGCTCTTACACCAAAATGTAAGACGAAAATAAATGCGCAAGATGCTGTGAAAATAGGCTTCCTCCATCAAAGAGACCCCGGGGAAAAGGGTTGCAGCCAAATGCCAAGGAGTATGCCGAGATTAAAGAAACAGGCCAGAAGGTCAAGTCAGACCCACCCCCTCTCTTGAGAGCCCCATAAACTTATAGGTTCTGCTTGAAATAATTCCATTAAATTGCCTCGCCAAGTAGATTATGCAAATTAATACCCAGCTTCACCTCATTTTTCCCCGTGCAAGAACCTTTTGCAGATAAAATAAACTATGTATATGAGATGCGGCTTTAAGCCTGCTGCACTTGACTTTAACTTTCGACTTTAGTTGATGGGAAAATAACTCGAGTCGGACGTTAATTTCCCCAGTGAACTGGAAACCACTAGGTGAAAGTTGGGGGAAATGGATTAAGACTTTTTCTTTTTTCCTCTTATTTTCCCATTTTGTTTAGTAATTTAATTATTTTTAGTAAAGACTCCCTCGCGAGTTAAAAACGCAACCAAATTCAATTCAAAACGAAACGGGATTAAAGCTAGAATCATATTACGTATACGCAACATGTACACACCAGCAAATAGCGTATACGCCAAGTTGGCGCTACCACAAAACAAATCGAATTGCAACCAACCCACAATGTTAAAGAAAGGGAAAATAACTGCAATTTCATTATAGGAACAACTGGCCCTCTTCAACTACTGGGACTCGATTGTCGTCTATGCAGTGCCCTTTACCACCATCGCGGTGCTCAACACCTGTACAGGTTGTACCGTGTGGAAATTCGCCACCGTTCGCCGTACGCTGACCATGCACAAGATGTGAGTATCGGGGTTTTTGGTTTGGGGTTTTGGGTTTATGTTTTTGGAATAATTTCGCCTAAACAACGGGTGTTTGCCTTATTGACCCCTGATGTGTATGTTTGCATTTGCTACACACGCCCTTGAGAAATTCACACTGTGGGACTGGGACTTGGGTTTAAATTAGAAACTGCAGAACAAATGCCACGAAAAAGTCAGGTTTAACATCAAGGTACAGGTGCAGGGGAATTTTATTAAAATAAAACAAAGAAAAGAAGGCACTCTTGTCACTAATAACTCTTTAGAGCTTCTGCATCTTCCTTATTTACTCTTCCAGGAAACTCCTAACGAACATAAAGGCAAGGTACGGGGGAAATCTTATTAAGATTATACGTCAAAAATATCAATTATTCTCTCACGAAAAATATAAAAACAATATAGAAAATTTTCTTTTAGACTGTAACAAGTTTTTAAAGCTTGAAATGCAGGAGTAATCTTCTTTATTTCCTCATTCCAGGAAACCTCAAACGAACAGCATGCCCTCGAATTCATCGAACTCATCCGGAGGGCTGTCTGCAGTGACCTCATATCGCACATCTGCCTCTCTAAAGCGCCAAAAGTCAACGGGAACGCATCCAAGTGGACAGCATAACGTGGTCATTAGGCAGCAGCAGGATGAGGAGGATCAGCAGCACCAGCAGCAGCAACAACATCCTCAGCATCAGCACCAGCACCAGCATCACATAAACAATTGTCAACACCATTGCGAGATTACACAGAAGCCAGGTGAGACCGACCGAACGACCACTGACTTTTCAGTTGGAAAATGGAAAATGAAACACGGAATTCAGAGTCCCAGAATCCGCAATCTGTGACAGTGTCCAAAGCGGAATTCCTAGTAGAGTTGACATTTGCCAGAAAGTTAACCCAGGCTAAAAAGGCTAAAACTTTTCCTAAAGCCATTTAAGTTTTGCGTGGGAAATTTTCTGAATTTATTTGCTGCCATTTTCCAGCAGCAGCAGCAGCGTCTGACATTAAAAATGACAAAACAAAGGAAAAAGTGAAAAGTAGCAGGACAAATTTGAGTGCGCGCGAAACTTCACGACAGCTGCGAAAATCTTTTTTCCTGCCATGAAGAAGTTTGCGACACTATCAAATTGTCAAACAATTTGCCAAGAACTATCGCATAATTTTCCAACTAATTACGAAGTCTGCGGCAGTGTGAAGGCTGTCTCCTGTTAATCCCCGCTCCAATGTTTATCCTTTTATTTACTCTTCCTTTATAGGTCGTCGCAAGGTACAGAACTCGTCGCAGCTGAAGGTAACCAAGATGCTGCTGATTGTCTCAACGGTTTTTGTCTGCCTAAATTTGCCCAGTTGCCTGCTGAGGATCGAGGCCTATTGGGAGGTAAGTGATGCAAACATAATACATGCATTATAGTTTTGCTACACATTCAGTCAATCAGTCAAGCCGAAAAGCATTTGCTATTATAGTGCCAAGGCCCATTGTTATGTGAGGACAATGATGGACTTTAGTCCTGGCTTGACCCAAATAATTGGATTAGCAGCAGTAGTTGGTCATCTCGTAGATATTGTGGGGTTGTGCACAGGGGGAAAAGTATTACAGAATATTTTACCATATGAATGAGCTTTAAATAAAATTTAAACGAGAGGTAAAAAGGTAAATAAAGCTAATACAAACTAAAGAGCCCACTTTTAAGTAAGAATTATCTTTAGACAGCTCTTATTTAGTTTTCAACAAATATACTGCTGATTTTTTCTCAGTGCTGATTGTCCAAAACAATAAGACACAAGTGAGTCTTATAACTTGTACGTCAGCTGTTGACTGCTAATTATCTGGCCACAAATTCTGGAGTTTGAGCTCGATTCCAGGACCAAACTCATAACCCAACTGGCTAGAAGGAGTCATGACAACACACACACACACAACTATTTCGAGCTGTGTCCTTTGTGTCCTGGTTACGCCAGGCTCTCCCCTCATATCCATCCATCCATCTTCGCTTAGTTAACTGGGCCGTCGCCGTGTTTAATCCAGGAATTACATACATCAAAAGGCAGCAGGCAAAGGCATTTTAATGTTCTGAGCAGGTGAGCTTCGTCGGTTGCCATGCCGACTAGCATATAAACATAGATGTTAATTAGGCTTTAATTAGTTTGTGCACTTTGGTGGTAAATCGTAAAAATAAAATCTGTTTCGTGTTTAACTAATGTCCCAGGGGCTGCACATATGCAAGCCTGGTTTTTATGGGATTTCAATCATTAAGAGAATTGACAGAAACAAATTAGCCATAATTTGTATATCTTTAAGCAAACAGCAACTGACATTTAATGAAATTCCATTTAATTAAAGCTGCCAGGTATTCATTTTAAGTATTCCCCTGAACTACATATTTTGGCGTTTTAATTGAGTGAGAAAAGTTTTTGAGGTAACTCTTGCTGTTTGGATAAAAGGCATTTGAACAAGTTTATACATTTTTCCGTCAGTTTCCACTTCCCCTTTTTCTTTATTTTTTTTTTTTTTTTTTTTTTGTAAAATTCTAAACAAATTCCCAAAAAAAAAAAATAAACAATTTTAAATTCTGAGAATTTCATGTATACGCCATGTGGCTGTCAAAGCATTGACACATTTTTTGTACAAAACACATCGACAGGGCAGACATTTGGTTAAATTAATAGATTTCGCATGGAGAATAACAAGCACAGAGTTTTTTCTGCCTTAAAAAATATACATAGTATTTGTATATCTAATAGAAAATAAATAATGCAAGCCATGTACAAAATAAGGCACGTTTTATAATCAATTAAAGAAAAGATACAATATTTTCTAGGCTTTAACATAAAAAACTGGAAAGCTTTCAATGCTTTCACCTTGTAAAAAGGGAAATACTAACCCTGAAAAATTGTTAAACTTTAATCCTCTCACTTCAATTTAGCTTGAATCATATAAAAACTCTAAAAGATTGTAATTTTTAAGTGTTGGCAAACATTTTACACATTCTCCCATTTTTTTTTACGATATTGAAATTGCTTTTTACACTTAAGTTCACATGCCAACTTAAAAATGCGGCAAACTCAGACATTGATTGCGACACAAAACTAATTGAGTGGAAAAGGCTCGACGGCAGACAGACAGACGGTAAAAACAAGGACCGGAGATTGTTTTCCGGCGAGTTCAACAGGTCCAGGTCGAGGTCAGCAAGGACACGTGCCCATTACATATGAGCTTTTAGGAAGAGAGAAAGGGTCACTAATGGTTCAAAGAAATAACTGGCCATAAGGAAATTATGCAAAATTCCGATCAATAGTAGCGAAATCCTTATTATGAGAGCTCAAATGACAAAAGCTGCGGAATTCCTTGGAATAACCCAGGACAACAACGTGGAAATTCCTAATTGGCACACGAATCATCAAGCGTTCTAATGCGATTTCCCTTTCTTTTCCTAACAGACGGAATCGGCCAGGAATGAAAACTCCACAATTGCCCTGCAATATATTTTTCACGCTTTCTTCATCACAAATTTCGGCATCAATTTCGTGCTTTACTGCGTCAGCGGACAGAATTTCCGGTAAGTAATCCGCCACAAATTACCCCAATAACGAATCCCTATATGTGACTGGCTTTTATCAGCATTTAAATATACTTTTACTGACTCGCCCTCTCTCTCTGTCTCTGTTTTTCCTGCACTTCCAGCAAGGCTGTATTGAGCATTTTCCGGCGGGTTTCCTCTGCCCAGCGGGAGGCGGGCAACACTCAAGTGACAGGTGAGCGAGGACATTTCTTTCTTCTTCAATAATAATGCAGGGGAGTAAAATGTTCATATGTCAAATGCGATTTTATATGCTCAGGAGGGTGAACCTGGGAAGTTTTATTCCTTGTAAGCTAATAAATGTCGCTGGCAGATGTCTAAGTACCTTTCAAAAATCATAAACTTTGAGTGAAAAGGTTCGCAAGCAGAACTGACATTAAATCTCTGAAAGGTCTTTAAATAATTGAGGCTATAAAAATCTCAGGAAAGATTATAAATAAATCAGAACCAACTTTAAAAATATACTCATACAAGAAATTGATTTTAATTAAGTATAAATGTAAACATTTCTTGAAGTCAATATAATTAGGTTGATTAAGAAGAATTTATTTATTTATTTATTTTTGTTTTACATTGTTTGAAAAAATTTTATGGATTTAATCTAAATTACTAGACCTTGAGTTCGCCTATTCACTCATATTTAAATAAGAAAATATATAAAAAAAATAGAATACTCTTTTTAAACTCATTTATCTACATGAAATGTACTCCAACTCGCACATAATTTGTGGCCACAAAGAACCAATTTTCCATTTTTCCACGCAATTGTTTTACCCCCGTGCTTTAAGAATAAATTTGCAAACGAAAAGCCCTCAAGTCAAACGACTTAACAGCATTGCAACTGCAAAGGCACAAAATACAGAAAGAAATAAAAAACACCAATGGAAAATGTTAAGAAGAACTTTACTCCAAAAGCTTAACTAAACTCGAGTGGAGCTTGGTTAAAGCCTGGATTAAATCCCAAACAAAATGCCATCAGGGTTGCCGCTTCCTTTGCCGCCACTGCTGCTGCACTTGACAGCTGCATTTACTGGGATTCACACGCTTCAGACTTTATTTTATATATATTTTTACACGAACTGTAAGCATAGTGGGAGGGTTTTTGGGGGAGTTTGGGTTGATGCTACCAATTAAATTTGTCGTGTTGCTGATTAGGAAGGAGCTCTGACATTCGGCTAAATGCAAAGTAAACACATTGCGCTGCGATTTTACATACATTTTTGCCAGGCTCTGGCTCCGTCCCAGCTGACTTGGTAAAACACCAGATAAACTCGGGCTCTATCCCGGCACAAACAGATGTCAGCGGCAGAGATTGAAAGGGATTAAAGCGACCACTCAACTTTCTCCTTCGCCCCGGAATTAAATCCGATCCACAGCAGGCGGTATTATATGGCATTGCAGTTTTTCTTCTGAAGCTGGGAGCTGGGAACAGGGAGCTGGGAGCCCCGACCCGGAGCCGGAACACTAATTGCTGTTTTGTTGCTGCCTCTTTGGAGGAACTTTTCCTATAAAGGCAGCTTTCGGACACTGGAAAGCAAACAAATCAGCATCCGTTGTCGCCGCGCATTGGGGGAAAACCAAGCCGGAGAAAACCCATGGAAAACCAGTGAGCAGTGCAAATGCGGACCGGATGCCAACACTTATTCAGGGTGATAACGGGAGAAAGGTCTCCCCTCTCTCTTTGTGGACCCAAGCAGAATAAAAGGTACGACAACGGACGACATGCCAAAAAATATTCCTAATTAAAGTAAAAGGAGCACCCAACCTTTTGCTGTTGTCCAAAAGGTTAAGCAAAGCACAATATAGGAGTTTGAAGGTCTTTAAATCTTTTTTATAATCTAATTTGTAAAAGCTTTCTGTATTAATTAATATTTATGGTTTAAATATAGAGACAAAATTAGCTTTCTGCAAAATCGGAGAAGTATTTTATTTCATTTTTTTAGGTAAAAATGAACCGGCACTGCATTTCTCTTTTTATTTTTCTTTTATTTACCTCTTAAAAATTACCAAAATGCATTTACTATTCCATCTGCAACTGCTTATAATCGTTTTAACGTGTTTTCACTAAAATTTCGACGAATTTACTGCAATATTCATCACGCCAAAGGCACTAAGTTTTCCTGGTATTTATCTTATGCCAATTTCACTTTTGCAGCGATGAATGTGAGCGGAAACTTGTACAAAAACTTCTGAAAGCAAATCGCACTTTAATTGCAATGCAATGTAAAAGCAATTCAAGTATGAAAGTTGGCAGATGAGGGCCAAGAGCATATAAACGGGGCCAAAATGCTAATCGACCAATAAATGCTTTTCCATTATGCGTGCAGAATTTCCACAGAAGCACGTATGAATACCAGCTTTAACACAGATTTTCTCTAGACTCCAAATTAAAGTAAACAAAGTTCAACGCAGTCAGGAGCAGAAACTTAAATTTAATCAACTAAAGTTTGTCAGCAAATTATTTAGATTATAATAATTATTATTTCTCAATGGGTATTAATTTTTGATGAACTACACATGTAGTTTGGCTTTGTTACTTAATATGGATTCAATATAAATTCAAATTCATTCTTTTATGACCTTGAGTGGTTGTCGGATTCCCGAGATCCCTTGAGCGAGGCAAGAAGATTGTTTGGATCCCCTTTTTATACAGCCATCATTCACCTGCCGTAAAATTTAGTTTTACGATTTTCCCTGCCTTTTCCAGCCTCCCCCAAAGGAGCACATCAATTTTTAATTTCTTACTAAAGCCAAGAACATTTTTGAACGGCCATTTTTCTTTGCCTCTGCCTGGTTTTGTCTCTCTGGTGGCATATTGGAAGCCATAAAAATGTCAAGGTGCATATTTATTTTCTACTGTAGAACACAGCACAGAATATATATAAAGAGTGTGGCTTGGTTTTCTCCACTTGTTAATTAAACGTGTTTGCCGATTCGTTAAGTAAGAGTTGGGTAAAGGACACTGAGTCAGTTTCAAGAGCTGGAACTAAGTCCTTCCTGTCAGCCACTCAAAAAACAATGCACAGGTAAAACAGGGAAACTCAAATGCAAATGTACAGTGGATCGCAGCTTATTTCGTGCAGTCAAGAAACGAAAATTTAAAACGTCCCTGTGGCTAAACGATTGAAGATAATCCAAATATTTAAACGCAGTACTTTTAGTACTTGTACTAACATTTATACTGAACAAAGACAATCTTCCTAATTATAAAAACGATTTTGTATTTTAATAAAAACTAATTTGAGGGCTTTTTTCATGCCGCAGCTTATTTCGTGCACTTCGTTTGATTCAACTTATTTTTATTAATTTAATATAAACAATTTTATGTGACCTCTTATTTTATTCTGAATACCTTTCAGATGATGTTTCAATTGAATTAACTAGTTTTTTTAATGTTTCTAGATTAATTTTAATCAATTCCTCTAAGGCACTACTTTTTTGATAATTTTGGTCAAAACTTTTAATTTTTGGGATGGCTAGTCCAATATTTGCTAAAAATTTTAAATAAGGATTATGTCTGGGTGACATTGATGTTGTTTTTTTGTCATTAGGACCGTTTTGTGTGAGCTAAAGCTTCCGAAAGTCCGATAAGTAGTAGAGACCGCTGTACTAATAGTTTTGCAAACTATCCCGTGTGACCACGTTTTCTACATTTTGAAAGAAGTTAACATTTTATATTGAAGGGAACATATTGGTTTCCAAGATCCTGCCAAAAAAATTTGGTTTCCTACTCTACAGGAAGCCATTTAGGCCCAAATAAGACACGATCGCCGCCTTGCTTCAGAGTAGCTTGCAAGTGTTTGGTTTCTAGCTCAATATTGGGTCTCCGCCAATAATTTATACTGTCATCAGGATTAAATTAGTTAAACTTTTACTTATTGGTAAAGATAAAAACATTCCAAAAGAAAATCGGACGAATTATAAGCTCCTATGAAAAGTTTTGATGTTGCTCCTGTGCTGGTTTCCTTATAAATGGCTCTTTTCATACTACTAGAGCCTTATAGATGTATTTTTGCAACAAGAGGCGTATTAAATCGGCACTACACTTGTTTCTTATTTCGTGCTCTATCTATATAACAAATTTGGCAGACGTTTGTTAATGATTTCACTTTTTTTTTGGTCCATGTAATGAACTTAATGTTCACTGAAAAATGTATTCGGTGCATTTCGGCCCTTATGTTTGGCCCAATCTTCACGGACAAACGATTAATTTATGTTTTTATATATGTGCGATTTAAGAATAACATTTTCGTAGTACCACGGTGATTTTTTTTTCTGTCTTAAATTGAAAGAGAACTAATTATCGTATTTTAATAGAAATTCGCGATCCTATTTTACTTATTTCCCCATAACTTCATATTTTAGTGTGATCAGGCCAAGAAACTTTTAAAATATACATAAGCTACCAATACCAAAGCCAAAAAAAAAAAAAAATTAAAAATTAAGCCAAAAATTCATTGTTTCTTACATTTTAACTAGCTGCACGAAATAAGCTGCGGCGTGAAAAAAGGTCATAAATTTGTTTTTTTAATATTATTGTTTGTTCTTATTAATTGGGAAGATATTTTTTTTTAATTTAAAATGTAGGATATCTGATTCAAAACACTGCATTTAAATTGTTTCGATATCTCTTATGGTAGAGCAGCAGTGATGATTTATACTTTAGTTTCTTGACTGCACGAAATAAGCTGCGATCCACTGTAATTGAAAGCGAAAACGCCAGCAGAGTGGGAAAACTGCGAGTGAAAGTGAATGGAAAAGTGAGAGTGAAAGCGAAAGCGAAAGCTTCAGCCGACGGCCACGAGATGTCTTTACGGCAACTCGCAGCGCCGAAAGGATCAAAAGGGAAAAAGAGTCCTGTGTTTCAGGCAAATATTGACGACATGCAAATACGCCAAGGTGTCCGTGTGTATCTCCTGTGCGGGTGTTTTTGTTTGCTTGTTTCTTTTTGTTTTTGTTTTTGTGGAAAACAAGAGCAGGCGAACGCTTTGCACAATTGCAGCGCACAGGAAATTACATGAGAGAAAAGATTTATTAAAATTAAGACTATTTGTTGTTTGTGCTTTACAGTTTCATTATTTCCTGGTTTTGTCAAGGACAATAATAGCCTGCAGCTATGTGAGTTTTCCTGAAATTGCCGCTTGTCAGGGAGACTTGAAGTTTTTTAAACAATTCTCGAAATTGTTTACAACAAAATTGTGAGGTGTTTACATTTAATATATATTGTTTTGAAATTTAAACTCTGCAGAATGTTTTTTAATTACAAATTGGGAATACAATTTAATTAATTTATGAGCTACTGGGTGTGAAAACATCAATTTAACAGGGCGGATGGCATAACAAACTTCATTCTAAACTCAATAGTCGAAAGTTTATCGTAAAATGCTGTTTATCAAACTTTAATATGTGCAATATTTTGATATTTTTGATATAAAATTGAGCTTGATACATATATATTTGCTATAAAACTGCAGTAAACACTTTTTAAATCAATTTGACCTACTTTATAAACGATTTTCCAAGCTCAAAACTCAAACCAATGCCTGGCTTTGCCAATCATCTAGCAAAGCAAACCAAACGAGAAATTTCCACAGCCAACGAGAATCGATTAACGCTAATGCCAATTTCAGAATTCACGCCGAAATCGAATACGACAGGATAATGCATAAATCAACCAACGGCCGTTAATGAGCTAGCGTTGCGTTGCGCTCACAGAATGGATTGGTTTCCCCGCCAATCTGAGCCTAATCACGGCCTGCGGGAAGTGCGTATGCTTAGTTTCGCAAAAGCGTTATCTTCTTTTTGGGTTTCTTCTTCTTTTTTTTTGTACTCGCGCGGCATTACTCATACGCTGCGTGGTACGTGCGCTGAATGCATCGGCAATGATTGCCGGCGAGCCTCGCGGGACCAGGAGTAGGACCAAGACCAGCATGCGTATCCATGTCCGTGTCCCGCCTGCTACCTCATTACGGTGTCTCTTATTGGCCATAAATTACCAACACTTTCACAGTCACGCTCTAGATGCTGCCTGATGCCTTGTGGAAAGTGCAAATCCCTGCCCTCGGGCTGGGCTTCCTGCTCGCCGAGTCAATCAGTGCCCGTCTCTGGAGGTGACACTGCCACTCGGCGACAGAGTATATTGTGAAGCAACTAGAAATGTTTCACTCACGGCTGATTGACTAGCAGTTACCTTGGTAGAAAGATGCAAGCAAGGAGATTTTAAGGAGTGATTTAAGGGGGGACATCTGAGTAACTTTTTTTAAAAATCGAAAAATTTTTTTTTTGCTTAAAAAATACTTTAGGGTCTTAAAAATAACATATCAAAAGATAGAGTCCGGCAAAAGTTTCTAAGTGTCGAAATTTTCCATTCTGCGGCGATGCCTCACATGTAATCATATACGATTTTAAAACTTTAAACGCGTTTATCTCAAAACCACTTTTTTTGAGTTGGCCGGAAACCTAACTCGAACAAATCTTAACCGATCGATCTGAAATTTTGACATTTTATTTAATCACTCACCATTTTGCTAAAAATCAAAATATCGAAAAAATCCTACGTGTGTCGATAGCGGTTGAGATATAGAATCTAACAAAATTTGATTTTTTGTTCTAGATCAAAAATTAAGGACGTTAGGTTTCCGGCCATGGACCCCTTTCAAAAAAATAGGGCCTTCGAAGAAATGCTGCACAGCCGCCATTTTGTTTTCGATTTATTCCAAAAAAATGTATTTTGTACTTCACATATAACATTATCAAACCTGCTTTAAAATTTTTCGATTTGCTTTTTCTTTTGGCCAAAAAAAAATTCTTGAAAATCGGCTTTTTTTTGGCCAGTTACTCAGATGTCCCCCCTTGAGTAGATTTTAAACTAAAGAAAAGAGAGTCCCGAGGAGGAAAACAAAATAAATAATAAACAAATAAGATTTAATGATAATATAATATAATATAATTCTAACAAGATATTTTTATGGGAGCCCCAAGATGAAAGATAAATTATAAAGTATAGAAATACAAAGACCTCTACAATATTTGCAAAAAATCCAACACTAACCTTAGTAAACAATATGAATTGCTACAAAAAGTATTCCAGAATAAACCTAGACTTTTTCTCCAACAAAAAACAAACAAGTTTCCTCGGGGGAAAAAAAGAACGGTATCTATTTGCTCTATGCTTGACCTTTCACCATACCAACCGTTGTGTTAAATGGACTCATTTATAATGATTTATCTGCGATGGAGCATGACTTTGACCAGGAAATGATTGTGCTGGTCCAGAATAACAAGTGCTTCAAGCAAACTGCAGCATCAGCTTTGTAGCGAATCAAACATAGAAATATACTTATAGCCTTAGAACCAGACCCACACCCAGACCTAAACCCAGACAACACGAGAGATAACACGACAATTCACTTAGGACTTCCACTTGCCTTTCGCGGAAAGAAGACCTGGAATGACGCGCGAGGCCTGGACTTTTGTGGTTGACTGTATGATACATTTAATAATTTACTAGGGAAAAACGGGGTGGCTGGATGAAAAGCCTTCGCTGGAAAGCCAGGCAAACATCCATCCAGCATGCGTCAAGGACAAGCGTTGAACGTCATCATTAATCTTTGCCAGGCCACAAATATCTCCACACATGGCAATCAACAAAAATTTTGAGGCAAAACCCCCGAAGGGAAGGGAGCTCCGAATAATACTCAAGAGAGGAAGCTGTTGAAGTGGCGAAAGGTGCTATTTATATATCTCCCTTTTGTTAAGGTCTTTGCTTTGAAATAATTAAAGGGAAACAAAGTCAAAAAGGGAATTTTCTTCAAAACGTAAAATTACGGGAAATACTCAATTGCCTTTTGTCTAAAACGAATTTGATGAAGGATAACCACCATGTTTACCCCCCAGAAAATACAGCAAAGATTAGAAATGAACAAATATGCAAACAAACATTATTGTGTTCAATGGAAAATGCCAACGGCTTGAATTTATTGGCACTTTCTGTGTGCTTTTGAACACGAATGGATGATTGATTAGCTCAGATTGCCATAAAACACACACACAGAAAATATATTTTGAAAAAACAAAGCTACGTTCAGTATTCTGGTTTTTTTAATTAACCAACAAAATCACATTCAATGCTGCGATTCGTTTCCGGTTTCCGGGTAAAAAGCGGATTAAATCCCATTTGCTTTGGCAGTTGCCAATTTTTTGAGGCCAATAAATTCACCGGAACAAGCCCAGAATCCTCTCTACAGGGATGTGTCCCACAAAGTACCGAATTTATAGTCTACTTTTGGGTTGATGATGCCACTGCCAACGGTAAATCGCAGCTTTGGAACATTCAGGTAAATAAAAGGGGAAAGGACCCTTGAAATATAACCGAAAAAATGCGGAAACACGGATTTGTCAAACGATTAATGCTCCGATTTGTTGCCTCTTGATTTGGGTAGAAACAAATACATAAATCCCTTGATTTCTAAGGCAATTTATTTCCGGCTTATGGCGGGTATTTTTAGTTAAAAAGACAACAAGGTTTAAAGTGAGAGTTTAAAACATTTCCATATTTTCTCAAGCACTATCTAGGCTTTATTCATAAATGAAAATTAATTGGAAATATGAAAACTAATTACATGCTGAAGTCAAGTAATTGCAGTTACTTTTACAGTTTCAAAGAACGATCATTTGTTGGAATCTTTGATTATTTTACATTATTTAACTTTCCCATTACTTTTACACACACACCTCGACTGCCATTAGGCAAAATGTTAAGTAGGGAATTCAAAGCCAATCTTGACATGCGTCTGGGCTCGTTTGAATGCCACTTAATGAATTTTTGCTATGGCAATTTCAATTTCTAAGGAATATAGAACGAAATTAATAAATACGTGCTTGCATCAAAGACATATTCCCCTGCCTTAATACTCCCTTTTCCCTTTTCTGGCTTCTTTCAGTTTCTGAATACTGTCGTAATACTGGCACCTCCACCAGGCGCAGGATGATGACCCAGCATTGTTGGAACGAAATGCACGAGTTGCATCCACTCAAGTGAATTGGGAAAATGAAAAGGAAATAAAATGGAAACTCGCGCAGCTCTTCAAGAGCAAATGAAGGAAATCGCGTAAAACAGCCGGCGGATAAGCAGGAATTTTTCGCTTTTAATTCGATTTCAGCAAACATAATAAAATAAGAGAGACAAAAGGAAAAGCTACAAATATTGAGAGGGGAAAAAGCCGAAATAAAAATTAGTTTTTTTCAGCAAAGAGGAAATAAAAATCGAAAAAAAAGAAAGAAAATATGTTTGTGATGTTTTTTGTCAAGGCCAAAAGGCAAAGGAAAAAGATAAAACCAAATTAAGATTGAAATGTATACAGCGCATTGAATTTAATTAAGTGTTTAACTAACCCAGCCTAGTAATTAAATAAACCATTTTCGTTTCGCTTCTAAAATGTACGCCAAGCTAAAATAATTGTTAAATAATAACGAACACAACCCACTCAACCTAATCAATTCAAGACCATGCTGATTCGCACACGCAACTTTAATTGAATCCCAACCGCAGATATAGATACATAGATACAGATACATAGATACATAGATACCATTTAAAAGCGTCAAACGTGAAAGGTAAAACGAAAGGCCCAATGGATCAACCGGACTTAAATGTATTCCAATTTACTAATGATAACCAAACCAACCGATCGAATGTATAAATGTAATAAATGTTAATTTCGTTAAATGAAAGCCGGCGGCAGGAGTGTTTTAATTAGTTTCAACGGATAACAGCACCGCAGCGGTGGCAGCATTTAAATCATTTTCCAATTGAATAAACCTGATTATGCAATCCTCGGTTTAATCCACTTTGAATGGCTCAATAAAGCCTCTCATTTTTGGTAAGTTGCCGACTTACAGGCAATTGAATTTTCGAAATGGACACCGCTCAGAGCTAAGCCCTCATCTCATCATTGTCCTCTGGTCTGACCCAATCCCAGGGATTTATTATTATCTTTTCAGGTTGCAGCACATAACACAACCCCCAGAAAAAGGCAACACACCAAAAACTTTATCGGCTTAAAGCAAAAAACAGTTTTAACAGGAAGGAAAAAAAGGTCAAGACCGGCTGCAGGGTAAACAGCTTGAAAATCCTCTTCAAAAAAACTTTCTTAAAAACATTCAAGTGCAAGCATTTGAGATTTTTGCTAATTGCAAAAATACCTATAAAGTAGAGTGTCCTCCCACGCGATTTCTCGCTTTTCTGGGAAGCTAAAAACAATATTCCAGGTTCAATTTTGGGTAGACAAATACCTTTGGAGATTAGCTGTAAGCCCAAGAGTATTAAAAAATACACACACACACACACACGATATGGCCCAGAAAATTGTAATGTGAAATGTAAACAAACTTCGACACACAATCAATAAAAAGCTGTTAAAGCTTCTTATGTAATGCAATAAAAAATTCACAGACATCACACAGGACAACCGTACGTATACTTAATGCGTGTGTATATGGAATTAAAATGCAAAATTCAAACACAAGAAGAAGAAACACAACACTTGCGGCCGAATTCGGTAGATGAAGCGGAGGAAAATGGTGCTACTTCGAATTTCGATTTCTATAACTCAAGAGGGGCATTCTCACGTCTTCCCATGTGATGCGCCTGCTTTCGTCCTTTTGTAAGTAACCATTGTGCTAAAAACGGCGGACTATGTGTTCCCGGGAGCTGTTCTGTTATTTCTGATGAATTTTCCCAACCAGAATTCTTGAAAGTGTCTAGTTATTGGCATTCTGCTTTACCGGATATGGTATTCGAGAGGTGTTTGGGTGGTTATCATAAGAACAAGGAAAGGACTTGTGCAACAACAGTTTGAACTCTGGTTACTTGGAAAAACGTATGTTTAAAAGAAGGAGTCTTAAATTACAAGCATTTTTTTAATTCACACAAGTAACTTCTTTAAAGGCAAATAAGAGAAAAGAAACCTTAGTTGTTGTGCAAAATTCATAAAATTGTATAAGAAAAATAGACAATTCAAATAAAGACCAGTTTTAATAATACTATGTCGATATTTGAACCGAAAGTTGATTTTTCCCTTATTATAAAGGAAATAAGGATAATTAATTGCAATAACACTTTTAGGATATTTTTATATAATGTCGATATCTTAACATTAAATTCAATATTTTTACGATATTGAAAAGTTTGAAATATCTGTACATTTTCGATATATTTGTATGAATACCAAAAGGAACGATATTTTTTATATAATTTTAAGTGCGATATTTTTGTTAATTTATCATATCGAATATTTCGAACCTATATATGACTATGCCAAATAAGAAAAGCCGTTCCTGCCATTATTGCATCCATTAAATATCGTTGTTACAGTCCTTTTTAAGAATATCGATGATAAAAAAATTTGAAATATCTGTACATTTTCGATATATTTGTATGAATACCAAAAGGAACGATATTTTTTATATAATTTTAAGTGCGATATTTTTGTTAATTTATCATATCGAATATTTCGAACCTATATATGACTATGCCAAATAAGAAAAGCCGTTCCTGCCATTATTGCATCCATTAAATATCGTTGTTACAGTCCTTTTTAAGAATATCGATGATATTTTTACATATTCGATATTTTCGATATCATACTAAGAGCAATATTGTGGTTGAATAATTATTATTCAATTTGTTTGCTACTTATATACATAACGTACATACATCCCTACTGTAAATGACTGTCAAAAATTTTCTTAAATATTTAAATTTATTAAAAAATCAACAAGAAACCTAATGTAATTTTCTAAAAAATTTCTAAAATCTCAGTTATGAACGACCCAACTAATACTTCTTTAAACCAGCTGCATAAACCAATTTGTTGGCAACCCACAAAGTGCAATATAACCACACTACAATACAAATCTCGGACCCCTAGTTGACAGTTTAAAATTGAATTTGCACAGGGAGACCCGCCATCCACCTATCCAAAGTTGCACAGCAAAGTTCTCCTCAAAAATGGACACTTCATTTTTATTTTATTGCCACCTCGTCAGGGAGGAAAATGCTCATACCTTTTTCGTTGTCGCTGTGCAGAGTGCCCACCACGCTGCCAAAGAATCGCTTGTCCAGGATCTGCAGTAACTGCAGCGCCGTTGCATGCACCTCCACGCGGGGACAGCCGGTCATCAGGAGCGTCACCGTTATCACCGATGTGTAGTGGTCGCACGGGTACTCCCTGTAATTAAAGGTGAAAGGGATGTTAGCAAACGGGCCTTTAATAACAAAAACAAGGTAATATGAGTGGGCAAAGTCAAGAGCTAACAAAGTAACCTAATGAGTTTGTTGGCTTGCGGTCCTGCGGTCGTGTACTGGAAATTGTTGAACATGGCACACGCTCAACGTGCCAACAATCAACAGTTAATGCCCCAACTCCCAGGAAACCAGAAAACCCACTTCCCTATTAACCTGGGAGTCCACACTTGGCTTAAAAATCATAATACATTTTATGTAAATTAAAAAGTGAAGCTTGTTTTTAAGAGAGTTTAATAAAAAGAATGAAATTGGGGTAAAGTAAATCTATTTTTTAAATACAAATAAAGTAAGGAAACTTGTGCTAGACTATGAAATACTGTTAAATTTAAAAATTTTAATTTAGAAATTTTCAAAATATTAAAACCCGTTGAGAAACATCACAAAAATACATTACTCCTAATATACAAATTGTTATTTAAAGTTTATACATATTAATTCTGACTTTAAGATGGACCTTTCTATATTTCAAGGTCACTTTTAGTTGGAGTGCAGCCTTCACCCTATTGAAAGCCTGGCAGATCCATTAAAGTGTCGTTGCCCACTTCCTTCGCTTTGTTTGCATACATGCATCCACACAATTTTTTAGTCCCTTTCGGACGAGAGATATACATACATATATACACACACCTGTGTGTTACCTGGCATTTACGCTTGCATTGAATTGAATATTTTACGCAAATCGATTTTCACAAAGTAGAATGTGGTTTTCTCTTTCTCTTCAAAAAGAAATATAAAGAAGGTGCGCCTAAACTAATGCCTATTATGTGTGGGACATATTTCACAGGACCCATTCTTGGGCTGGGCTGGACGTGGGCGGCTTAAAGTTCAAGGCCGAAAATGGCCGGCTATTTAAATAAAGCGAATTGCCGGGGCGCAAATTGCCTTCGATAAGCCAAACAGGACCCAAAGCTGTTTAGATACAATCAATCAATTCTCGCCCCAGTTGCTTTTGCCATTTTCTTTCGATCCTTCTTCCGCTTCCTTAAGTCCGGTCGTCAGCAATTTTAAAGTTGCCATTCACTGCAAATTTCTCGCAAAGCACATTAAAATTAAACTTGTTTCCGTTTCGATGTGCCAACAACATGCAAGCTGTTTCATGAATCTGCCATCTGCCATATAAAATAAAAATTGTGAAAAAACTGAAAATAAAGTTCAGAATGCCACTCTATACATGTGCAGTGCTTGCGGCTCGCACATACTAGGAAATGTATAAAGGACTATGGGATATCCTGGAATTCAGGGGTATTCGTTGACTTTAAAAATATCCACGAGAGGGAAAATTCCCAAAAATATTATTGGAAGCATGAAAAAATGCACTCTGTCGAATTTTATAGGCACGTTTTTTTAATAGTTTCTGCTTTCACTTGTTTAAAAATTAAAAACCCTTTATGCAAAAATTCCGCCCAAGTCGTAGAGGTGGAAATATATCGATTTTCAGTGAATCGATTTTTTTTTTTAATTCTACAAGTAAATCGATTAAAACCGAAAACAGAAATAATTTCATTTATATATGGATTTACATTATAGATTTAAAAATATATGGTTCTTTACATTTTAATTTAGCTTTTCCACGAGTTTACATACGAATAGAACTTTATCGATTAAATCGATTTTGAATATTTGTATCGATGCATCGCAAAATGTAATATTTTAATCGATTACAGAATCGATTTTATTTTCAGCTCTTCTAAGTCGCATGCAAAACTAAAAAACCCATTTACATTGCTTACTTTGGCATTAAAAATTCGATATATCAAGGTTTACGATAGTATGGCATAGCATTATTTCCCCCGATATACATCCATAGCCGAAACATTTTTTTTTTTTCTAATGCCTTTTTAGCTTAAAAAAATATATGATAAATGTAGCCTCTACCCAACTACTCTAATTTAATATTTAAAATCCTTAATCCTTCATCCCTTCTATCTATTCCTATCACAAATGCCCTTTATCCTCTCCGTGAATACTGGGTATTAAAAAACAGGGAACCACGACCACACACTCGCAGTACCAAGACGCTGTCCAACCGACAAAAGATCTTACGCGTGGTTGTCTGGGAGATGGGATGCTTTTATTGTGGCTTTTGAGTCTTTTTAGGGATGAAAGCCACAAAATCACATTCTTTTCTCGGGATGAACCACAAACTAGTATGTGTGTGCGGTGACTGGTTACCACTGGTTGAACTCCGTGCGACATCGACAAATGTCGACAAATAGTAATTGGAAAGCTTAAACTGCGGTGAAGGCAGACGATTTAGTTTGCAGACCCTGGCAATTAGTTGCCATTATGAAGACAGTGCAAACGAATTAACAAAACATGTATTTGCCAACATATTGTCTACGCCAGCCTCAGACGGAGAATTTGAAACCCGCTGTAGAGGCAGCACAATTATGACAATTACGTGAAAATTCTAAGAAAATGTATAATAATAGCAGAGCAGGTAATTCACTTAAGAGACTATTATGGGATTTCCAGATAAATCTGCTTAAACGTTTTGATTGAAATGTAATCTTAATTAAATGGTAAAACATTTTACCAGAATTAATTCTGCCACCAAAAAGCAATCGCCACTTTTGTCTCCTTCAATTGCAGCTGCATTAAGTGCAGTGAGCCATGCAGGTTGCCAGCTCCTGAACAAATGTTTATCAAGGAAATATACACGAAATGTTACCGTTTGCCGCCATTATGAAAAGGAAAAACGAAAGAAAAAAAGAGGCAGGAAGCGGAAATAAAAAACGTGCTTGGCCTTAACAAATAGGATGTCATTTTTATGCTCACAAGTGCGTCCGTAAATTTAAAGCGTTCTTATTACACACACACACGTGAAATGCTACTTAAGAGCCCCCCCTGAAGGCCACCCCAATCCCTGACTGGATTACAGCCGCAGGTGGAGTGTGAGATAGCGTTGAAACAAATTAAAAGGGAACAAGGTAAGGCGATTACGCATTACAGCCACTCTGATGGCTTTCCCATCCCCTTGTATTTTCTTTTTTCCACTCACTTGGCACTGAAGATCGAGGCGAGGGCCAGGAAGCAGGCATCCGCCTCGCGAGGCGTTGACGTGTAGCACCGATCGATGACCCACTCAAGGAGCTGTCCCATATCCGGATTGGACTCAAGCAGCAGCACCACCGTGTCGCGGGCCAGTTGGTAAATCTGAGAAAGAGAAGGATGATTCGGCGTTAATAATGCAACGAACAATGAGTGGGACAAGTGTGCAAGGGCTTACTTTTTCATCCTTAGAGGTCAGCAGCAGATCCAGCCACTTGTAAATGATGCCATCATCTTGCAGATGAGGAGCGTAGAATATGTGACCGCAACAGAGGAGGGCGGACATGGCCTGTAAGGAGATTAAGGAAGAGTAAGATATTATTGTATTATTATCGTGGAGAGTTTAAGCTTTACATGTTTTTAAACCTAAATTAGTTCCCCTATTGTTGTTCTCTTCTTGTTCTTCCCACTTGCTCCCTCTTTTTACTTGCCTGCAGAGCACTGAATTGCAACTTCTCCTCCTCGAGGGTCTGTCCAATCTGTGAGGGTATGCTGAGCGGCTTGGAGAAGCTGCCGCACCATGTGGCAAACAAATTGAATAGATTACGCTTCAGGTCTCGGGACAGCAGCGTGGCACAGGATTCGACTAAGAGAAATGAACAGGCAATCAGTTTTAGCAGATGGATGGATGGAGAACTGAGAGCCAATGACAGCTCTTTCTCTTTTTGCGTGAGGACTTACGTGAGAAGTTCTTAATCATCTTGCGTATGAAATTGCAAAAGTGGGCCTTCACCTCGCGTATACTGAGGTTATCCTTGTCCGTTTCAGCCATTAGGTAGGCCATAGCGCCTTCGATATACTCCACAAAGGTGGGATGCAGTGACATTGTGTCGCGTTCCAGGACACAAGTGCTAAAGGAAGAGCTTCTCACTTTCAAGTACTAGGATTGGGACTAGGACTTACCTCACGCCAAAGGTCCCGTTTTCCGCTATCTTCTCCAGCACCCGCACCACCTGCAAACGCAGGGCATCACGCCTTCGCCGCCGCCTCATGTTCTCCTGCTTGCGATCCACCGCCTCCCGTATGTACACCACCAGCTCTTCCATGAGATCCCTGCAAGCAAGCAAACAATACACTCCTTCGGTCAGGGGGGACACATCAAGATGTCAGTTGTGACTTACTTGAGCGCATCGTGGTTTATCAGGCCCAGAGCATTAACGGCGGCATCTCGCACATCGACAACCTCGCAGCGGAGCAGCGGCACCACCAGCTTGTAGAGGGCATGCGGCGAGGCGCTGCCCATAGCCGACTTGTCGCTCCGATCGGCGTTCAGGGAGTCCGGCGATGAGCTGTAAAATAAATTTACGGCCGTGGATTTTAGTGTCAAACAGCGACGACGAGAGCAGTCCGGAGGGCAGTAATTTCTGTTTCGGTTCGTCGGGTGTCTGTCTGTCGCCTTGGCAAGGTCATTATTTAGCGTGGAGTCCATAAAGTTTACTGCTATTTAAGCTTCTCCCTTCAATGCGCCTAACGAAACGGCAAAAGGCCAGACAGTACGAGCATTTTTTTAAACATTCTGTGATTATCGAGGTACAGTTCTGCCCCGCTTTTGCAGTGGCAAAACACGACGATAAACATTATGAATTTTAAATTCGAAATCTTCTTTCAATTAAAACCCATTTTTGTTGTCCCTTTTTGAATTTACACAGCCGCAACAAGCGGGGGGAAATAATAATAATAAATGTCAGCGCGCACAGGCAAACAGCAATTTTTCTTTAATACATTTTTGCTGCTGTTGGGAAATCAAGTTTTTTTTTCTGTTGTGGGTTTTTACTTTATTGGGTGCGGGTGTCGAGGGTTGTTGAGGTTTTTTCGGGGAGTGGACATGCGCTACATGAAAAATAAACAAGCTTGTCTTCAAATTATTTTCCAGCATGGCAAGGGGGGCGTGGCCGATGCACAGAAGCCTGGGGAATGCGAATCAAATTGTTTGCCAAATTATACGGCACTGGCTCAATGCAAATCAATGGGAAAATACTAGGAAAAATATTTGAAATCAACAAAGTCAAAGATAAATTCAAAATCAAAACGTAAAAAGAAATGAAAATGTATGTTATTTTTTTTTTAATATTTTGTAGAAAGACAAAGAAAGAATTCTGTTTATAGACTGTTTGATTGATTGGATTTGATGGCAAGTAAATATATATTTTAATTTATATTTAAATGAAAAAAAAAATAAATAAAAAAAACAAAATAGAATTAGTTAACGTTCAGCTTGAAAATAAATTGAAATAAATCTCTTTTATTTATTGAATTTTAAGCCAAATTTTTAAGCAAAGTTTCTACTTTAAGCACAGAATTTATTTAAAAGTCTCTAAAGAAACTAACTAAATAAATAAAGTACACATTTTAATACAAATATAAGCTCAGAAGCAGCAGAAGAGTATTGAAATGAAAAGCGGTACTGTGCCAAATCAAGAATGCAAATTGGTAGGCAAGGCTCTAAGCTTTAGGAAATAATTCACAACAATTTTTAAATACATGCCAAAGCTACACACAAGCACACACAACAACAAGAGAGAGGCTACAGGAAAAATACTTTCCAGAAAACTATATGTTCTATACAGGATTAAGGAAAATTCAAATAACAAGGAGTAAGGTTTATCGAATTACTCAAGAATGCCACAGAAATAGCTTTTGATTTGTAATTAAAATAAATGCTGGCTAACAGCAGGTAATACAAAATTGCACTGCAGTACTTTTAGACACCTTTGCCATTGATTTTAAATCCAGAGCTATTTCTTTAGCGGAATTTGCATAGTTTAGGTTTGTTTTAGGTTTTGTTTAGGAATAGTTTTACTGTTTTTGTTTGTTATAATTTTGTGTTGTTATTTTGTTTGTTTTAAATTTGTTTTTTTTTTATTTTGCTTTACCCAAGTCGCTTTTGGCGTGCCTCTTTGCGTCCGTAGGAGAGTGGCAGCGTGAACCGCGTGACGATTCCCTCGGGCCCAAACACATTGGATGGTATATTGTCCAAGGAATCGGACAGCGAACGCGAGTCCGCCTGATCTTGCAAACTATAAATTACAATCCATATAGAGAGAGATATTTTTTGTAAACATTGAGCAATGTGACTGACTGACTGGCTGACTGGTGGATGAATTGCGAGTATAATTTGATTTCAATTTTCGTGATCAATATTTTATGTACGTAAATGCCCAGCGAGATTCCATCTTGGCAAATAGTTGCCCATATATAGCCCCATGGGATGTTCGATGGGTGTGGACACGGACATGGACATGGACTGTAACCTTCACGAGTATGTGGGTGGTGTTTGTGCGGACGTTCTTTTTTTTAATGTGAAATCCCCACTTTTATTGACATTTCCGTCGGCCAACATTATTTGCACACACTGATGTGATGAAAATGCTTTTGGGTGGGTGGGTTTTTGCATGTGTGCGCTGTGAGTTTCGGTATTTCGCATTAAAATTCAGTTAAATCTAGTTAAAATTCAAAAGCAGAGACCGCTAAAATGAATTTACAGTGATTTACTAGGAGCTGTGTGAGCTAAGTACATAAAAGTGCATTCAAGCTTCAATTTTTATATAAAATTTTTTATACAAATAAATTAAAAAACCAAAAACACAACAATTTTAAACAATTATTTCAAAAATTAAACTATATAACTTAAAACCTGTATATTTCTTTATTTAAATTATAATTATTTAGAATTCTAATAAGAATTTTAAAATCATTTAAAAATTTGGTCCAAAAGTATGCAATAATATTTTTTAATTTAAAATATACAAAAACATCACAAGCATTTAACATTCATTAAAAAATGTGTCCAAAAGTAGCAATTTAAATATTGTATACATCCCTTTGCAGGATTTACATATTTCCAGCATACTTTTGGACAGCATTTTCAATGATTTCAAATCCCCAGTCCTTCCTGTGGCATACCAGATTATTTATAAATTTCTTAAATGTTTTCAATTGCAGTGTAACCTATACAACATAGCTGGCTTTCAGCTTTTCTTTATTGGCAAAACATAATTAAAATACCGACAGAAACCAATTAAATAAATTGACTGACACCTAATTAAATAAATTGTGTTAAAAGCTTAAAAGCATAATTGTTAATTTATGCGTTAAGTTGGGAATAATTCTTTAAACTTTGTTACAAAGCTTTTTATTAAACAGATTACAACAGAAAAGTTCATTCAACCCTTTTTGCATTAACAAATAAAAAGACGTGAAATACAGAAAACAAAATAGATTTACTCAACCATTCCAAATGAAATTATAAAGGAGTTTGAAATTAATAATTAAAAAAAGTTTAAATTAAAAATGTCTAAACATGAAAAAGTTCTCAATGCTTTTGTTAAATGATTGTTTCCGACAGCTTTCAATTAAAGTTATCAATATTTTAAACTTTACCAATAAATAAACAAATCGATAAACGCTTCCATATGCGTGTAAATATTTACGATTCAATATTGCACTGTTTTTGCTACTGACATTATTTTCAGTATGGAAATCAGTTGACAATCGACTGCTTTTGCATGTAAAACAATCTAGCTAAACACACAGCCAACGCGGCGTATGAGTAACGCAAATGAGGCAATCACAGATAATGACATATATTATGGCCAATATTCAGTCACCATTAATATGCAAATGCGAAATATAAGCGAGACAAAGTTAAATTAAGTCACAGTTTCGAATATTTGTCAAAATATAAGACCAGTTTAATGGGCACGTGCAGGGATCTGCAATTATGCGTTGACAAGTAAACCAAATCTCACCAAATGCAGTAAATTGTGTGGCCAGAGGACAAATAATAGTGGGTACTAAATACAAAAAAAAACACACACGGGTGACACAGAAATCAACATGAATAAAGAATTTAAGGATATTTCATTTAAAAACGATGCTTAAGAGTAAGCAATACATTCAGTAGAAATTGTTTAGAAATGTATATTAGGCATTTAAGATGCACAAATAATTTAAAGTATGAGAAAAAAAAGGTTTTACATAAAAAACTCAGTAAACTCGATTTAACAATAAATATAAATTCAAAAATATTACTTAAAGAATTCAATGAAATAAACTTAAAAATAAATTCTTGAGTAAGCATAAAAATATTTGTATTCCTTTAGCACAAAGTTACACTTATCTAGCATACATTTTGTAGACCATTTCAATTTCAATGAATTTGGAATCCACAGTTATTTCTGTGGCATGTTGATTTACCATTTAAGACCCACAACACAAAATAACAACAAAAACAACAACAACAACAAAGCTCCGGTCGTTCTAGAGATTAAAAACACACACATAGACAACATACGAGAATTCGTGCCAAATGTAATTGAATGGGAAATGTTAGTCAAACAATTATAATGAAGTGTGTTGTTTGGTTTGATTTAAGGGTGAAAGGCTGATGGAAGTACAAAGTACTTGCACAGAGAAAAAAATAATATAAATATTGTAGAAAAATGGGGAACATTTTTTTAGATTGAAATGATATTACAATTTTATGAGATTTTAATTTAAAATAATAATTTAATAATTTAAAAAGTGATTTAGTTTGATAAATCATTGAGATAGAAAATAATTTAGTTAGAATTATAATTTTTGATCCTGAAGAATATATAAAAAAGTCTCGAAATACTAATACATTTTGAGTTTTTTTTTCTCTGTGTGAAACTGATGATTTTCAATGCTTTTCCTCACTCACTCACCTCAAACTCAAATCTGGAGAGGCACAACGTACAGCCACGCTGGGGATTTGTGGCACCAGACGCATGGCACATGCCACCTGATTCCTCCAGAGACGCAGATACGAATCCTTTTGGCTTTCGGTGGGCACTTTCTTGGTGGGCGCCGAGCTGCGTAGCAATGAAGCTCGATTATCACTCACGGGGCTTTATTTAAAAAGGAAATAATTAATATTTTTATTAGAAAATAGAACTTAAAATAACTTACGTGGGATCAATGACACTGAAGAGCGCATTTAGGCGAGTGAAACATATAGGCCAGGCCTGGGCCACTGCAGATGGACACTGTTGCAGGATGCGCTGACGTTCTAGCAAGCCAAAGAGACAGGTGGCCCAGGGATCAAATGGAGGCTGGGGAGAGCTGGCCGCTGCTGCTGCGGCAGCTGCCGTGGAGCTGGACTGCGAGAGATTCAGCGTTGATGTCGAGGACTTTGAGTTGTCTGCTGGGAAATGAAGAAGGGTTAATTCTGTACAAGATTAGAAAGAGACCTTCCCATACCATCGGTCAATCCCGCTAGCCAAACGCCACTGGTTCTCTCGGCTATCCACTGCAAGTCAATGCAATTGGCATTGAGGATGGCCGTCTTCTCCGTTTGCGGCAAAAGTGGCAGCAGGCACTTCTCCACAATAGCCGGCACACAACGATCCATGACGTCGATAAGAGGGGGTTCCGCTTCAGGAATGCCCAGAGCTCGCATCAGGTTCTTAACCTCCTTGAGAATCATGGCGGCCAGCTTGCGAAGATAAGGTCGATAGTTGCAGAGCAAAACCAAGGCGAAACCCTCAACGAAATGCAGAGTGGTGGCCAGCGGTATCTCGTTCTTCTTGGCCACATCGCTGCTGGCCATATTGAGCACCGTGTGCTGGGTGATGCTCGACATGCCGCTGGAGGAAGTGGTAATGCTCGAAGCGGCACTGCTGGCAGTATTCAGATGATGCTGCTGCTTAGACAACTGCTGGCTACTGGCGGTATCCTTGGCTGGAGCAGCTGTTCCCACTGTTCCCTGGACAAGAGTGCTCTGAACCACTGTTCCCGTGGCCACCACTTTGGGTTGTGCCGTATTCGTCACATTGGTGGCCATGCTGGGCCCGGCACTAGTGGTGGCGGTGGTGCTATTGCCATTCACATTAATGGCACATCGCCAGATGTTCAGGAAGTTGAACAGTATCCGCGTACAGTTCTCCAGCAGCTGCGGATAGGTGTCGGTGACGTCGCGCACCAGAAACTGAGTGTAACCGTGCACGACATCCTGACGCCAATCCGGAAAGTCTATGACCAGCGTCGTCAGCGACTGATGGGTCAAGATGCGCAGCTCCTCATCCATGTGGACAGTGAGTCGTGAAAGCAGGTCCACCAGCTCATGGGCGGTCATTGTGTCTGGAATAAGCCGCGGCACAGCAGCCACACACGTTCGGAAGAGATCAATGCGAGGCTTCCTTTCACCCGACAACATCTCGTCCGGCTCCTTGTTCTGGTTCTGCGTATTCGTCATCATCAACGGGCGACCGTAGTGCACATCCAAGGCCCTCAGTATATCCACAAAGACCCGCCGTACGTGAGGGAAGTATGTGGACATGCCTATGCTACGGGCGGTGTCATCCGTCAGCATCTTATTAATGTAAGTCTTCTTGACGCGCAACGTGTTCCCGGAGGGTAGAGCCGGCACTGTCCTGGGCATCGGCGGCTCACCCGCCTTCTGCTGCAGTGAGTCGGCAACGACCAGGAAAGCGCGCAGGCCGATGCTCATCCGCTCCGGGTTGAGAATCAGCTTGATGGAGCGTCCCACGCACAGCAGATCGTAGACAATCTCACGCATGGCAAAGTCCAGGCGCTCTTGGGCTATAAACTGGATGATCTTTACGAAGATATTCAGCGGCGTGTCGCGCGGCACAACTCCCTTGGATCCCCTTTAATGAAAAATATGAGTTAAAAAAGAATTTTTGTAGGTTTTAGAGTGAAAACTTACTTGGGAAACAGCGAGTTCACAATGCTCTGGAGGCGGGAGTGCGTGGCCGAGTTGGACTCGCACTTGATGCGAATCATGTAGACCCAGAGCAGGCGGTACAGCGACTCCAAAGCCACGCGACTCATCTTGGCATCGCGATTCTTCAGATTGCTCAGACACATGGCCAGGAAGTAGTGCCAATTGGTGAGGAAGAAGGTCTTCTGGGAGACACATAACAGGCAGGTGACCAGCGGGAAGAGGGCCAAGCGATGTTTGGACTTGGTAGAGGCATCCAAAGTCTGTACATACAGCAGCTCCACAAAGTTCTTTACGCAGGGGACATTCACCTCATTTTTGACAGCCTGAAAAAAAAATATATATTATATAAAAAGGCTCTAGGATAAGTCTCTACTCCATACTAACCGCTGCCACAGGCACTAGAATCTCCACAAAGAGTCCGGCAAGAGCATGCTTTATGTCCTTGTCCTTCACCTCCATAAAGTACTGACCGCACTCATGCATAAACTGAAACGAGGCCTCGAACTCCTCAATGGGCACCATCTTGACGCGAAAGAACTTCATGCCCATCAGCAGGCTGATGATACTCTGGGTGGTCGTGGGCGACACCTCCTTGCCGCGCAGCTCCTTCAGCTCGCTCATGAAGCGCTTGCGCACGGATGCAAACCGACTCTGGGCCAGCACACCAATGACTTCCGCATACAGATCGGCTATCATGTGGATGTTAATGGCATTCGGATTGTTCTGCAGACCATCCTTGTACTTGAAGTGCTTGAAGGCCAGATTCTCGATGCTGCGCACCAGATCCTCATGGCCCGGATGGAAGGGCAGCTGCTTGAGTATCTCAATTAGCGCTAAACAGAAAATAAACTCCACAGCCGCTTCGCGTCGCTGCAACTGAAAATCCAAGTCCACGGAAGGTTTGTTGCTGTTGGACGCCTGCGAATTGCTGCTGCTGCTGCCGCCGGGAGCAGCTGGTTTCTTGAGATCGTTCTTTATCTCCATATCGGACAGCTGGCGGCGATGCCAGGCGAGCAGCGTGTGCAGCAGCGAGGGCAGGCAGTGCTCCGCCACGGAGCCCAGGGCAGAGAGCAACTGATCGAACTGCTGATCTTCGCCACGCTGCAGCAACTTCGACAGATTCTTGTCCGCACTCTCGAGCATCACCAGCTCGATCTTCTTCTCCGCCTGAACGGTAAAGTCGCTGAACAGATTCCTCATCACAATCTCACCCGGCCGTGGAGCCGAGGAGATCTCCACACTGGCCACGCTGGCCGCCAAGGCAGCATGCATCTCGGCTTGCGTGTAGCTGGGCAGGACGTTGATAATGGAGCTCCTGGAATGGGCACCCCAGGGTAGCAACGATTGCCGCTGAGGTATCACCAGTGCCGGCGGCGAGGCGTAACTCTGGCGACTGGCCGGCAAACTCTGGTAAGTTATCGCCAACGACTGCTGCTCCACTACTCCACTGCTCACTGCCAACTGTTGCTGTTGCTGCTGCTGTTGGTGCTGCTGTTGTTGTTGGAATTGCAGTTGCTGTGACTCATACTCGATGCCATATGGATAGTCATCGCCGGGTAACTGATAGTTAATCGGCGACGTTGTCCCACTAGCGGCATTGCTACTCGGACCATTCCGGTGACTGGTCTTCGGCGTGGATGTATACTCTGCCGAGTTTATTGAGTGACGTTGGTTGGGCGATCCGCCACTCGGATTGCCGTCCAGCTGTTGTGTCGCCTCAACGTTATCGACGCTATCGCCACCACCTGTGCCCGTCTGATAAGCATCTTCCTGGAACGCATTGCGTTGGGGGCTCTTGGTGGGTGTCACAGTGCCCACACCCACCACTCCGGCACCACCTGCTCCTACCGTCGCCGCCGCCGCCGCTGCTGCGGTGGAGGTGTTGGGACTGGCACTGGAGGGCGAGCCAGCCGGTTCGGTGCTCAGGTGCTGCTCATTTAGGTTTTGATTTGTGCCTGGTCGAAAAAAACGTAAATAAACAGGGGACATTATCAGTATCGGTTTACGATTATACGGATTACACTTATCAGTTATTTATATGTCGGTATGGAATTACATGTTCAGATAGCCAAAGTCAAAGTCCCGCAAAATGATTCATTCTACCTACGCATAAATTTTGCAAAAGGGTGAAAAAGGGGGATTACAGTAAGAATCGAATATATGATAAAGCGATCAGTTTTTGCAATTTTAATTTGGGAAGAATTATATTAAATATATTATTATTTATAATTATTTTACTTATTCCTATCATAATTAAAAGTTATTTTTCTTTGTTTGTTTTCTCTTTTATTTGTTTTTAATAAAATTCAAAAGACAATGTTGCTAGAAACATGTTTAGAAATATTTAATGAAGCTGGCAACACCGAAATGTTGCATTGGTTAGTTTTTTTTTAATGATTATTATTAATACATATTTTTTAAATACTTTTTCATCGTAGATAAAGAATTTAAAGCTGTTAGAATTCCTGTTTTTGATTTATCTTTTTTTTCTACTTTTATTAAAACAAAAACTAAATCCAGCATGTTGCAACGCACAAGAAAATGTTGCTAGAAACATGTTGAGCAACACTTAATGGCGATGGTAAAATTAATAAGTTTTCTTTTTTAAAATGTTTGGTCCTGGCTACTGGAAAATAACACATCTAATATATTTTGTAATTATTTTTTTATTTTCTATTTATGCTTTTCTTTAGTGCATATTCTTAAACTAAAAGAATATCGCATTATTTTAAATACTGACAAATTATTTAGACATAAATGAGCGAAATTATATTTGAAAGAGATATGATGCTATATATTTTAATAGATATATATGTTTTAGCTATATTTTTATCTGCCAAATTTTGCATATAAGCGATATATACTGCATGAATTTTTGATTTGTGGTCTGTTGATGTTTTTTCATTTGTTTACCCAACCTTGGTTCTAGGACACGCCTATAAAGCGAAATCTGTAAATAGAAATTATCATCAGCAGCCATCAGCAATTTAATCATCATCAAGTGTGGGGGTGTGGCAGGAGAACACGCCCCAAAAAAAAAAAAAAAAACTCAAAACGAACTCCCTTTATATGGTTCCCATTCTGGACTTTTTCCGACTGCGTGTATCGTGCCGAGTTATCATTCGATAATAACTCGCTTTTATATCTTAATTGCCAAGGAATATAACTGTAAAATCATTAACGCCACATGGCCTGATGGATGGCATTCCGTCAAACCATCTGTCAAACAAGCACCCACAAAGACACACACCACACTCTACTTCCAAATATGCATAGATAGAAAATAATAAATAATTTCAATTGATGATTCTGTTTTTCTTATGGCAACGCTCAAAATCTTTTTATCGGCGATAAGAATATAAGGGAGAAGTTCCAGTTAAATCATTTTCTGGAATATCAGGCCGAAATTATATTTCTACGAATTAATATTTCGTGTATAAATACATTAATATTTACCCTGTTATCAAAAACCTTATTTTCAAAGCTTATGAAATAATTTTATATAATATTATTATTACGGCCTAACCATGTTTTATTCATGAAACATCCAGATAAGAAATATTACAAATTTCAGAGTTAGCGTTTCAGGATTTTGTGGAAATATTCAACCTTCAAGAAACCAGTGGTTTTCCATTATTTATTCCGTTTAGGTTAAACATAACCATTGCATGTCGTTCAATCAAAGGTTGCCCCAGACTCAACGTGCTTAATATATTATTTACTACAATTATAGTGACTTATTCCTGGACACCGACAAACCAGAACCGGAATTCCTTTAAAATCGAATTCAATCAATATGGGGCAGAGACAGGACATGATAGTGAGTGTCCTTTACGGCCGACGCCGAGTCAAGTACAATTGTATATATGGATATCTGGTGGTGCCCGGTAGTGAATAATGGATGTTGGTGCCAAACGTAATCCAAACGATGTGGCATGTGTCATGCATCTATCCGTCCATGGCTTGGAAGGCGAAGGTCTCGTCTCCTTTGTCCTCAACAAAAGTTCAGGGTAAAGGTTGTTCCGCCGTTGTGAATAATTGATAAAGTTAAAGTACAAGGCAATTTTTCGTAGGCTCATGGGGAGAGCAAAGGGGGATCACCCCACTGCAAAGGCCGTGAAATCTCTTCCTAAGGCTAGTTTTCAACAGATAGCAAAGTCCAGGCAAAAATACATGTGTTGTGTGCAATCAGAGGAGGAATAAATAAGGCTGGAAAATGTTTGACATTTCACTAAACACATGTGTGCGAAAGGAAATCGAAAATATCTGAGAAGAGAATCAACACGAACACAATCTCGAAATAAAATGCGAAAAAACACATGTACACTCATATATATACGTTAGTATTATTAATACCGTATTAACACGCTCGCCCAAATCGTCTGCCAACCGAAAATGTTCGCCTTATGAAAGCTCTTTGGATGTGTCATATACGCGAACTCACGATATTATTATTCCCCCGCCACTTATAAGACGTGCGACGAACCCGAACAAATGTTTCTCCGATTTATCCATAGCACTGGGCCAAGTCAAATCCAAAATAAAGCGAGAAAAACATCAGTTTGACCGAAAACTGCATCACTGGCAGAAAAATAAAACGATAAAACGGATTTAGGGGGTCTCGACAAGTGGAATATCCATTAATCATTAAGAAAATTGGATGAGTAAGATAAGAGGTTCCATTAAATTAAATGTAAGGTGAACATTATCGAATCGATTGTTAGTTAAATTCTATCACCATAAATCATTATTTTGTTCAATAACCAAAGGATTGTTTTTATTTTATTTTAGATATTTATTTATTTCCATACACATTATAGGATAATATTCAGTACCTTATTCTTGTTCTAGTTTACTAGATTTTATAAATTATTATAATAATATCTTGAGCTTTATTCACACAAATCTAATATACCCTTAGCACTTCCTCTCTATCGAGTATGGGAAAATATACAACGAATAGATGTATTTGTTTTCCTATTTCTTTTATTCTTTCAACAAATCGGAATTCTGTGGAAAACATTTTATCTTTGGAAAATATTTTTAGGTGCCTTTTTTTATGTCGTTGTTGAAAAATTCGAGTGTGCCATAGATTTTCACATCTTAGCGTTTCCCCCACTTTGAAGAATGTTTTTTTGTGTGTTCTTGTTATTTATGGGAAATATAGACAAAGTTTAAGGGTCCAATAAAGTGAAAGTGGTGATATTTATTAAACAAGGGAACAAATGGGCTATTAATGTATGGATTAAGCAAGGTGAATATAGTCCATTCATACGAAATTAACAAAGGGAATTATATTTGATAAGAGTTTATTTATTAAGGAGAATACAAAGGAGTTAAGGCTTATAAATAAAATCAACGAATTTTGGTATGGAGAACAAGTAACCGATTAGTATTGCAAGATATTTAACAATAATATACATTTATTTAAATATAACAACTTCACTATAAAATAACCGAAGCCCAAAGCTTAAAGATTCCTTCGTTATCATCTAAAGAGAGTGTGAACGAGGTAGATTGAAAAATTTAACTTTTGTTATGAATAACTCGTAGGTTTTTCATCCAAATTTTACTCAAAAGTTTACTCAGAAAATGTACTTTTTCGACATCTATTTACTTTCTATAAAAATTCAAAAATAAAGCTTCTTTGTAAAGCGTATTTTAAAATCCTTTAAACTCTAAAGTTCCATGAATACTTTGTTTATCAAATAAATAAAAGAACATTCGAGAATATCCCCCGTTTGCACCAATAAAAAATTACAAGCATAAATCAGTCTGTTATTGATTAAGAAATTATTATCTTATCTAAGCAACCATTAATCCATCAAAGATCGGCCTTGAACTCGTTTGGCGTTTTCATTTCGATTATCTTCACAGCGCAAGTGACAGCGAAACAATTATATTTATAAAAATTTCCAAGTCAAACCGATAAGATATCTTTCTGTGGCGAAACCATGTTGCAAGCTTCTCTCCGCCGATTCCCTGTACACAAACTTGAACTTCAGCAAACAGGCAGCCAGGCAAAACCTTCAAATTGTTTATCACAATTTATTTTTGTTATCGTCTTTAAACCAAACATTTCCTGGATACATCGGTTTTGTCACCACCACTTGATTTTCTTTATCGCTTGCTGAGTATGTAAACATATACATGAAGGTGATCGTACTACACAAACCTTTTAGTTTTTTTGGTGTCCATTGAAAATTCCATAACATGAAAGTGGAGCATAAATTTGTAAGGGAATCACAGCTGGGAAAGTGATATTCGGGCAGATTTACAATTGTTGTTCTGCCCAGCAGCAGCTAAAAAACACACACAGAACAGCCACAACAACCACTGATTGCGACAGAGTGTTTACCACTAATTAACACGGAACTGTTTTGCTCGGTAAACTGTTTGCAATTAAAGGCACGTGATTCGTGAAAAAAGGCACAAAAATTACATTTATTAATTGTAATTGCAATTGTTTATTCACTCTCAGTAAGAGATTGTATTAGATTGGATTAAAGTGAGGGGGTAATGCTGCTGCTGATAATGCGACCTAAATTGTGTCACTGGGTCACTCTTAAGTATGCTTTTATTTTAAATTCAATTTCGACGATAAGACCGAAAGAATATTTATTTGTTTATTGGTAGAAACAACATATTTTTTATAATTTCTTCAGCCGCTTTTTATTATGGTAATGAGCCTGAAGTAATGAGCTCAGCGTTTTGGAAACGCTTGTATACTTTTTATTTGTTTATTTATGGGTTTTTTGTCTGATTGTGTTGTTGTCTGGGTTGGTTGGTAATTTCAATACAATTATTTGATAGAACTGATAGAGACGATTTCGATATGGCCTCACACATATGTATATTATATTATATATAGCTTGTATATATAGACGTTGTTGTCGCGCACGTTAAATCCAAAATAAAAATTTCGAGCGTACCGAAAAAAAGTGCAAAATGCGAGGCAAACGCGACGACGACGAATTTCGACTGCGGCGAAAACGAGCCGAAAAAAACCGACAGGCCAGAGAGCAAAAAAACGACGTCAATGGCAGCAGAATAAAAAAACAAAAACAAAAAATGAAAAGGAAAAAGTGAGCAACTCGCGCACGCTCGCAAATTGGAAGCTCGAAATCAAAACAAACGATTATTGTCTATTTAAAATTATGATTAACAATGGCCAGAGAGTAAGAGACAGCCAGAGAGAGTATCACACACCAAGAGAGCGAAACAGCTGTTACCTGGCTGCGGCGAAATGGGAAATCAGCTGAGACATCACCCATACGCCGCGTTGTACGAGGCAAAACGAAACGATAGATGATTAGGCTGTTTGTTTGTTTATTTATCTGTGCTCTTTGCCGGATTCTAACTGATTAGCACACTGTTAGAGTGGTTCACATTCATATCTGTCGCATTAGCTTCAATTTACGGTCGGCGGCCTGACTACCTTAACGAACTAAATATGGGAAGCGCCCCGCTAAGTGGAAAACTTTCCGCCCTCGCTGTGAAAATCCCGCAGAGCCGCCACCAGCCAAGGCTAGAGTTAAGCTCGCGGTGAGTCCGAGCACTTCAAAGCGGTCGACGGCGTCCTTAACCCGAATGCCGTGTACTTAGAACACCGAGGAAAACCAATTCAAGGCAAGTGCCTGCTATTTTGTAAGAGGGATTAGGTTTAAGGGACTCAAAGAGCACACAGGAGTAATTGCGTGAACAGTTGGTTACTAGCATACTAGTAAAGGTATTGAGGATATATTTGGCATGATTTTAGGAGAAAGGAGATATTTAATTACAATTTCAGTAGTTAGATAAAAGGACACCGAGGTCCTGTTCTTTAAAAAGAAGAGGATTTTGAAGTTGTTTATTCCTGATGAAAATGATAAAAGGAGTTGTAAGAAACTAAGAAACCTAACACATCTAGCTTATTCTATACCAGTTTTTCGAAGTTTTTTCTTCAGTTTAGCTAATATTTGAAAAAATGCATTAATTGTCTACAGAAGGAATATGTTATACAAGTTGTAGCTCCTGGTAAATTAGGAAAAATTGTATTGAATTTTTTATATAATGACCAAAAACCAAAGAAAACTAACAAATTTAGCAAGTTATATCCCACTTTTTCTTTATTTTCAACGTTTCACAGTATAGTTTTACCCTCCAAACCAGACCTTTGAGCATTTTCCATTATAGAAATTACCAACTGAATTGGCAAATGTCTAGGCAAACTTTGTGCCAATTGGTTTCACCAATACAATAAAAAAACCAAACCATAAACAAATAAACTAAACAAAAAAACAAAGCACCGGGCCATTTTGTAACAACAAACAGCTGAATTGATTATGAACGCGTCCAGATTGTTTGCTATTTTACTGTATGTGCGAATGCATGTACAAGAAATTAGCACTTGGGAATCGAGCACTTTCCAACGCAACACAATATTGGTTTGTGGAATTAGTTAACTGCTTTTATTGCAAATTACATCACGCCCACAAACCCCGTCGCCCCCGACTTGGCTTCATAACTCGACGGCGGCGAAAGGAATGAATGATGGACGGACACGCGATTCAAGGAGAGCCACACGCGACCGGAACGCACTTTACACCCCCGATAAACCACTTGGGAGAACGCACTTGATTTTTAGTGAGGATTTCGGTAGTTTTTCCTTCTGATTTTCCTATTTTTGCGAATTTATTCCCCCCGGCAAACTTGGCGGCGCTCGACAAACAAATGAGAATGGGACTCGGAACAAGAATGAGAATGAGAATGGGCTGATGTACGAGCGTTTGGAGCTCGAAACTTATGCAATTTCGCACAGGTGATGGTAACGACGACTCGACATTTGACTTTGCCTCTGGCTGTCGGAATTTTCTTTTTCTAATTTTGCCACACTGCGCTACAAAATCCGTTGGATAACTGCCAGGTGCCCGTCCCAAATAGCAAAAACAACCCATTGACGCCACCACGTTTCGCTGTTTCGCTTTGTTTTGTTTTGTTTGCGTTTAGTTTTTCCTGTGCCATTTCTGAATGTCATTATCAAGGTTTATTTGGCACTCTTTTTTCCCGCCTTTTTTTTTTATTATTATTATCGTTGTCTTGTGAATGAAATTCAGACGTCAAAATGAGTGGGTGGGCCACGCCAACCCGCGCCGTGGCACGCGCCCATCGGTTTGCGTCCGGGCTTAACATAGCGGTAAATCAATTCGAAGCGCATCATGAAAAATTTCTGTGCGCCAAACGTAAAAAAGAAGAGTATATAATGGAAAAAAGTCAAGTCAATAAATTAAACAAGACAAAGAGGAGCGATGGGAACTGCATTATGTCTACTGTGGTACGAGGGTCAGGTTTTTACTGGATAAAATATTTGTTCACTTTTTTTGGTTCGGTTTTTGTGACTGGCCTTACTTTTTGTTGTTTTTTTTTTATTTAAAAGTTTAATTAGAAGGTTTTAGGTTTTGGTGAGGTAAGTGTCAAGAAACAAGATTTCTAAGGCATATTATTTAAGCTTAACTTTTATGTTTGATGGATATTATTTTATTTCACTCTAATACTTAAAAGTTTTGTTTAACAAAATATGTTTTGTTTAAAAAAATATGTTTTGTTTTAGAAAAACAAAAACACAATGCTGAATATTAAATAGAAAGGTTTCATAAAACTGATGGAAAATAATATAGAACATTAATGACATTTTGTTTACTAAGAAAAAACATATTGAGACAACGTTTATTTAAAAGTCCACAGTCTATTCTTTAGATTTTAAAATAGGAGTGCAACTGAAGAACTACCCTGGAAATGTCCTGAAACCTTTAAAGTTCTTGTCAAATTGAAAATATTTTTTATCCAGTTAGGAAAATATTTATTAAGTTATATAAAGAAATACAAAATATAAAAATTAAAAAAAAAACGGACTTTTAATTATTTAAAGTTATTTGTTTCACGATAAAACAAGAACATTTTCAAAATGCATAAATTTATAATATAAAACATAAAAAAGGGAATCTAAAATAAAAGTGAACAAATCTTCTTAAGAATAAAAGTTTTAACAATTTTTTTTAAAATATATTATCTGAACCCAACTCTATTTACTGTATTGCTTAGTGTGTAAGTTTGATTTAAAACGGAAATAGAAACCAACTTAAATACAAATGTGTTGCTTTAAACTTGAAAGAAACTAAAACCACAACATATCTAAGTGAGGCTATAAACACCCTCTAGTAAAGGCTTTCCCTTTAAATAAACAAACAGCTTCCGCTACCAGATGCACTTGCACCACTGTAAGTACACTGAATCAAAACCATAAATTGTGGGCTTTGATTGGGTTGCTTTTACACTTGCAGATGTGTGAGTGCGAGCGAGAGTGTGGGTGCAGTGTCCGTTTGCATGGCCGGCAATCAAAGTGAATCATCACTTCAGAAATGAGGAAGACAAAGCAAACAAACAAACGGATAACGGATAAACAGATGCAAAAGCGCCGACGCAGACAGCTAAATGTGGGGCGGTGCAAGGGGGTCGAAAAAGGGGGCATAAAAAGCGCGAGAGAGAAAGAGATAATACACACGCACGCAAGACACGCACACCATAACAACCTCCGTAGGTGGGCGTAAACAATTAGCGATAAAAAAACAACAATAGTGCAGCTAATTGCGAGCGGTGGCGGCTGCACCCAGTAAATAAATCGAAAATAAACCAAAGAGCTGCCGTTTGCTCCTCCGACGAAAATAGCAACATTTGGCAGGCTGAAAATCGAAGAGAACGCGAAGCCACAAAAGAAAAAAAACACACACCCCTCAAACTGTGGGACTCACCTGCAACAACACCTGTATCCAAGGCAAACAAATCCTCCTGCAGTTCCAATTGATCCATTTGGGGCGATTTAAGTTCCTGTTGGCAGGCTTTACTTTAATTTTTTGCCAAAAAACAACACGCGTCTGGGAAAGTTGCAGCTGCGGCCATTTTTTTCGGTTCCCCACCAGGTTCTTGTAATCAGCCAGAAAACCCCATTCGTGGCCTAAAAACACAGGGAAACACGCTCTTCTCACAATAAAACACTTCCACTTGGGAATATTCACAAATTCCTTTCTAGTATTCACGATTTTGGACCTTTTTTGTGTGCAAATATGTTGAAACGAAAATTTTACGAAATACGCGTAGTGGAAAGAAGCAGAGCGAATCAGCAGCGGACCGAACAGCTGACTTTTGTTTTGTTTGCGACGTGATGCAGGGCTGCACACGCAGCGCCTATCGACAGTCGGCTTCGCTTACGTTACGTTGCGACATTACGTTTCGGAGGCTATCGGCGCGCTCAGCTGTTTTTCGGCGACAGTGACGTCACGCGTTGGCTGTGTCACTTTTTTTGTATATTTTTATTGGTATTATCAAATTTATCGGCAAATACTTGACTAAACACAAATAAATGCTAGCTAATCAGGGCTCCACGGTGTTGTTGGCGATTGCATTGAGTGGATGAGGGCCTAGCACAATGACAAAAGAAGCAGAAATCAACGAGGAGTAAAGAAGTTCAGAGACCAATTCGCAAAAACAGTGAGTAAACTTTGGAAATTACTAACTAAACTGAATAAATTGAACTTCTGGCGGGGGTTTTATTGATAAAACAGCATGGGTTCTCAAGTAGGGAACTGAAAATCATTCGATTTCGGACGCTAAACGTGAAATTTTTGAGGACTTTAAATCGTGCATTTCAATTTTATGTGCATTTCTGATGAGGAGTTCAAGTTCCTTGGCAGATTTTTGGTTATTTTCTTGTTATTTCAATAAATATGTAGAGTATTTTTAATATAGATTTTATTGTTAAAGGATTTTCATCAAATTTTATACATAATTCTTAACAATAAACCAAAGTTAGTACAAATCTGAAATGACTCAGTTTTTCGAGTTCCGACTATGCTTTTTATGACCCCTTTTTATTGATCAAATCTATAAAAATAGTAATAAACACAGATTTCTTTATCTAATAGCCACCGGCAAAGTACCTCTGCTGATTAGTAGCATTGTTTTCAGATTGTTGGGAATCAGTAATAACACTAACAATTCGTTTATCTCAATTTAAAATTTTTAAAGAAACAAAAACTCACAATATACCAATTGCAGATTTCCAAAAAAGAAATGGAGGAAGTGCCTGTTCATCCACTGAGCCAGGATCCCACGGCTGCCTGGCGGGATATTAGCAAGTCGCAGCGCGTAATCAAGGTTACGATGAAGCCGCCGACCACCACGGTGGCTCCCAACAAGGCCCGGGTGGTGTGCATGTCCGATACCCACTCACTGACACCCTACATCAAGTTCGACATACCAGATGGCGATATCTTTATCCACGCGGGCGATTTCACCAAGTGCGGCCAGCTGGAAGAGGTGGAGGAGTTCAACAATTGGATTGGCGGTCTGCCGCATCGCCACAAGATCGTGATTGCCGGCAATCATGAGCTGAGTTTCGACAGCACCTTCACCCATCCGTTCCAGAAGGGCGGCGCCGGACAAGGCAGCGGCAAGGGTCACGCCTCGAGTAGCAAGCACACCGGCATGTCCATCCTGGACGATTTGCCCACGCTGGGCAATGCGAAGGAGAGTCTGGAGAGCGCAGTCCAGACACAAAATGTGCGTCAGGTGCTGACCAATTGCCGGTATATAGAGGATGAGTTGCTGGAGATTTGGGGTATACGGATTTATGGTTCACCCTGGCAGCCCGAATTCTGTCGCTGGGCCTTCAACGTCCCTCGCGGTGCTCCCTGTCTGGCAAAGTGGAACCAAGTTCCCGAGGGCATTGACATCTTAGTGACACACACACCACCCGTGGGTCATGGGGATCTCTGCTGCTCGGGCGTTCGGGCGGGATGCGTGGAGCTCCTGAGCACCGTGCAGCAGCGAGTGCGTCCCAAATACCATGTCTTTGGCCATGTGCACGAGGGCTATGGCATCACCAGCGACGGAAGAATCATCTTTGTGAACGCCTCCACATGTGACATAAATTATTTACCCAACAATGCGCCCATCGTTTTCGATGTGACGCTACCACCGGGAGTTCGGAAGGATTAAACGACTCTGATTTTGATATTTATTCGCATTTTGTTGCAGGTTCAATGAATTTATCCTCGTCCCAAAACGTTGTATATTTTATTTTAAGTTTTAGTTGCTTTATAAATTTTTATTTATAAGTAATGAAGTGTTTCTCGGGGTCTTAAAGTTACGATTAAACGAAGTTTGGTAGAAAAAATGTACAAATCTTGAAAATCAGTGTCATTAATTCAGTAAATCAGGTTTTATATTATTTTCATTGTATCCTTATTCCCTTAAAAAAACTCTAACCAAGGCTTAAATCCATTTTAAATTATTAAATTTACATTTTTATATCCAGCTAATTATATATAATGATTTGCAGTTTCCCAAAACCCAAATTAGTTTAAGTGGAATTTATTTAAATTTCAATCGATTAGCCGCCAATAATGAAAAATTGCTGGAAAAAATATGGAACGACGATCACCTATGGACAATGCAACTCTGTTCTTGCAGTTTGACGTTTCTCTTTTGGCGGCGGGCGTAACGGCGCTATTCCAGTGACTCCCTAACCAATCTACCCTGAGGCTGCAATTTTTCGCGTGGCGAAAAAAAGGCAAAAAGAAAAGGAAGATAGTTCCCTTGTCCCGTAGAAGATTTTAAATTGTATTTTTCGATTTTAGCTTTCCCAAGAAAAGCTCGTAAAATAAAATGGTGAGAACGATTAATAGTGGTGTTTTATAATTGAAAAGTTAATAGGCGGAGAAATGGGTTTAAAAAGCATACCCGGCCTAAGCTTAAATATACTATTCATGGTACTAAAAATTATTACTCAAAGGAATTTAAGTACTTTCCTTGAAGAAAAGTAAAGGAAATATGATTTTTTCCAGTAAAAGTGCTAAAGAAATATATTGGATAAACTTTACTTCCAGTTAAAGTGCCATGAAAAGTAAAGAAAAAAGCTTGTTTCCAGTAGAAGTGCTTAAAGTTGAAACATAAAAAAACATGAAAAACATAAAACATTGAAAGTAAATGTTAAAATAAAAAATAAAAAACTCCCAAAATTCTTAAAAAGAAACAGTTTCTAAAATAATAAATAATTACTTATTTTGAGATGAAAAATGTTTTTTCCTTAATCTAAAATGCATATTCCCTAGGAAAATCGATATCTTTAAGCGTAAGAATTGCAGGAATTTATAATAATTTCAAGAACTTATATTTTGAAATTGTTAAAAATATTTTCAAGTGTAATTTAAACCTAACCTAGAACTAAAAAAATGGCGTCGATCCATACTTTTATATATTTGTCTATTTTTGCACCTTCCTTTGACAGCGCGAAGTGATCTCCATCCAGATTGGCCAGTGCGGCATCCAAATCGGCAACGCCTGCTGGGAGCTGTACCTGCTGGAGCACGGCATCAATTTGGATGGCAGCCTGAAGAGCAAGGAGGAGCTGCAGGCCAGCGGCAGCAGTGCTAGTGTCGGTCACGACACCTCCGCCAACGATGCTCGCACCTTCTTCACGGAGACTGGGAACGGGAAGCAGGTGCCTCGCACGATATTCGTGGATCTTGAGCCAACGGTTATTGATGATGTGAGGAAAGGCGAAATGCGGGACCTCTACCATCCAGAGCAGCTCATTTCGGGCAAGGAGGATGCGGCCAATAACTATGCCCGCGGACGCTACTCCATTGGCAAGGAGGTGATCGATAAGGTGACCACGCGTCTGCAAAAGATCGCCGAGCAGTGTGACAGCTTGCAGGGATTCCTTATCTTCCATTCGCTGGGCGGCGGCACCGGCTCCGGCTTCACCTCGCTCCTCATGGAGCGTCTGACCGCCGATTACAGCAAGAAGTGCAAGCTGGACTTTGCCGTCTATCCCTCGCCGAAGGTATCCACCGCCGTGGTAGAACCCTACAACGCACTGCTCACCACGCACTCCACCTTGGAGCACTCGGACTGTGTGTTCATGGTGGATAACGAAGCCATCTACGATATCTGCAACAATAACTTGGGCGTAGACAGGCCGGCATACAAGAACCTGAACCGCCTCATTGCCCAAATAGTTAGTTCCACCACGGCCTCGCTGCGTTTTAGTGGCTCCATGAACGTGGATCTCAACGAGTTCCAGACTAACCTGGTGCCCTTCCCGCGCATCCACTTCCCGCTGGTGGCTTACGCACCGCTGGTGTCGGCGGATAAGGCGGCGCATGAACAGCACGCCATCACCACGCTGACGAATGCCTGCTTCGAGTCCTCCAACATGATGGTCAAGTGTGATCCACGACAGGGAAAGTTCATGGCCTGCTGCATGCTCTACCGGGGCGATGTGGTACCCAAGGATGTGAATGCCGCTGTCTCGGCCATCAAGTCCAAGCGGCATATCCAGTTCGTGGACTGGTGTCCCACTGGCTTCAAGATTGGTATTAATTACGAGAGGCCGGCCTTTGTCCCGGATGGTGATCTGGCCAAGACATCGCGCGCTGTATGTATGCTGTCCAACACGACAGCCATTTCGGTGGCCTTCTCCAATCTGTCCTACAAGTTCGATCTGATGTTCAAGAAGCGGGCCTTCGTCCACTGGTATGTCGGCGAGGGCATGGAGGAGGGCGAGTTCACCGAGGCGCGGGAGAACATTGCCGTTCTAGAGCGTGACTTTGAGGAGGTGGGCCTGGACAATGCCGAGGAGGGCAACGATGAGGATCTTGATGAATATTGAAATTACATTGCTGTTCCCCTTGTTTGTCCACCAGTCACTTCAATATTCCATAAAATAATGTAAAAAAAAAAAAAAAAAATCTTTAAAGGAAAATGTGGCTTTAATTGGGAAAGAATTTTAGCATTGAATTAATTTAAACAATTGAAACATTTTGTGTAATATTAGAATTTATGATTGAAATAGAATCATTTTTGGTTTGAGGACAAACCCCGTTGAATTTTGTTGTTTTTTTGGGTCAAGGGGGAACAAAAAATATTTTATATAAACCAGTAACTTCATTTTTTTTTAAGATTTTTTTTTTCCAAAAGGATTTAAATAAAAATAGTAAAAACTTTAGAATTAAATAACTACTATTTCAATTTTAAGTCGATAAAAGATCTATTAATAAATCATTTAATTAACAGAAAATTTTAAAATATATATATAAGTATAAAAATATTTCTCCTAAAATAAAAATCCATTTTCATCAGTTTTCTGTAATGTTTTTTTTTTGTATATTTTTTCTTTAGTTGTTTTTATGTTTTTGTTTTGTTGTTTATTACTTTTTAACGCCTATTCGCTATGTTGTTTTCAATTGTATTTTTTTGTTTGTTTCACTTAATTTTACTAGATTTTATTTTGAACTTGCAAGTATTTTGCGTTTCTTTTTTTTAATTTTTTCATCATGAACTTACACATAAAAGAATCATCAAAAAGTTTTTGCACAGTGTGTAAAATTACAATATTTTCTGTTGTTGTTGTTGTGTGTGTGTGTGTATGGTGTGGTTGTTGTGTAGGTGTATATCTTCTACGGTTTGTTTTTAATCTATAAATCTAAAATTTCTCTCTAAGAGCAGGCCAATGTTTACACCAATGATCAACTGGGAATTATCGTTCGTTTGTGTTAACTTTTAAAATTTGCAATAGAAAAAATCGGAAATATATAATTTGCTTAAACAAAACAGCTTCTACTATACAAAGAAAAGGCAATTGCATTAGTGTACTTTTGTTTTGTGGTGTGTGTTATTTAGTGTAATCTTTAGGTATTCCTATTTTTATTATAATTACAATAATGACGATTTCTCCCATTTACTGAGTTTTGCGTTTGCTTTTAAATTACTATTACAATAGGTTAATCCATAAAAAATATATAACGATGATAATGATGGCAAAATATATGTTTTTAAATTGTTGGTTTGTTTGCTTGTTGTTTTTTTGTTGTTGTTGCATTACAAATTTGCTCTGTTAAAGTTGCGTCAGCTGCGGTTGCTTGCTAATCGGTGTTCTGGTTAATTGTTGTTTTGTTAAACGTTTGCCGATTTAATATGGAACATTTGAGAAGAGATACGAGACACTCTCGCCGTTGTGTGTCCGCCTAACGGCCTCGGCAAACATCATCGAGACATCAATGCACTGAAAACGGTAAAAGAATAATTTGTTGAAAGATTGTTGAAACATTGTTGAAAGATTTTAAACGATTTTAGTAAGATTAGTAAACTTTTACAGAAAGATTTCTAAACGATTGTTAAACTAAAATATGCGTTTAAAAGTTATACAACGATTTTTTAACGATTGCTAAATAATTGTAGAAATATCATATACAATTGTTGAACGATTGTAGTGATATTGGTGAAACATTATAAAGATTGTAGAAATATTGTACAACAAGATTTAAAGATTGCTGATAGATTTAATAAGAATACATACTAATTGAGCAAAGTTTTGCCAATCGTACAAATTTACCAATTCCTGATAAATATCTCACCTGAATCTTGGGACAATCCCGCATATGTCCATCCTGTGGTATGGTATTGGTCACCACCACAGCCTCGAAACAAGCATTATTGATCCGCGAAATCGCTGGACCCGAGAAAATGCCATGCGTCAGAATGGCATACACCTAAGCAAAAAAAAAAAATTGGTAATAAAATTAAATATTTGAAAAATAAAGCCGAACAATAAGAAAACCCACCTTGGTGGCACCAGCCTCCACAAGGCGATCGGCAGCATGAACAATAGTACCGCATGTATCGGCCATATCATCGACCAGAATGGCAATCTTGTCCTTGACATCACCCACTAGAACCATGGATGCGACCTCATTGGCCTTCTTACGCTCCTTGTGTATCAGGGCGAACTCCACATTCAGGCGATCGGCAATCGAGGTGACACTAAAAGATAGTTCAAGAAAATTACAAATTAGCTTTATTCATGGTTTCAGAGTTCGAGACTTACCGCTTGGCACCGCCAGCGTCGGGCGACACAATGATCGAGTTTTTCCACTCGGGAATGTTCTCCTTGATCCACTTGAGTACCGCTGGCTCCGCATAGAGATTATCAACTGGTATATCGAAGAAACCCTGGGAATACATTTCAATTTACAGTTAATTTAAAGCTAACTGTCATAAAGCAAATATCACAGATTCCATTATCCATCTGAATCTCGACCTATACAGTTTAGACCTCAAAATAAATTTTATTTTCAAAAAGTTAAGCAAACAGAGACGGTAAAATCCCAAAACAAAAGAGATTATCATGCCCCAATACCATACGCGCACGCTCAACTCGGAGGAGGAGGTGAGCCTGGCTCAGTGGCTCAAGGAGCAGCGCATTGTCCTAAATCTGCGCACAAGGCGCTTTTTCTCCGATGTGCTGCCAGTGGCCAAAATCATCAAGCTAGCCCATCCCCGGCTGGTCGACCTGCACAACTATGCGCCCAAGAACAGTATTCAGCTGAAGCTCAAGAACTGGGAGATTTTTGATACTAAGGTTCTTAAGAAGCTAAACGTCTCCGTCCCACATGCCCTTCTCGAGAAGTTGGCCCAGGCCGAGGCCGGAGCCATCGAGATGCTTTTCTACGAACTGATCCCGGTGACCAAGGGCCACCGCGGTCCAATGCCCAGTCCCCTGCTTCACGATGATCCTAGGCTCTCGCCCATGGGATCTAGCAGGAACCCTGCTCCCTTGGGTGTGCTAAAACATTCAAACAAGCAACAGCTCTGCAGAAGCCGCACCATTATTCGATCCCACAAAGTTAGTTGCCCCTCCCCAACTGGAGATGATTTGCCAGCCGAAGTTCTAAGCCTGGATGTGGATACTCTGGTCGATGGGAAGATTGAAAAGGTGGCCAAGAAACTGGTGGCCTATGAGGACTACGCCGTAGCTGTTCGTGCCAGCAACGAGAAGGATAACTACATTAAAATGATTCACCAGAAGGTAGACTATCTGCAAAGCTTGATTGCTGTGAAGGATGAGCGCATATCGGACCTTATGGATCAGCTGGCCAAATTGTCGGTGAGCATTCTTGCCTCCCACTCTGCCACTCTGTGCATTAACGATAATAACGATGACGATGATAATAATAGGATCAGTATAAATACCCATCAAACATACTAACGACAACAATGCCTAGACGTGGAGATGAAGGTGGTATCCTCCCCATTTGTTTCAAGGGAATCCAGCGACAGATCCTAGCCTAAAATGTTCCACGCCCTGGCTGGGTCTGCGTTGGGCTCAAGTTCTTCGATTCTTCATACCTTATATTAATCCATCTGAAGACCACTTGTTATTGGACATCTCTAAAATATATATTTTATGTTTTTTGGCAAAGAAAATGTACACGTTCCTTTATCGTAAATGACTAGCCCGGCGCGATATTAGAAACGCATTGAAGGCTTTCGCGGTAAAGATAATTGTGCAAAAGGCTTTACTGGGGGATTCTTCATTTGAGTAATGGGTATAATGGGTGAATAATGTTCGAGTTATATTTTGGAATGCTATCAGTGGTACTTTTCTATATTAAAATAGGAATGGAAACCCATTTTTGTATTGCTTATCTTATCAGTGGTTTGCTTGCACATTGCAGGAAACGCCTGGAAGAGGGAGTAATAAATGAAAGCATCTTTTACTGTGTTTCCATTTTGGAATCCTACCCTTTTCTATTTCTTAAATAATAGACAAATTATAGCAAGTGCTCTTTCTGTGGAGTCTTATTTGCTTGCACATTGCAGGCAATGCGTGAAACTGGGAAATCTACTTTTAGCTATATAACTTAATTATTTTTTAAATTGTACAAAAATTAATATTTCGCTTTAAATGTTTGTTTTCTTTTTACCTATAAAATTTCCTTCGTTTTTAAACTAATTAAATTAAACAAATTATAAATTTGTAGAGTTGGGACTTACCTGAATCTGTGAGGCGTGCAGATCCATGGTTATGATGTGATCGGCTCCAGCCACGGACAGCATGTTGGCCACCAATTTGGCCGAGATGGGCGCACGACTCTGTGCATTGGCCAGCGTAGAAAGAGAGGCGAAGGAAAAGTTACCATTAGCGCAACTAGTAGTTCGGTTTTTGTTTTTATAAATATCATTCTTAGAGCTAAGCATTATTATGAGGAGTATAAACCATGGAAATCAAAATCGAACATGGACACACACAATATGTATAGAGACAGAAAGATCAACAAAGAGGTTTTAACGTTCCAATAGAGATTGCATATGGAGAGAGATAAATAACTCGAGGACAGACAGAGATTCTGTGGAGACAACACAAAAGGACAATAATGATGGTTGGTGCGCACCCCGAAAAAAATGAAATATGAGAGATACCCAATGATTTTTGTGGTGATGAAAGTGCAGCAACACACGCCAGTTAGAAATATACATTTACAGATAAAGATTGATTAATAGGCAAACAAGTGCAAAGAAAATTGAAATTTCTTAATTTATTCTTTTTTTTTTAATTTTTTCTTGGTTTGGTTTGGATTTTTTTAAAGGTTTTGCGATCTGAACTGGGAACAAGGCATGCAAAACATCAGTGGAATATATATGTATGTGTATAGGTAGGAAAGAAAAGGAAAATATCATCATCTGTTGCTTCAACTCAAAAGAAAAAGAAAAAAAACACATTAACAAACGCAACAAAGCAAAAGGCTTAAGACAAAAATAATCTAAAGCAAAACATTTCTTTTCTTTTTTTTTTTTAATTCCGCAAACAGCATTAAAGATAATGCCTTGGGATATGGTAGAAACTAACGGACGACTACTCACAGTATATTGTTTGGCTGAAAACTCCTAAGTTCAACAGAATTCAAATTTTGTTTTTATTTTTTGGGTTTTTGTATTTTGATGCGATAGAGAGACAAATAGTATAAAAAGAAAAAGAAGAAAACATAAGAGTTCAGAATAATTGAGATTTGAGTGTGTAACGAAAATAGATTAAATTTAAAATTAAAATTAAATCAAGTGGGGGAAAACGGGTGAGTGTACACTTGGGTTTACATTAAATTAACATAAAGACTTAATCCGTATTTAAAAAGGAAATTGTTAGACTCAAAATCAAATAAGGTTGCAGTGCCAATTCCAAGATATACAATGTGTATTTATAAATATATTTTTTCATTCCATCTCAGCCGATTGATTGGCTTGAAAGTCAAGGAACTCATTTGCAGTTCAGATTAACTCGTATCAGTTACAGAAATGAAAAATATTTGTGCATTTCGAGTTTAACCCCTAGGGTTCATCGTCTACCCCCAATCAACATACATTGACTGACGCGATTCGATCCGATGATCGTCTGACGTCAAAAAGGGATTATCACCCCAAGGAAAACTTAATCAACCCAAGAGAAAAACATATTTTGAGCCCCCCAAAGAGGAGGCTGGTGTTGTCAGGGACCGATAAGACGAAACGTAACAAAAAGTGCAAGATCAAAACAATCAATACAATACAAGAAAATAAGGTAGACGAAACAAACAAACAGCAGTCGAGACAACACAAACAAAAATATATTTTTTAGAGATCAATTATTAAATAAATATATAGATTACTTATTTAAACTATACATATCAGGAGCTTTACCCAGAAATTGCCATTGCATTTAAATCAATTATTAGAAGTGTAAGGATTTTATAGCATACTTTTAGCCGCAATTTATATTGATTAAAAATCTTTAGCGATTTCTATGGCACCCCTGTTTGTAAGTTCATTTCGCATTTTCATTTTTTGTTTGCACACGAAACAAAGGCCAAAACAACAAAACACAGAGGCGCCAACGAAAAAAAATGTGGAAAATTTTGTTTTTTATTAATTATTTTGCCAATTAGTTGGGGAACATTTTTCACAGTGTTAACCAGGGATTTAATTTAGAGTTTAGGGAAAGGCAATAGGAATAGGAATTATAGGTAAGAGGGCATGCAAAAAGGATAGACAAAAAGCGATTTTTCTCTAAAGAATCTGTTAAGCCAAAGAGACGTCGCTAAAATCCCTTGTCGTGAGTTCATGAGAGTTCTGAGGATGAGATTTTTTGCCATTTTCAATTCTGATATTATACTATATTAGCTCCCCCGTTCCAGATTTATTCTTAGTACATATATCGAATTATTTTTTTTTGATTGAAAGAAAATTAATAAGAATATTTATACCACGTTAGAGATTTATGGAAACATATAAGGGTGTGATTTTATGTTGTTGTTTTTAGTTGTTAAAAGTTTGGTAAGAAGAAGAAGTAGAAGAAAGTAAATACCCTAAATTTCCAATCGTAGTTTTTCTTGGCTAACTTCTTAGCTTCCTCAGTATCATCACTGCCCGCCAACTTCACGCCGGTAGAGAGAAAGAGATCGATACAAAGACGCCGAGAGAGAGAGACAGAGAGAAATATACACACACACGGCGGGGGTGGAGAGAAAGAGCGAGCGAGATAGCAGCAGGAGGGCGAGGGCGAGAAAGAGAGACAGCGAGCATGGCATGGGAGGAAAAATATAAATTAGGTTCTCTTAAATACTTAAAAGCAAGGATTAATTTAAAATAAAATAATATTGCTCAGAATTTTCCACATTTTTCCGATTTTTCGTGCTATACATTTTTCTGCAGCTTCGCTTTGCTTTAGCTTCGTTGCAAACAATTTGTAAAATCAAATTTCGAAATCAAATTTAGAAAACAATTTTTAAAACTCGTAAACAAAATGCATTAGGAACACAGACACACAAATATATGTATATAGAAAGAAGATAAATATTATTATTATTATTGTTATTTGATTAAACAGCAATTAACAATCGAGCTAAACAGTTTCGGGGGAAAAATCATTCGTGGGAAAAGTTTACGCGCTTTTCTTGTTTCGCACTTTTTCCCCAAATTAGAAGAACAGTAGTGTTGGTGTGTTGTTGTATTGTGGACTTTTGAGTTTGAAAAATATCAGATTCAGAATTATTTGTTGTTTTCTTATTACATTTTGCTTTTCTTTGCACTAGAAAAGGACGACCGCAAGGACAATATCGTGTGTCATCCGTCGGTCAATCGATCATCGAGAGTGTTGAGGCAAACCTACCTTATCTTTTTTGTCTTGGCGGGCATATGGAAAGCAAGGAATCACAGCTGTAACACGAGAGGCTGAGGCGATTTTGCACGCATTGATCATGATCAGCAGCTCCATCAAGTTATCGTTGATCTCGCCGGAGCCGGACTGCACGATGTACACATCCTCGCCGCGCACCGATTCCCCAATTTCCACACTGCAAAGACAGAGATACATACAACAGTTCAAAATCTGGCCAAGATTGGCAACAAAATGGATTATGTGTGGATATGTGTGGAAGCAGTGTAGCTTCAAGATTGCACTTTAAAATATTTCACTGAAAAACTGAACTGTACTTTGATTTTGAACAAATTTTTAATGAAAATAAATATTTACTGCAAGCCGCTGAAAATGATTAAATGGCTAAGATTGTTAAAGCAAACCTAAAAGTATTATCTCTAAAGAAAGCCTAAAGAGGCTTCTATGTACTCAGTGTCAGGGATTGGAAATTTCCATTGTTTAGCCCGGCCTGCACGTATCGCATGTCTTGTAAACACATTTCTCAAGTTCAATAGAGCCTCAGTCTCAGGCTTATCCCTTCTTCTCTTGAATATCCCAACCAATACCGCCTTGAAGTATTATTTATAAACGAAAGAGGAGACGACTACGCCGCCCATAATTGTTGACCTTTGACGACGACGCCCAAAAGAAACTGCAAGGCAACGCAATCTAATCGAAGCTTTGCTAATTCTCTAGCACATATACACACATGGCCCACATGGCGTATGCGCTATATTTGCACTGACAACTGACGCCGTCGTTGCGAACGCGCTGCTTCGGTTATTATTTTGTTTACATTTTATTTTGTTTTGGTTTCGGCTCTGGCTCGAAGCTCGAAACTTTAGGTATTTGATACCCTTGAAATGGAAACGCTAGCCATATCAGCATATTAAAGATGGAAATTTACAGGAATATAATCCATATACAGAATCTGGGAAGTGTGAGCTTTGTTTTTAATACAAATATTAATAAATTAGTTTGAGAACATAGACCTTTCAAGAGGGGTAAGATTTATGATTGATAGCATTGATAGGAAGAGTCTCTATGTGACTAGACCCTTTACAGTTAGCTTATCACAATAAATTTTCTCCAATAAAAATGTCCAGCAAAAGCTGTTAAAAAACTAAATTCAATAAAGCAAACAATTTCACTCAATAAAAAAAGAATAAATACCCAAAGAACAACTTCCCACTTAGTTTTCACTTTTTTTTTTTTTTGTTTGTTGTTTTCGTTTTCATGGTTATATTGGTTTTTGTTTTTCCACCGATGAAGGTTAATTCAATTACATGCCACGACCATCAGCCATCAGCCAACAACCCTCGACGACTATCGATTGAACGAGCGACCTGTGTGGCCCACGCAGATCATGCCCAGTAATTAATTTGTCCAATATTCCAGAGTTATCTCTGTCACAAACAAATTCATGGAAGTAATGCCTTTTGACGCCTGTCCCCAATCGCGTGACACGTTTCTGTAGTATAGTTATAATATAACCTAATTCTGCACACGCTTATCAAAATGAAAAAAAAAAAAAAAATACAAACAAAATGCCAAATGCGGCTGACCGCGTTTTTGAGGGGGTATTGATTGGTAAGG